GACTTCAAAGAATTTGCTTGGATCGAATATGACACTTCGTTCATATTGCTGATTTATAAGCCATTGAACCAAGCCTAGAGATGTCCTTGAAACCAATAATTTCCCAACAATACTCCTAGCAGATTCACTTTCATATGATTCAATATCCCAAAATTCAACTCTGACTCAATATCACCATCAGAAAATGTAATCACTTTCAATCCTCAATTCTAAATTATCTCTTGAAATTTTCACCAAAAACAGTTGGAACATTTGAGGACAACTTCGTAGTCTGTTTACTAAAATTATCTGTAAGATGTTGAGAGCAAACGTGATATTTGATCCACACAGTTGTCCATATTTTGTTCATATATCATCACTTTGGAAATCCCATAGCAAATATGTACTTTTGTGGACAGTTTTAAAAGATTTAAAGGATGTTTGTTGATTTATTTTCATAAACACAGAATGTGTTTCTATTTGTGTATGTAATACTGAGGTTGACCTTATCTCTTGGAATTTGTTTAGATTTTATGCGTAAATGGTTGGAGATGTTTGAGTAAAGGGGAGTTCTAGTTTTAAATAATGTAGTTATAAGCAAAAATCATGTTCTTAGTAAACAGATTGTTTTGCGAGCGGTTCGGATTCCACAACTGTAGGGTGTGGTACAATAGGTTCTATTCTAATTTGAATCGCAATGCCTGTAGCTCAAAAGAATGGGCCCTCTCCATTCTTTACCTTTTTAAACAGATTTTTATAAGTTTGTAGCAAGATAGTCTTCATGGATTTAGACTTGTCATTTAGCTTGCTTAATTATTTTTCTGATTTTGGGGCTATATTTACAATATCAACTAAGGATACGGAACTGATTAATCATGTTGATTTATGAAATTTTATGTTGATTTAAACGTTTTTGAATCTTTAGTGCTAAATTTAAAGTTTTAAAATCATCAATTCAGAAGATTGATAATTTTGAAAGCAAATCGTTGAGTATAGACGAAGCAAAATTCCAATGAAATTGTCAGAAATTAATTTTCTAAGCGGTAATTTATCAACATTTCTGTCTGAATCTTAAAATTTGGCAAAAATAAATCAGTTCCATCTTGTCTTTATAAGCAGAGATGAAAATCAGTTGTTTTCGCTCATTTTTTGGTTGCTTCATCGGAAGTGAATGGTCCGGTATGGCGGTACTGATTGAAAAAAAAACATTTGACGGGTTTTTGGATCTTTTGGATTTTAACACTTTCAACTTATTAACATTAATATAAAATTCTTGCATCTATGTCGTAAGGGTTACATCTTAAATCATTATTAAATCCATATGTTATGACAAACTTCTGTATGGATTCAAATTCTGACTATTGTCAAGAACATTCACTGTTTATAGCTACACTGCTCATTAGAATAAAAAGTTGTCCTCTATAAGATTGAACAAGCCTCCTCCTAAATATTGTTATTATTTTTGAATTAAATTAATGTCACATCATATTTTCCACACATGCATATACAGTTCTTTGATGAGAAGATGAGAAAGAAAATAAAAAAAATATAACGCAGCAGAAGAAGAGAAAAAAGGGTTTTAATGCCACACATGAATTATGAGATGATTTATTATAAGAGTTGAGATTTATCTTCACACATAACAGAATTAAGTGAAATAATAGAGATGTAGAAGAATTTATTTCTTTCTTCATAAATTAGTTACGATGAAAAGTCCGCCTTAATGAATATATAACATCATCAATTATTGCTAGTGAATAAAGACTTAAAGCATCAATGCACGGATTAATATTTTTTTTGAATCGATAATTTTTTTTTCATTCTCGCCAAAAAATTATTGAATCATAAAAAAAAGTTCATAACAAAAGCAAAAATCCGACGAATAATGGAATTAAATACAGAAAACATTTTTCGCATAAATCTTCACCCGAGAAGCAAGAGAGGAAAGAGAACGGAACGAGGCAAAATAAAAAAAAAAAATCTACATGAAAATCCTCTTAATCTATTTTACATTATATAAATTGCTAACTTTTCCTATGGCGTTTGAAAATTGCTTTTATCAAAGATTCAAGGCAACAAGCAGCAAAAAGTGTACATGAGATGGCAAAGATTTAGAACTATATGCGCAGGACGAAATGTTCGTGGAATGTAAAAAGGATACATACAAGTGTATATGTGTGTGCTAAAGGGAAATAGATATAGTCTTGTGACAACCAATCAGGATGCGCCATCATCTATCAGTAATATTTGTTCTCTATAATTTTTAATTTTTCTCAGTGGGATTAATCTGTTTACAGGGATGCTGACTCGTTGGTTTTTCAGGATTTATTTTAGTTTTTAGGTTTATGGGGGTCCTTGTTTTGAATATTGACATTCAAATGGGAAATTCTGTTCCAAATTCAATCTAAAGTGTCAATTTTAGAAATAATTTAAATTTTCCAAGTAAAAATTCAAAAAATCTTAAAAAATCAATTTAATTCAAACCAAGGACCCCCAAACCTCCTAATATGCTGTTAATATTTACTTTCTACTTACCTATTTTTTTCTAATTTTAGATTATTTTCATTCATAAAATCTTGATTTAGGTGAACTTACTCTCCGCACGCTGTATAGTTTATTTATTTAAATAAATCATGTGATCAGGTTCTTTGGATGAAAAATCTTGTAAAATCTTTTTGAATATTTCTTGTTTAAATATTTTCAGATATGAAAAAGTACATACGATTTCATCAAAATATTGTCTGCCTTTTAGCACTTGATTGAAAGATGAAAATTGTGTTTATGTCTGGCATCTCAGATGCACCTGAATAACAAGTTGATACAAGTTCTATTAAATGAGTTTAAAAATAGATGCAGTTGTGTAATATTTAAGTAGAACACCGCAATATGTGTTTGATGTTGATGATCATACTGGTTATGCTTTATTTAAGTGCATTAGCTTAGCTACTTCAATGTTGATCTCTATGGCTTTATTTGTGATCACAAATAAAAGCAAATTTCTATAAAACAGTTTTGGGTTCTTAACAGACCACCTACTTGTTATCTATTATCATCAATTAATCTTTTGAGTATGGTTTGTTAATGGAATATGTATGCTCCTAATTGTGAGCATGGTGGAAAATGTATTACACCAATTAGGCTCCAATTTTGGTACTGAGCTGGATAGATAGAATTAGATGTAGGGTTCGTTATACACGAAAAGGCACTGCGATCATAGATCTGTTGTACCATCCCTTTAGGTTCAGCTATAGAATTCCAATGTCCTTAATAAATCCCACTAAGTCCAAAACTGAGCTGGAAGATTACAACTGGATTCCAGTATAAATGCGTTCTAAAACCAATTTCTAGAGCTTTCCAATGTCTTTTGGTCTATGTACAGCTAATCTTTATTTGCATCCTAGAAGATACTTTATCAAGTTTTGATTCTAAACTAGTGAGAGCTCTAAACAGACTTTATGTAAATTTGGAATGATTGAAGTGGATATTAGTTTAAAGAGACGGTATTGCACATGATATAAGTATCTGGTAAGCGATAAAACTAGCATCTAAAGCTATTTAAACAAAGCTATGGATCAAAATTGAAGTTTACACCCACCAAAGTCATCAAATTTTAATTAAAGATTATTCAAAAATGTTTTTTTCTGCTCTGTTAAAGCTTAACCAAAGAACATAATTTAAATAGATTTTTTTTTCAAGGTTCCAACCTTTTTAAATGAAGCAACAAACAGTAAAATTAAACAATTTCAAGTAAAAACTCACAAAACAGAAACAGTCAATATTTTTCACTTTTGAGCACTTAAATCAACAAAGTAGACTGCCATAAGAAATATAAAAAAACGTGGTAAAAAGAACACAAAAATTCATGGTAAGATAAAAAAAATAATTCCATCCATTGCACATCCCTGTGTCAACGTACTTGAAAGCTTCAAGCAAGCGCTCTTAAGCTAACATCTAACACAAACATAACCGAATGGAAAATCGAACATGGAAAAATCAAATAAAAAGCCACACTCATAATTTGATAAGTAAAAATCAAAAGAAAAGTTAATGCTTTGCGCATGACAACAATGATGTTATCAATTTTTGAATTTTTGCAATCTGCTGTTGTGCTACATAGCAATTATCTCTCCTTCACCAGCATGATGTTTAAATAATTTTCATTTTTTAGTATGAAAGGATCATCACGATAAGACGGTTAAGAACCTTACAACAACTTTTTACTCGAACTTTGTTTGCAATTCCTGACTTTTTTTTTTGATAATAAAATATTTTGTACCTTAATATTTTTTTTACACAAAAAAAAAATCATATAAAGTAAATAAGATGATAAGAAGAAGTTTTGGCATTACTCACACATGTATATGCTAAAGGAAAGTGAGCTACATAAAGGATATAGAATAGAATATATATAGTAAAAGAAAAAAAAATAACATAGAAAAGGATATAGGGAGGTTGTGGCTTACGTGACAGCAAAAATAACATCAAGAAAGAAGAGCGAATCAAAACTCAATCTCGTATCCGTACAGTGAGTGTGTAAAAAATGGGGTTCGTTATATGATTTTTCACCATCTGATAAATCAGTGGGTTGGTTGAACTCGCATTGTGATGTTGTCCTTTCTTAAATAAGGATATAGTTTTTCACAGAGATATTTAATTTAAAAAAAAAAGTGAACTGTGTGTGTATTTGACAAGCTAAAGTCCATTGACAAAAAAAATAGTTTACAGCATCAAAAGTGTAATTAAAGGATTTTGATATTATTATTAAAGTCGGCAATTAAAAAATATTTTGTTCCTTAAAAATGGAACTAACAACAAGTGCCACAAATATGAGCGAAGGTATGTACTCAAGTGTTTACAAAATTTAAGACATCGATATGTGTTAAGGTACATAAGATAAAAGTTTTTAACGGATCACGACGAGCCGCAGTCTTGACTGGAGGCTGATCTATTGCCTGTTTGTATTTATTCAAATGGGACACGTTATTTGACTTACTGTTCGAATAATTATAATTCAGTCTCATCTCTCATGTATCAATTTGTGAGGCAGTTATTGAAGATACTTTGATGAAAAACAAGCACCAAAAAAATGTCTTTAAAATTTGCTTTTCTAGAAAAACGCTCGACGTCACCAAATCTTTTCACATTTCCACAATCAAAGCTTATGTCGTGGTCTGCTAATTTACATAGTCCGGTGAAATCACAAAAAGAATCACAAAATACAGAAATACTTAAAGTCAAGAATGTGCAGGCAAATAATGATGGAAATGGAACGCAAAATAATCGCAAAAATCATCTATCAACACTTGGATTGTCGTGTGTCGTGTGTGGTGATACGAGTTCTGGCAAGCATTACGGAATCTTGGCATGCAACGGATGTAGTGGCTTTTTTAAAAGAAGTGTAAGGAGAAAATTGATTTATAGGTGAGTTGGTGACTGTCAAATGACTGTGAATTTATTAATAGTATTTTTTTAATTAAAATAAGTCGTTTTAAATGTGGAATAATTTTAAAAATTTAATAACTTCTGGGTGTAGATGCTTTAATGTTAGAGTCAATGATTTTATAAATCATAAATCTCAAACATGTAAAAATATTAATTTTTTTTAAAACATTTGCGATTATTAAAGTTTGTTTATTGGGTTATTTTAAGAAGTTCTAAAGTTTATTTTAAATAGTGGTAAAAGTCAAGAATCAGGCAAGATCATGGTATGACTTGCTGGGCTTAAATTCTTCTTAAAAATGCATCTGAAAAGCATGTCTTCTCAATACAATTTAATTGTAATAAGTATTTCATACTGATCAGATAAGTTCAATATTCTTAAAATTTACACTTATACTTACCTTGTGCAACGATGTTTTAAATATATTTTCTGGTGCCTTTGATGACAATGTGAACTTTCAATCAGTTCTACTCGAATCCCTTAACTGAAAAATAAATCAATAAGATTTTCAATAAATTTAAGGGCGATTTGTTTGGATTCAAACAGTAATCATTCAACTTCCAATCTTTTAAAAAACGAAAATTACAATGTTTGTATGAAGATTTTTAAAGATTATAATCTTTGTATGAAGATTATAATCTTCAAAAAGGAAAAGATTATAATCTTTAAAAATCTTTCATACAAAGATTATTGAAAATTATTATCTTTGTTTGGGATTATTAAAAGATTATAATCTGTGAGAGCCTTGATTACATTCAAATGAAATTATCATAAATCCACAACAGTTCAAAATCATTTAATTAAATATTAGATTTTTAGAAAATCCTTATTGATTTAAATTTCTTTAAAATTTTACATTAGACTAAAATATCATTTTGTTAAACAACTTTATATGCTCATATTCAATCTGTCTACTATGAACATTCTGAAAATATTCTTTAAACTTTCAATTCATAATGAGCTTAAAAATCACTTTTTCATTCCAATTCTTCTAATACAATTCAGTAGTGTTGTAGAAACAATCAATTATTGTAATTTATTCAAGTTGTTTTGACTTTCCATCCATCCACTTGTTCATCCATTCATTTATTCATTCACTTGTGTATCTGTGCACAGACGATGAGTCCTACAAAAAAAAAGAGAATTTTTCTGAGCAGATGTGAAAGCAGAATATTTCCTAATCTTCCTCAAATTCAATTGAAAAGACTTTGTAAGTGAGTAAAAATTAATCATTTTTGTAGTGTGATCAAGGGATTATGTGCGATTCTATTCTTCACATCTTCTCTTTAATTTTTAAACATTTTATGTTGCTATGAAATTTATTTTATGTTCCAATCCTACGTAATGTGTCAAAACAAAATAAAAAAAGATAGATGTTGATATAAAACTGCCTCAAAATCATTTATAATATTTGATATGTGTGTTCAGAAAGTATTTAGCAGTATAATTGAGCAGCACTACGTACACACAGAACATTTTACGGAAATCATAAAAAATCTCTAAATCATTACACAATGTCTTCGTATCCCTCGAGAGCAATAACAATTTACCATGCTGGAAAAAAGGCACTTTAACAACTGTGACCACCTTTTTAGGGAATAAAATTATATTTAAATAGATATTAATAAAGATGTATGACTTATCAGGGGTTGAATCGGCAAATAAAGCGTAGCAGGTTTAAGGATTACAAGGAAAAAAGTTTCAAGTATTCGTCCCTTTCAAAAGTGTCATACATTACAATTTAATGATAACAGAACAGTAACGAAAATGTTATATAAAATGATATTACATTTAGCAGGTGATTGCTGTTTTGATGACGATCATAAAAAGAAGAATGGAAAGCAATTCTTGGAAGCTTATTTTTTAAAGAAGTTATGTTCAGATTGTCGTGTTTTGAACTTCTTTTATTTTCTATTGAAAAGATTTTTTTAAAAATTTTCCATAAAACTCTAATAGATTTTCAATTCTTGTAGTCCTTTTAATCGGTTCGTGGCTGATGTGAAGCCAACAAAAAGCAAAAATTACTTTTAATTTGCTAAATTTGTTTTGAAAACGAAAATCAATTTTATTTAAGTATTAACTAGATAGTGCAACAAACTAAGGTCTATTCCTACATTCAGAGGCCATAAGAAACTAGCTTTATTTCAAACCTCCATTAAAAAAGCTTATTATTCGCCAAAAAGTCGCTCTTTTCCTTCCCAAATCAGTCTTGAAATAAAATTAAACAAAAAAAAAGTCATCATTTTTAAGTCTGTCAAATTTATCTCTTCCTGCAAGAAATTGAATTAAGATGGAAGGCAATTAAGATGCCATTTATACTTATGGTATATAATAAAATGCAAAACAAAAAAACATTACGAGAAAAGAAAATCCTCAAATGAAAATTTGCCTTAAAACTTTTTCTGTTTCCATTTCCATCGCACGATAGAAAAGGAACGAAGAAAATATGTCGTGAGTGGAGATGGAAAGAATCAATTTTTTTTTCTCTTCTCAAAATGGCTACACTTATGATGTTGAAATGTCACCCATGAAAGGCAAAGGCACATACAAAAAAATAAAATCCATCTCGTCTCTAACAATGAATTTAAATTAATCGAGTTTGGTGAGATTTCGTGACTGTGTGACTGCGCACGCAAATTTAATTTCTTATTATTATGGGATTATCTTTCATTTATCGACGACATTTAAACAACGCAATACATTACTCAACCCAGGAAACGAGCAAATTTTTTTTGCCACTTCACATTCCGAAAAATCATCAATTTCCTCTTTGTGAGTTCTTTGATTTGATTTAAAACTTCCCGCTATGGCTTTTTATTCTGTACAGAGAAGTCGATAGAAATACTCCTTAATATATTCAGGTCACATCATCCTCTTTTGCTTTATATCCCACACCCAAGTTGAATTGTGAACTTTTTTTCTGGCTATATTTGTGTGTATACATATAATGTTGAGCGCATCTACTATGCGCCCGAATAAAATAAAACAAATGTTACGTATAAAAAATTTTGAGCACGTATTTGCAATGTTAAGTACCTCCTTGCTTGCCCTGGAGATTCTCTTTCTTTTTTTTTTGAAGACTATAAAATCACATTTTGTGTATGAATAAATGTGATTTTCGTATAGTTGCTACGTCTGCCTGTGTCAGTCACTCCATCGAATTCAAATTTATATTTAGTTGAGTGATGGTGATTTGATGATTTGGATAGAACAAGTTTAGACTTTATAATGTTGCATTTAACATTATTATTATTGCATTATGTGTGGACTGGAACTGGTTATATGATTATTGAATGAAAAGTGTGGATTTATGGATGGAGAAGGAAGATATTCAAATTAGCAATGTGTATATATTTATGGAAATTTTATTCATAGGAAATTTTTATGAATTCCTGCATTTTTTGGAACTTTCTAAAAGCATTAAATATCATTTATATTCTGGACTCATTTGTCTGTGACAAAATATTGTTTTTAACAGTTTTTGGCAATGGATACACCCAGCTCTTTGGTAACTTAGTAAATTAATTGAAACTCACTTACTTTGTAAGCCTAGCAGTGCTGTCTCTGTCGATGATTTTGAAATCTTAACAACCAGCAGCAACATGTTGCTAAGTGATCGTCGCTTAAGGTTAAAAACAATTCATAACTCTAATTGATGTTTCCAAAAGCCGCGGTTCCGTTGTCAAAAATCAAATAACTTAAACACAATAGAAATATTAAGATATGACACGAATTTAATATTAAGGGTTTTTGACTTGACATGATCACAATTCAAATTAATAGCCTAAAAAACATTGACATATGATATGAACATTATCATGTATTAGCCATTCATTTTAAGCTACATTCCATTTAGGTTACTTAAAAAAAATTATAATAAGTCATTTAAATTCTTAAAGTACCGCACATCAATATGACTATACATAGAAGGCATACGACAAAAATTATGCAAAAGGTCTTCAAATAAATGAATTCATCAGCCAGTTCCTTTAGAGCTCTGAATTTTAAATTTAATTTAATTAATAGTATCAATTCTTCAAATTGGCCCCTTTCAAATGAACAAAATAAAAAGCAGGCGACAAAAAAATTGAATTTTCAATTGTTCGCCTTGATTCTATTACATCCGCCTTTTTTTCGTCTCCCTCTTCAATTTTCATTCCTATTTGTACAGAAAGTGCTAAAAAAATTTTTGTTTTCAAATGCATTAAATTTTCGATCCCGGGTGTCTCTTACTTAATCCATTGCTTTGCATAAATATACAAAAGGAATTGATTTTTTTTCCTCCCACAATTGACGCTATTTTTGAATGTTATGTGTTCTTTGGTTTGTGACAGAAGCTGCATATGGATGGAAAAATAAATTGTAGATTTTTGGTAGCTTAGAGGATTTTTTTTGATACCTGCTAGGATATTTTGAATGCAGACATCTGTGATGTTGTGCCTTGAATCAGAAGTATGCTCCCTTATACAGGGTAGTCTATCATTTCTTGGTCAAGTCGTCTACTAGCTCAATAATTGAACTCAGCTGTATTTTGAGTTAATACATAAGTTCGAATCCCATCAAATCTCTAATGTTTCAATAATTATACTGTGTCAATTTTACAAGAATCTGCATAGCACTTCCTACTCTACAGCATCAAAACTCATAAACCTGAATAAAGAACCAGTCACAATAAAATCACAAACTTCCTAATGACTCTAATCAATTTGTTAATACTTTCAATTCTAAAACAATTTGTCAATAGAAAATTAAATGGAAAATTGCAGCAACTAGCATTAAATTAGTAAGGGTTGATTATCATTCAATGTTTGCAGTATGCCGTTCATCCCTTAACACTCAAACCCCTCGTAATATTTATTTTTATATTACATTATGTTATTATGGGTTCTCATAAAAATAATTCTTCTTACTCGCTCACATGCGACAGTAATGCAATAAAAATATAACAAAAAAGAGATTTCGGGTCGATTTGAGTGATTGAAATCAGAGCATGAAGATATTTTTATCATAAATTGGTCTTTTATTACCTACTTCACTTTTAATTAATCTCTCAATAACATAAATGCATGGACAAAAATAACTTTTTAAAATGATTTTTATTTTGTGATGAATATTTTGCGAGTGACTGAATAGAGTTTGAACGGAATTTGGTATTTATAAATTTTAGAAGAGTCTTTTATTGATGAATGTTGTCACATGTCTCTTAAGTTTTACTGAGCGTTCTGAACCATCCATGCCATGCTTTTAGACTAGAGCAAACCAGTAATTACAATTTAATTACAATTTATCATCACTGACACTCGCCAAAACTTTTTAACGTTCGATATTCACTTAAATCACAGATCAGCACATATAAGATTAGTGCCTACATGGTGTTAAAGCAAATATTATATGTAGAACCAATCGGTAAACACTTCACTGCTGTTTTCCAGTCTCTGCCTTTGTCAAGCGGCTGTTGTTTGGTTCTAAGTATAATATCCGATTGACCACCGTATAGACACCGTTTACAGCTCAGGGACCACTCAGATTAAACATTCTAAAATCACAAAACTCAGCCTCAGATGGCAAAAAGTGATGTTATAGCAAAACAAAAAAGAGAAAGTCATTCACATTCAGCAAAATAAATTCGTCGCTCCATCCTACAAAAAAAAAATTATTATTTTTGGAATCAATCAAAACACACATCATAATTGAATTGAAATGGGATTGATTTGATCGGCATTTGGCATTATACAGAATACAAAACGAAGGAAGGTGGTGTGGAGGGCTTAACTACATAATAAAATGATTTTTTTTTTGCTGCTGCAACTAGAATTGTGTAACAATATTTTGTTTGAAGAGGATGAGAATGGTTGAATGTTTTTATGTTTCTTGTGGATAATCCCACATAATCCCTCAGAACTTTATTCCCTCTGATTTTTTTTCTCTTTTGATATTTTATTTTTTTGCGACTCATTCCTCAAAGTAAATGTCAATTGTGGATGACTTTGACGCATTCTGTTTGCATTGAAAGAGTCAGAGTGAATTAATTTTCTTTGGCATTTAGATTGTGGGATGCTGTAAAGAGAATTGATAAGATTTGTGATCAAGCAATGGAACTTTTCTTAAATTAATTTGATTTAATGGAAGAAAAATAATTTGAGTGAAGCTTGAGGGTGTAATGCAGTGTTGTCCAAACTATGTGCCGCGACACACTGGTGTAAGTAGAAATTTTTTTTCATAATGGCAAAAGCCCCATTCTGTGTGCGACTTTAGTCATGGCTTCGCCCTAAAGTGTGCCGTGGCTTAAAAACTTTGGACAACACTGGTGTAATGGGATGCGTGTTTGGCAACTGAACATTGTTTCTCAAACTATGATCTACGGTACACTATTGTATCGTCAAAATCTTTATCTTTATCATGCTTTGATAAGTTTGATAATGACTGTTTAGAAGACTGTGAATTTTTGTGACCAAAATAAGAAGGAACAATTCATTATGTTCCATTGGTGCATCGTTGTTGCTACTGCTGTGCACACTTCATTAAACAATTCTCAAATTTTGTCCATCTAATCGATCTCAGATTCCTCTTTAAAATATGTTAATTGGGCTTCATATTTACCACCTGAAAAGACCTCAGCATGACTCTTAAATATTTTAAAAAATTCCAACATTTAATCTTCAAATCAGTAGTTATGTTTTATTGCTGGTTCACTAATTAAAAGGTGTCCATATCACAAGAAAATGATACAATATCATTCGAGTCATTAAATAAAATATTAATCACCATGAAAATTATTAAAACAAACACGAAATGCTACATGACAGTTGCAGCATAGACACACAAATTTCATAAACTTGTTTCCATTTGAATATACAACATTTTTTTCATCATGCTGTGAAGGTTTTAAGGCCTGACATTCTTTTTATCTCTACTTTATGTTGTTTTCATTCCAAATGTTGTCATTACATTGTAAATTATTTGCCAATTCACTGACTCCTAATGCTTCATCCTCGTTTTACATTAAATCAAAGAAATATTTTGTGTACAATTGTTGGAAGTGAAAAATATCCACTTAATCTCTAATTCAATTATGTAGCCATAATATAGTGTAGATTGATTGAAAAGCAAGTGGAATCAAACCATTCGAATGAATAAGACTCAGCTGCGACTAGTACATATGTTATTATTTTGACTATATTGATAATATCAAGTACATGTTTAATCAGATTTAACTCAAATATCTTCCTATCTTTTGTTGTATGTTAGGATGGAAGAATTTAATGATTTTATGTAGGGTTGAATCACAAGTGGTGTCAAGAGACATGCTTAATCCTTCTGAATTTTGTAATTTATTAGTGATTTTCCATTCATAAACTTCAAAATCGAATTTATTGTTGGACATCACTTATGAACAACTCCTTAACGACTTCTTAAACTCAATTTTAATTCATTGAACTCTTTCAAGTTGCTTTAATCCCCAAAAAAATTATTTTCTTATTTCTTTTCATGTTCTCAACAATCATCCGCAAAAAAAAAGATGTCAAGCTGGAACAGGTCGTTGTGTTGTCGACAAGGCGCATCGTAATCAATGTCAGGCGTGTCGATTAAAAAAATGTATGACAATGGGAATGAATAAGGACGGTGAGTAACACACTTTTATTCAACCTTAATTTAATATAGCAATTTTTCGATCATTCATTTGCACTGATAAATGCCTCAAACTGTCTACGGAATGATTGTTATTGTCAGGAAATTAACGCAGAAACTTTTTATTTGTACTGTGCTGTTGAAGATACAGTTTGCGTTATTTTTCATATTGGATGCGTCAAATGAGAGTAGAAAAGAGGAAGACCAACAGAAAAAATCTACTTTGACTATTTGAATTCCAGCTGTTTTATTTTTGTACACGCGTGTGTATCGTGCTGTGGTAGAAAATTTGATTGTTTTCCATCCCTATCGACTATGGGCCATATGAGTGCAACAATATGCAAAACAACGGGAAGATAAAACAATTTTCTTTCTCCCACTCTCATTAGTTTTGAAGTTTATTTCTTCTCAAGGAAATGTACAAAAACCGTATGCTTAATACCTGGCAAAAGTATTAAAAGTTACTGAAGCATCTACAAATCAAGTTTGTGTAAACATTTCTCTTGCGCAAATCGCTTGTCAATTTTTATAAAATCATTTACGTTTGAATGAGTTTTTTTCATATTTTTTGTTTGTTTGAATGAATTTTACGTGGAAGTAGATTTGCTGAGAGATAGGGAAAAAGTCAGGTCGGTTCATAAATTTCAACTTTCTGTTTTATATTTTTCTGAACGATTTGAAATGAATTTTTTTTAAAAATTTTTTGTTTGTACTTACGGATGGATTATGATATCTGTTACAGACAATTGAATTTGCACTCAATTATGGATGATATTTAATAATGATAGCTGATAAGGACAGCTGGTTTGTTAATGTCATGAATATTTTATGAGATAATAAGTGTGGCTAGTTGCTTTTCATTTTGACGATCTTTACAGAATAAAACATTCAATATTGAAGGATCTTAATTAGAGTCACATCAGGATACCATTAACAATAGATTAATAGTTTAAGTTAGTATTTAATCAGGTTGGTAGCCACAAAAGTTGAATTAAGATTGAATTTGGCGTGAAGCTAGACAATTCAGTTGTTGTTGGTTTGACAATCATAAAGCTTTTATATTAATAAGGTAATTAAATTAGACCGCGGTTTAAATTATTGTAATTTAATGACGTTTTTTGTTCGGAGTTAAAAAGCAGAAAATTCATTTCTTTGAAGGGGCTAGCCAAGGAGAAAACAATTAAATATAGTTGGAAATACAATTTAAATACTAAACGACAGTTGATATATTCTCAACAGCTGTTTCATGTCATAATTTCATACGAGTAAGATTCAAATGTATTGAAACTCTTAAAACTCCATCCAAAAGTCATTCAACCTTCTGCAATTTTAAATCACCAAACTCAAGAAATGATGAGACAAAAATTGTAAAAAAAAATCTTCCAAGCCATGAATATTTTCAAGTTCTACCTGCAAAATCTCAAAAGACACAAAGTAATAACTCCCGATTAAAGTTAAAAGATTCTACAACAAGTACCGTTTGATTTTCCATTCGAATGGAAAGTTGATTGAAGTTCTTTTTCCCTGTTCATTTTACTACATCCATTACTTTTTCCACATCATTGTATTTTTTCAAATTGCTGTCTTTATTATAAAATAACTTGTAGATCTTTTACCGCCGTGAGCATTAAACAATTATTATCATTTGCATGCGGTGAGAGGCGATAGAAAAAAAAGACAAGTAAATTATTTTATATATTTTTTAATGATGATAATTCCACACTCAAAAAACTCATTCACACTTTATTAAACCAACAAAACAGAAACTGATACAAAATTAAGTGTGTGTATGCAAATCATCATATATGGAATATCCGACATGCATTTACTGCGTATTTTTTTACTTTGAAGTCACTTTGGCTGCGGCACGTGCAAATATAGAATACAAAAAACAACGTGAATCCTTTTTTCAACCACTGATGTTGTTCCTTTAAAAAACATATTCTTTTGTCGTTGAATTAATTATGTGTGAAAATTGTTGCGTTTAACCCATTTATGACATTTTTGTGATGATGATGACGATGGTAGTTGAGTTACAACCTCCTCCTTAATAATTATTACATTTTTTTATGTAACCACATCTCATTGACGCAAAACCAAGCGCGCTCTGTCAGCATGTGTTATTTGATTATCCACGAGACAATGTGTTTTTCTGTAGCTTAATGAGGCATTTTGTGGGCTGACTGAAAAATTTAAATATTTTTTAATGGTCACGAAAAGGAAATTTTGTGTGGAAAAATTATTAATTATTTTTATTTTCACTTGGAAATTCACAAGTAGCTGTTCAGAATGAGCGACAACCACGAAACACAGCAACAATTAAACCAGAATCTTTGCGAGACATGGATTCGTCGAAAATGTTGCGAGAACATTCAAATCTCGTGGGAATTTTTGGGTAATTTTATTTATATAATCTATGGCTTAATATTCCTTTTAAAAAATAATTTTAAATAAATTTCAGACCACAATTTACAAACTCAATGTCATTGTCAATGCTTTCTCCGCCACGATACGGACATTCCGATTTATTGACACCACCAGGTAAGAATTTACATCCATTAACCCTTTTCAATGTCATGCCCTTATTTTTAAACTCTATCTCTTAAGTAGCTCTCGCAGCATCTCAATTTTTACATCACACTAGTCAATTAAGTGCAATTCCACATCACCATCAAATATCTTTAGCAAATGGTAATAAACTTTATGGGATTTTATTGTAAATTTTATGTCTAATTGAATGATTTTAATTTATAGATTATCATTTACTGTCTCTCAACTCTTCATCAAACAACAATTCAATCTCTTCCAATAGTCCAAATGGTGGACATTCGTTAAACAATAACACCAAAGGTAAGCATTGTAAGTCGGTGTGATAAATTATTAATGTGATTAATATGATGAACTGAAGATGGTTTGAGAGTTTAAAGCAGATTTTGTGGAAAAGAGCAAAATTTTAATTAAAATGAACATTTATTAAAGATTCTTAGTGTCGATCAAGAAAAGAAATTAGTTTGAATGTCAATTAAGAGTTTGAAACTGATTAAAATGGTCAAAATTTATCAAAATGTGATTTTTCATATTTAATAAAATATTGATTTCATTCTAAATGAAGTAAGCAACTTCAATCAAGCTTAATTGAGATTTTTTTGGCTGAAATTTTTAATCAATTTCTTAATTCTAACTTGAATGCAGGATTTACTTTAAAATTCAAGTTTATGAATTTAATTAAATTCTAAACTTTAAAATCATATTAACAACACTGACTTCATTTATTTAAAATTATCTTCAAAGCTTTGCTTCCAAAAATATCATCCAAATGTAATCAACGTTTTTCGAAACAATCCAAAACCAAAAATCTCCACATCAAACGAAATAAATCTCTCATTCGCATTCTTTTTTTGATTTGCATAAATTAATCCGTAAAATATTCAATTTCTGCTAGACGAAATCAACAATACACAAAAATCATCATCAATTGGCTCTGGTTCACCATCACATCTAATAGAAAACGATGGTAAGTATATATGCTTTGCTATTAAAGTGATTCATCTCGAAAGGAATGAGCAAAAAAATCGATGAAGCTAAATCTCATTTTGTATAACACATCTCCTTTTTCTCTCGCTCTTTAAACTTTCCAGATGATTCCATTGAAATTGAGGTTACGACAAATGACGAAGAAAATGAAAATGGCGAAAATGGAAAAAATATTATGGTTCCCCATTTCGTTAATTCTTCTCTGTATGGACATACGCATGAGACTGTTTATGAAACAAGTGCACGTCTGCTGTTTATGGCTGTTAAATGGGCCAAAAATTTGCCAAGTTTTGCGAGTTTGGCATTTCGAGATCAAGTAATTCTGTTGGAGGAGTCATGGTCGGCATTGTTCTTATTAAATGCTATTCAGTGGTGCTTGCCACTTGAGCCAGCTAATTGCTCCTTATTTTCTGTAACGGAACATTGCTCGAATAATAATAACAACAATAATATTAATTTAGCAGATAATAAACAAGACAAGGTAAGAAGATATTTTTTTTTCATGTAAATGACTGGAATTTAAATCACATTAATTTCCAATTACTGTGATTGACAGACTTCTCAAGATATTCGCACACTTCACGACACTTTGCTACGATTTAAAGCAATTCTCGTAGATCCTGCTGAGTTTGCATGCCTCAAGGCAATCGTTCTCTTCCGCTCTGATGCCAAAGGGTTAAAATCACCATCGGAAATTGAGAATTTGCAAGATCAGGCGCAGGTATGTTCATTATTGAAAAAAATAAATAATATTCAAGTCATGCGTAAATGATAATTCCATGTTAATGATATTGACGATACAAAAATATAGGTGATGCTGAGTCAACACTGCCGTGCACAATTCCCGACGCAAATTGCACGTTTCGGTCGATTGCTGTTGATGTTACCATTATTGCGACTTGTCAGCTCAACACGCATCGAGTCAATTTATTTTCACAAGACCATCGGCAATACACAAATGGAAAAAGTTCTTTGTGATATGTATAAAAATTAAATTGAATTAATTTATTCCTCAAAACTTCTGGTCAAGTTAAAATCAAATTTTACACTTTCATGCTGCTAATTAAATAATGTGGAATGCAGGAGAAGTCAGATGATATTTCCGTACAATTCTCCATACAATAGATATTAGTGAATTTGTGTTTATATTTAGGAGGAAATTTGTAATATATTGACTATAATTTTTTTGCTTTGAGTTTATTCCTTAATGATTAATTTAGAAAAATAAGAAATTATTGAGAACTTAGCAAAGCTCATTAGAAATAATTTACTGTAAATATACGTATTGTGTACCTTTTATGATATTATGTCGTAACTATGAAAATTACTCTCCGTCGGTCGTACTGTAATTGTGTAATTTAATTTATACTTTATATAATTTAATTGTTTTGGTTGAATTAACTTTTAAATATTGTTTAAAATACTTATCGAAACTGAGAAGCACAAAGATAACTCCAAAAGAAATATTATTTATTAAAATTATTATGGAATATGATAACATCATGATTAAATTAAAGACATTATTTTAGTCTTACTTAAACATTGAATTAGATTGAAAAAACAACAAATTGATAGACCTGAACATTATTATTCTTTAAAATCATCTGCGTTTCCCTTTTGTCCCTACAATGTGACTTAAAAATGAAATATTGATCATAGCAGTGAATATGCCACATAATATACACCGTGTGCCGTTCTAGAGACATAAAGGAATTTTTTTTTTTCAATCAATTTCTGCTTGCCATATGTTATCAGACTCGTGTTTGTAAACGGTTGAATTTTAGTACAAATTACTCGACTTTTTTCTGTTTTGTAAAGTCTGGTTCTTTTCCTTTCGTCATGGTTAAATGTATAATTTAAGTCGAAAAATTGATGAATTTTCGGTAACCTTGAACTTTTTGATTCTAATGTCCGGTAGTTCTTAGTTTACTTTCTGATTGTATTTGAAACTAAGATTTTGAAGGTATTTTAATTTTAAAATTCAAAGAAATTTTATAATAAACTGATTGCAATACTTTAAGTCTGGATCAATGTAAGATTTGATATCAATAATTTGTAAGTTTAATGCATTCCTTTCTTTATTTACTTCCGGATTGTATTAATTTTGACATAATTCCAAAGAATTTTTGTTTTTAGATTAAAACTTAACTTAATCAAATATGATTTCAGTTTTATAATTTCTATCAAAACATACCATTGAGTTATAACAGCAAAAGATAACTTCAAAATTCCAATTTTAAAAGAGAACATTTCTCAATGAAAAAATTTGACATAATCTTGATTATCAGATAAGAATATTCACATAAGTTTTATGCAAGAGGCTTTAGATAAGACAAAAGTTTCTAACTGAAATCATAAGCTATATTTAATTGAAGGTTAATACCAAAAAAGAAAGAAAAACAAATTGAGATAAAATTTATGATTTGAAAACCAAACTAGTCAGGTGGAAATTCCCTAAAATTTATTTTATTGTTATTATTTTAAGAAATGTTTAGAAATGTAATATAAATAAATGTTCATGTAATGATAAAGGAGTTATGTATTACTATGGCAGATGAAAAGATATTTAAAATTTATGATAAAGTGATGCAATGCCACACATTTGAGTGTATTTATAAAAAAAATTATTCCTTCATAATTGATATTCCAAAGCACAATATAAGTCTATTAAGTAAGATATAAGTAATTGCACAACACGTTGTACAATAGATGTTATTATTAATTTAATTTGGTGTCTAAATAACAATTACATCTACATATAGTGGATATAACTTATTGTAAGAATTGATTTAAATGAGAGAAGAGAAGAAAAAAAATAAAATGTTAATGAATGTAAGAAGTAAAAAAAGTCGTGACTCGAGAAATCTCTTTAATTAACAACTTTCAGATACCAACTGACATGCTTTCATGCATACGCAAAAGCTTTTTTATTTTCTTCAAAACCGTACATTCAGTCCAAAATAAATCGCTGTCATTATGACAGAAGAGAAAAGAAAATCAATAAATGAGCTTCATGGAACTTTAACGAAAGAACGATTTGACATTTTCGTTGAGCATGTGCGGGACATGATTGGAAAAATTGGAACGAATGTTGACATGCGCATGTGGGATGAATTCCAGTGACATTTGACATTTAACCTTAAATATGTTATGGTTCCTAATCATTCTGAGAATTTGAATTTAAAATATTTCAATTTCTAACAATCAATATAATTTGATTTATGTTCTTATGACTTAAAGGACCTTCAATTCACTGAATGACAATCAATATTGATGAAATCACCATAGTTACCAAACAAATTTACGTCACAAGAACATTTTTGTTGTCAAATGAACCCAAACATGTGACAAAGGAAAACATCGTAAAAGGATTTAAAAACTTGGAAGTGACTGGAAATCCAATCAACTTAACATTTTTTTCAATTTCCTAAAAAAAAAAACTTTATTTCCAATTCCATTTTTACTTCTGCGCTATCCACTCATGGACATTTTTCCATTAGGAAAAAAAAATCTGTAAAAGTAGAGAAAAATTTTTGTGTTTATTCCTTAACAACGCAAAATTATAAAATTAAAATAATTGTGCAATCAAGTTTCAATTAAATTAACTATAATTTCATATTTGTATGAGCAAGCTTTAAGAAATTGTATTAATTGATTCATTAAAGTGTTACTGAAGATCAAAAATTGATAAAAACTGCTACACCATAAAAAAAATAATTTTGAATATAAAACTTACTTAAATTTTACAATAAATATTGTATTTTACGACATTATCTCGTCTTAAAGAGGAATAACTTAAACTTTTAAAGGAAATAAATCACAATGTAAGTAAATTAATATCTCAATTGTTAATGAAAATGAATATCATTAACATTCATCAAGAAATCTCTTTGTCGTACGCAATTCACTCGTTCCTTAAATTATTCAATGGATAATCGAAACTTCTTTAGTTAAATATTAAAATCTAAAGTTCCATAAAAGCAAAAATATAGAACAAAAGAAAAATAGTGAAAATTTAAAATTATCGATTTTTATCATGAGGGCTTCATCATCCATACATGTCCATATAAAGCAATTTCTATCATTCTTCAAAAATCTTTTTCACTTTCTTTCAAATAAATTCAATTTTCTTGGAACTATGATTCGAGATCAATATTCTCTTTTGTTGGATGAAAAGTTTGCGAAACAAATCATGCAAATAGATTATTGTAGGCGGACAGCTAATGCGCATTTTTATCGTCTCTGATCATTGAATTCAATACAAAAGAGTCATTGCAAAATTGAAATAAAAATTTCATGCTAGAAACTTTTCCGATTTTGATGATGAAAAGTTTTTTTGAGTCAGTCTCTCGGGGAAACTGAATGCTATCAAGATAATAGAATGAAATTCGACCACAAGATCCAGCTGATCAAATAAGCACAACATGTACCTGTCTAATTTTCATCGCGTTATCTTGACAATGAAACTTAAAAAATGTATGTCAAGTTAATAGCAATTATTGTCATTTTAAAAAGTCACTAGCAACAGTTTAGGTGGTATAGACATGATTATGACTGATGGAAGCGCATTTTTGACACCCAGTATCAGAAACTCATACTACCCACTATACGCTCCTTCCTACACATTCTATTCATTTTATGTAAACTATTTTTCAATTGTCCCAACCCTGTGAGTTGTTTATGTGACGTGTTGCGCAATAATCTACTAGAGAAGGAGCTAGGAGTTGGCAATTCAATGAAAATTCATAAAGACAAGCACGCAGGCAGACAAACAGATACGATTTGGTAGATCTCGAACAGAGACAAACTGACAGTTGTGCAGCACAATCTTTACTTATAATTAAAAAAAGCACTTAAAATAACTGTCCTGCTTTCAAAGACCTGTGACTATTCGTGATTCCCCCAAATAACAGAAATGACAATGACGAAATGAAAATCGCATAAAAGGAAGAAGAAAGACAGACTTATTTATCAAAATGGAAAAACTCAATCACTTAGAGCAATTATTAGAAATGAGAAGAAGTCCCAATTGATTTTAAATCAAATTTTCAACATTTGCCGCCAACACACACAGAATGATGCTTATGATGATATTCAAATTTCATTTCAAGTACCTTTTTATGATAAAAGTTAAAAGAGCTCTTAAGCTATAAAATTTTATACTCTCCCTTTATTTTTGCAGGGCTGCCCCAGGACAGGATCCAAATAATCTCGCACCAGCTGCACCAGCCGTGGGCGAGGATGGAGAAGTTGTAGGAGGACCAAGGTTTGTTAGCTTAAGTTTTATTTGGAAGTTGCTTAACTCATTTGTACTATTTTTAATTCTCACACAACTACCCACATAAATGTCATTTGAAAAAATATATAGAACACCCCAACAAATTGCTGCACAGAGACGACTTCAGCAAACACAAGCGCAAGTCGATGAGGTAATTGACATACACAGTTGCATCTAATTATATCGCAGAATGTTGTACAAGGAAATCTCATTTTCAGTACTTTTTTGATTAGACAAACTTTTTTTTGACTATCATTAAAATTGAGTTCTTAACAAATTTTTCCTTCCTGTTCCTTGTTGCCGTCACTTTCAGGTTGTTGATATAATGAAAACGAATGTTGAAAAAGTATTAGAAAGAGATCAGAAGCTTTCGGAATTGGACGATCGAGCTGATGCATTACAGCAAGGTGCATCACAATTTGAGCAGCAAGCGGGAAAGCTCAAAAGAAAGTTCTGGTTACAGAATTTGAAGGTATGCATTAATTCTTAAAGTTCTTAATTGGGTCTTTCTTGAGTAATTAATTCTGAATTTTCTTCTTCCTTTTCTTTTTAGATGATGATTATTATGGGTGTAATTGGACTTATCATAGTAGCGTATATTGGATGTAAGATTGAGAATTCTTTAAATTCAAAGAGTTGAAGCACACTAAACATGTTAATCGATGTTAAAATTTCTTTTAATGTTTGGTTTGGTCTGACTTCTTGCTGTATTTTGGAATTTATGATTTGAATAACTTTCAATGAATCTTCAAGTTGACATTTCTGGATAAACTTTACATTTGTTCAATAATTTGATTTGTTCTTTAACGCTCATGAGAATTGGACGAAAATTCTAAAGGTTTCCTGGTTCATATAAAGTTTTGACGGAAGTCCTTGCAACTTTTATGTTCCCAGTAGTCATTTCCGTTCTCATATCCGGAACTTTTTGTGAAAAGGCAAATTATTGGAAAAGGACGATAATATTTACAGTGACGCTAGAAGATTTCTTTTATTCCTACGTTATATCTAGTTCCTTTGCAGATAATAACGTTTTATGGTGTAAAACCTTCACTTTAAAGACTTTTGGATATGATCCTTAGGTTGATCTTGGATTAGATTTTAAATTCGAGCGTATTCAACTCAAAGATAATCAATTCTTAACTTAATGCAAAGTTGATTCAAAAGGAATTAAGCAGTATTGACTTTGAGCTCTAGTTTTGCACCAATCTTGAAAATGCACTTGATTAAATTGAAAATAATTAGCTTTACTTTTGATTTAGACATCAATTCCAAGACTAAGAAATTCAAATGAATTTAATTAAGTTGAATTGAGGACGAATGTCTTAATTAAAATCCTAAAAATAATTGAACTTTAAACTTAGTCTTTAATCTTTACAAAGCATTCATTAATCTTTAAAATATTCTAAAAATCAAATTTTACTTTTAGCGAAATTCATGAGTGATGAAAAACCTCCGCAATACTATCCTCCACCACCAAATTACATGCAGAATCAGCAACAAGTAGCACCAGCAGCCCCAGCATCTGCACCACAAGGAGGTGGTGTTGGTTCAAAGTCATTCTTTCCAATATCCAACTCAGATCGATTCTTTCGGGTTTAAAAATTTCTTGTTTAATTGAATTAAGCCCCTTTATAAGAACAAAAAAAAAGACAAGTATGTTTTTCCCTCTTTATTACTTCTCTACAATTTTTTTCGATTGTTAAATCCGATATTGAATATGGAAAAAAAAAAATAATTTTTAAGTGTGATGGTTATATGAAATCATAAAATAATTCTGTTATACAAACAAAAAATTATAAAAAAGGAAAAAATTATGATAGGATAAAGGACAGTTACGAAAGAGACAATGAATAACAATTATGTGAGAACGTTGGAGGAAAATGAAAAGGTCAAAAGTTTCTAATATGAAGAATATGAAACCTTTTTATGAGAATCTCAATCTTTCTATCAAAAACGGGTCAACCGGCATTTTATTAGATTTCAATTAGACAAAAAAAAAATAAATAAATTCACATCCTATCACACTCCTTCATTTCACTTCCGATTTTTTTTTTGTGTTCCGTTCATGTCCAAAAGAAAAATGAAACGATTCCATGCAATAAATAAGAAAAGATTTAAAATATATAAGAGAAAATAAATAAAAATAACGTTCATCAAGAATCGACAATGATAAGGGAAAATATTATAAATTATAATACATAGTTATACCTTTTTAACATCATCACGACGAAATAAGCTTCGGATACAGAAAAAAATTAAGAGAAGAATAAAAAAAAATTAATAATAAATTATTTAAAAAACAAAAAAAAAACTTAAATAAACCTATAACATATGAGTATGATGAAATCACAAGCTAATTGTTACATAAAAATATTTATCTTTTAAAAGTATAGACTTTAAAGATTATTAAACGATGGATGGTGGAAGAAGTGGAGATCTTTAGATTTAGCTTCAATAAATTACAAAAACAAGTGAAAAACTAACTTAAATGAATTAAATCATTCCTAAGTATTGTAAAGGTCAAAATAAATTTTGTTTCTTTTTGATGACTTTAAATTTGTGAATTTTTCGGAGAAAGTCAAGTTGATCAAGTCCCAAAAAACAAAAATACAAACACACATAATCGAAAGGATTGACACACAATAAATTGTGCAAGAAGAAGAAAAGAACATAAAAAATAATAATATTTGTGACATTTTTAATTTAATCTTTTACAAATTTTTAATGTTCAATTAACTTTGTTGATAACTGACAATTCGAGTGCTGCATGACTTTAAAAGCTATTGTTTTTTTGAGGTGTGTTTGAGTCACAGCTTGTGAACATGATGCTTCATGGAGAGAACAGCTGTTGGATGTCACATAATTTTATTGTAACAACTGCAAATTAAACTTTGCCAATTAGGTCAGATTTGGAGTTGAGCATTTATCTTCATCCCTTCCATATTTAAAGAGCTTTGCCAAAATATATGTATCTGTGTTACTATGGATTATTCCTTGGATACAATATTAAAGACAGAAATCGATGATATTTTTGGTATAGAATTTAAAAAATCGAAGAATTTAGAGCAGGTTGATAAGATTGGAAGAAGGAATAGTATACAGAAGATCTCTTAGAGTGTTGCTTAGTGTTTTATCCCTAAGCATACTTGAAAGAATCTGACTATTCAGTGATAAATGATGAAATTACAAATCTTGAGTTAATAAGCCAAACTGATTGATGATAAGATCAATAATATTCTAAGTTCTTCAAAGGATAAGAGAAAACGAGCTTTTGGCGAGCTTTAGTTATGTTCACATCAAAATCAATCAGTGTAAACCTATACTAAAGATGGAATTCACCAAACATCGCAAGAACTAAACCGATAATAATTTGCGATTCAAACCTAGAAGACAACAAATTTATGCATTGAACCAAAAGGTCAACAGCACATGATGACAAAAAACACAGAATGTGTAATGAAAATTTTCCTACAGTGCCATATCAGCCACTGAAGGAATTTCAAACTTACAATAATAAACAACAGCTTTCAAAGTCTATCGAGTCACTCGAGAAAAATATTTTCCATAATATATGAGGAATCTGATTGAATTAAATATTGTATAAAGGAAAAGATAAGAAAGAAAATGTGCAACACCATCATCAATAAATAATTTTTTTTCTACATCCGTGTTATCATTTGCCTCAATATTAGGGAAGACTATTATAGTTATTGCTCTTAGACTAATTAAATTATCAATTTATTATATTGTATCTACAATTTTATTGTTACACAATTTGATTGCCTTTTTCTTTTTATTTAAATTTTTATTCCGAAGATAATGGAAAATTATTGGTATAACTTATATACAGTAAATAGGTGAAAAAAAAACAAGTGTATGTACTTTAATTAAAACAGATATGAAATAAAAATATTTAAAGAGTCACTCTCACAAAACCGAAAAAAAACACATACCTACATAGTAACACTCTCTGCAAATCTATAGGTTAAATAAATTAATATAATAAAAAAATAAATACAGAACAAGAAATCGTCATGATACAATGAATGTAAAGTGAAATAAAACATTACTATGAACAAGAATTAAAGAACAGAAATCAGTTACTAACACGCAATTTTTTTTAATTTGATTCATAACGCAGAAACAAATTGGATAGTAACAAAAAAATGTGAGTGATAACTTATGTTGGGACAATATATACACTATTAAACTTAATTCTATGCTCCTTAATCATTCTTTGTCGAATTTTATTGTCTATGTCATTTCTCAAAAAAGCCTTTTTCGCCTAAAATAAATAGAAACACAAAATGATGACAAAACTAATCAAATTTTTATCAAAATAATTATAAGATTGTCATGAGTTGTGAGTTCCTGATGTGCATTGTCTAGCAAATAGAGTTCAATGATTTATTGACAGCTTGAGATTCTTCTAAATCGATTTGTTGACATTTTGAGTTGAAAATCAATCAATTTGATGAATTTTGAAAATTCTAGAGTTAAGTCAGCAATTTCTAAGTGATTAGACAAGTTTTGATATAAAGGAAAGACTAGAACCAAATAAATCAGTTCCAGTACAACAAATTGGTAAATAAATAGAAATTTTCTATTCAAAAGCAAATTACAAGATTCGCGAAACTCAAGCTCTACCCGAAATGTCTTGATTCTATTTCCTAGAAAGTGCACTAAAAATAGCAAACAAAAGAGAAATGAGTCAACTCGAATTTTGTCGCAGAAAAAAAGAAGATCAATAATGAGAAAGCATTCAGTTTCGAGGAAGCAAGAAGAGTAACGTTTATGTATTATTTATGTAGCATGAAATAATTTATTAGTATGATTTTTACGTTTGATAGATGCTATAACGAAATTTGGAAAACAAAGACCGATAAAAAGGATGATAAAAAAAATCAAGCGCTACGCATAACACATTTTTAATTTCTCTAATCATTGCAATTTTCATTCAAAAATTGTGAAATGTATTTAAAGAATATTATAGCAAATTGTAATTTTAAAGATTTCAATAAAAATGAGTATAAAAGTGACAGAAATAAACAAAACTACCGTCTTTCCGTTGTTTACTTATTCTATTTATATATTTATTTATCAGCTCTCATCACGTCGAGATGATGATACAATGAATGATCGTTACTATCATCTTAAAACTTATCTACATTGTTACAAGTGGCGCTTCCATCAAAATAAGTAAATAAATAAATCATCATAAATGGATTATATTGTTACACACGTAGGGTGCTCCTCGATAAGTAAGTTAATGAGAGGAAACAAACAAATCGTGTATTTGTTTAGACTAGCTCTGACTGAGAAATTAATGACGTCTATGAAATATGAACATTTTAGAAAAACATTTAGTGTGGATCATAAAACGGTTGGATTTTTGCGGCTTTTGGCAAATTTGTGTGGGATTAAATTTTACAATAATGGATCAAAAACATACTACTTACTTCCTAGATGTGGTTCAATGGGGGTTCGCGGTTTGTGATTGTCAGAACCCACGATGCTCTGTTGTTCAATCAAATGAAGATTTTTCCGAACAGCACACAAAGCAACAGATTACAATGATGTTTTGAGGTTATGCTTTAAAATTTCGCAAACTTTGAATAAACTTGGCAGCTTTTTAATTTTCTTTGTTGATGACTTTCTACTGATTTGTGACAAGTTTTTACGTTGAAAAATTTACGATTTGATAATGAAATAAAAGTTTAATATATTACGTGAATTTTAGGTCGTTTCATTTCCGTACCAGTCGAACATCCCTCCAAACTGCGATAAAAGTTTGCCACACTCACTAGATAATGCAAAGAGATAAGAAAACAGCAATTAAAAGCCCATAAAGTTGTTCAGCTTCTTCTTTTCCTTATATTCGTTTTATTGTTTTTGTTTTTCTTCATTGTTGCTTTGGAAAACATCAGAAAATCATGATTTTTTTTTTTGCTTATTTATCCATTATTATATTAAAGTAGTTTCCTTCGCAAAGTACATTTTTTTTGTTGTAAATTAGGTAATTATATTTTTAATATATGTATTATAATCGTTATTTGTAAGTAAATTGCAATGTATGACAAAAACAAATAATCATAGATAAAGATAATAATAAAAAGTGTGTAAAATTTTTAAAAAATTATCAATTCTTTTTTTCATATAAATCGCCACTATCAGTAGTCGCTAATTCTTGTTATTTCAAGAGAAGCTTATGATTTAAAGCATTTTATTATTTTTATTTGTCCAAAAATTAAATGAAATTAAATTGATACGTTTATAAATTTTTCCGAGCTCTCATATAAGTGTGAAACATTTATATCTTGTCAATTCATTTTGAGAATAAACAGAAAAATAAAGGTTGACTTACTTAGAATCTCACAATTTTTTTTTCGCGATAAACTTCTCTTTTTTTCATTCATATTTCGTTCCTCATTTTCATCCATTACGTCATCTTAAAAATTTACTAAATATTTTATTTTTTTTCTTTTTCTAGCTTTTTTTTTGTCTCACATCTTCATAAAATGTAAAGGAATAGTAATAGACTGCTTGCTTATGATTTGTAATTAGTTTTTCTTCTCTTCTTCATTCGATGTTACCCATTTCACTATATTCACAAGGAAGTCGTAGTTTTAGGGACTTGGAAGAAGACGATGATGATTGTTTAGTTTTCAATTACTTAATTATTATTACTCACTCGTAGCGATGAATAATAATAATAAGATATTAATTATATTAACATATTTTTTGTAAATTAAAGGGTGTTAGGTATTTCGATGAGATTAAAAAAGTCAAAAAGGACATATCGTAATAAAAAATATGTGTGTGTGTGTGTTTTACAATATTATAATGTGAATGATCAAGGACATTTCACGTTGTAATTGAGTTTTTGAGTGCATTTATATAATGTTTTTGTAATGGCTTATGAAGAGCTAATTTTTCGAGAGCTTCCTCTAATGAAAACCACTGCCTCTTTCTACCTATAGTCTTTGAGTCATCCCATTCTTCAAGCTCTTGCGTTACGATTAAAACGAACACTTCCGTACGATGTTTATGCTCCTCGTTCTAGAAATAGGCATAGATATTAGATATTTTTGTGCAAATTCAAATATTTGGATTAATTATTACGCACATCAAATACACCAAGGCATCTTCCTAGTCGACCAATAACACCTGCTTCTTCGAGCACTTCCCTAACAGCGGTTTCAGCACCTGATTGTTCATTTTCCTCAACACCTCCACCGGGAATTATCCATCGTTCAGGATATTTACTTGACGACACAAGCAATACCTAAACAAGCAAATTTACAAGATAATTGGAATGTTTTACAACTGAAATCTTTGTTATTTTTCGATATAGCGGTAAAAGTTTCAAGTATCCAAGACTTTTAAAGTCAAAATCATATTTTTTTGGCATAAAGACAATATCATCAATAACGTATGAATAACACATCTACATACCTCTGATTCATCATCACTTCTGACACAGATGCATGCTGCACGCTAAGAGAATCATTAATTCATTAGAATAATTCGGGAAGTTACTCCAACTTTTTTTCGGATCTTTTTTTTATATTTTATTTTTTTTTTGTGCAAGAGATTTTCACAATTTTTCATGCTTACTTTACGGTATCCATCCTTATCGAATATTCGGCTGTTACTCGACTTCTCTTTTACCATATTAATTAACTTATTACTCACTATAAACTAACTTAAATGATCAGAATATCCAAAATTAATAAATTGTATTTTTTTACTTTAAAAAGTGCGGCAAAACTCTCAACTAAAATTTCAAATTTTCAACGACAGTTTCAAGAAATTAACGGTTACATTCAAATTTGTAAACAAACTTTTTTGTCATTTTTATCAAAAACAAATTTTAACTAGTTTAATTAGAGATTAAGGATATGTCGTGGGATGAAAAGGAACTAGACTTTGAGGATCTAAATACTGAAATTGACCAACGATGTTCCAGTGATATATTAAGAGTATTTAAGAACAATCAAGGAGTTTGTCTCTACAAACTTTTTAATGACGATGAGTTTAATGATGTTATTATGATTTTTAAGCTCATAATCAATAGGGAAATGGATGTAAAGATAATAAGTGATGAGTATGAATACAAGGATTTTGATAAACTTACTTCCTGGAATCAATTAAATGAGTTAATTGAGAAATACTTGCAAAATGATGAATCTCAAATGGTTTTTGAGGAATATGACGAAATTATTGAAGAATCTAATCCAGACATCGAATCTTTTGACACAGAAGAAGTCATAGAAACAGTGGCACTAGTTGAAACAGAAGAAATATTTGAGGACGAGTCAATGATCGATGAAATTGAGGCTGAAACGGAAAATCCATTTCAATGCACAAATTGTCATATAATCTTTAAGAATACGCTGGGTCTTAGACATCATTCACAAAGCTGTAACATCAAGAAATCTATAGTTCAAAAATGCACAATCTGTGATCAGAATTTCTCCTCAAACTTACAACTTCGACTACATATGAAAAGTCATGAGGATCAAAAGGGATTGAAATGTCCATATTGCACAAAAACAGTTGTTAATAATGGTAGCTTACAGAGACATATAAAAGCTATTCATCTGAAGCAACGACCACATAAATGGTAAGCATGTTTAAAATTTCTACTGGATGTTAGCTAATGCGATGCTGGGTTATAAGTCCAGATACAAAAATCATGCACAGAAAATTATAAGTCCAGAAAATAAAAGTGACTAAAGGTTTGTAAGTCCAGATACAAAATGCAACTGAACTTAAAAACCTCACGTGCAGTTTATAAGTCCAGGTACAAATACAGCTGGAATTATAAACTGCACGAGAGGTTTTTAAGTTCAGGGACATTTTATATCTGGACTTATAAACCTTACGTGTGGTTCATAATTCCAGAAATTCCATAATTCCAAAATTCCATAAATTTTACTTAAATCACCCAGTGCGATTTCTTTTAAATCGTTAATTTAAAATGCTTCTAAAAGTGCTAAAAACATCAGCTGCTACATTTAGGATTCAGTAAATATCTAGTGATAAAGATTTTTTATGATGTTCAACTTTAAGGCACTAAAGTTCAATAACAGAGAGTTAATAAAGAAAAAAAAATTTGAAATAGTTTCAGAATAGTTTCAGATTAGTAGAAGTTTATAAGTAAAATTTATAAATTTTCTGGAATTATGAACCACACGTAAGGTTTATAAGTCCAGATATAAAATGTACCTGGACTTAAAAACCTCTCGTGCAGTTTATAATTCCAGCTGTATTTGTACCTGGACTTATAAACTGCACGTAAGGTTTTTAAGTCCAGGTGCTATTTGTATCTGGACTTAAAAACCTTTAGTCACTTTGATTTTCTGGACTTATAACCCAGCATCAGCTAATGCTTCACTTATTTTCGTTTAAAGCTCATTATGCGGTAAAGCCTTTGCAACATCAACGATAAGGAATGCACACGAAAGGACACATAATAGAAACTCTGAAGTACAAAAATATTTAAGTAGGGATGTCAATGGAACCGTTTGCTATCGATGTCCAAATTGTAATGATATTTTCGATACATCAGATCATCTTAAGAATCATATCGAAAAGAACTGCTATAGACCACGAAAGAAGCGTACTTATAAGTATCCATGCAGATATTGTGGAAAGCAATTTGTAACCAAGATAATAGCTGCTAAGCATTACTCAGATGATCATGATGTGATAATAAGTAATCCACAAAAATTTTGTTTCGAATGTAATGCAGAAGTTGAGGATTACGTTAATCACATCAGGTTTCATACATGCCAATTTAAATGTAATTATTGTGGAACTAAATTCTTAACTGAAGAAACATGTCGACAGCATGAGATCTCAAAGCACTCCGTACCTGAAGATCGTCCATTCCATTGCAGTTTTGATTCATGCAATGCATCTTTTAAGACTGAACATCATTTAAAGTCACATATTAATTCAATCCACGATCATAATGAACGACTTTTTCGATGTGAAATATGCAATAGTAAATTTGCATCCAAATCACTGCTTACTGCTCATCTCAGAACACACGATAAAGACAGTGCAATATTTTCTTGTAAGATTTGCGGTAAGTCTTTCAAAAAGCTAGCTACACTTAAGAATCACTCAGTTGCACTGCATCAAACAGATGAAATTTATGAATGTGGACTTGACGAGTGTCAGCTACGATATAAGTTCCTTCAAGATCTCAAAATTCATCGGCAAAACACACACGGAATGAATTTGAATATTCAGAAATATTTCCATGAAGGTGATGAATAGATTTGATTCTATTTTAACACTGACAATTTTATTGTGTAATTTTATTACTACTTGATAAATAAATAATAATAAAGCTTATACTTGCAAAAGTAATGCAACTCCTCCTAAAGTCCATTTTGATGCCTTTTCTTTTGATTTTAAATTAAAAGTCCACACATACGTTGGACCACGTTGTCGAGTTTTGTAAAGTGGACATTCGTAAACATTTTTCGTATCCTGTTTATCTTGCGTAACTGCTCTCACGAAAACAACTGGCATTTGTGGGAAGAGCTCCTTCAATTGTGCTGACACTACAGAATTCATTGATGTATCCCATCGAGCACCTTCCATGTATAAACTATTGATATAAGCACCTTCACGTGGTGGTGAATTAAAGTCATCCTTTTGCTTCTTCGTGACATCACAATTAAGGCACATTTTATCGAGTGGCCATTCATTTTTACGTGCTGTTTGCTGCATGATGGCTGTTAAGAATGACTGTGGATTGAAGAATCCAGCTAACCAAATCGATGATGGAAGAACGAAGTCTGTAGACCAATTTTCCAATTCCTTTCCACGCATCATCAAGTCAACAATCCAAGATTGTAATCCCAATAAACTTGGATATGCTCGTTTTGCCCAACTTTCAGGAACTTTATCGAAAAATACGGATGTCATTAAGGTTTCCATGTCCGGTGATATTGTTAATTCTCCTTTCAAGCCTGATCTTAGTTCCCTCAATGTACTTTTAATTTCAGTTATTAAAATATTCATGCGTTCACATTCTTGGAAGGCAACAAGCACAAATGGTGAACGATCCTCAGTTCTAGCATATAAATCTGTCATCATGAAAACTTCTGGTAATTTCTCAATCAAGTCATCAACCATTCCTCTTATTGTATCTTCACGTGACTGCTGAATTCCACCGCTACCTGCTGATGCTCCAGAATCTCTTGGTTGTAGCTCGAAAATTGTTTTAAAAAGATTCTCAGCAACTGTTGTAAGGAACCCAATTTCAGCATTTGGATGTAGACCATATAAAGCAGGTGATTCTGGTGGCATATTTTCGTCAATATATTTATGATATCCAGCATAGTCGAGATTCGGTGGTGCTGAAAATCCTGCACACAAATTTATATCACCGTCAATTAAATCTTGTGTCAAGACTTCCTCTAAATATGTTCGACATAATCGACGATCCCAATCATCAGTAATATGTCCACCATACATGATTTCAGCAAAGAGATATCTCAAGTCTTCCCAAGGTACTTTTGCATTTGCTTCCAAATAGTTCCACAGGACATAAACGCTGATCGTTAAATCACCAACATTGAATGGATAATTTCTATTCCATCCTTGTGGACCAAATTTGCGTCTTTCAGCAACAACAGCATGGAAGTAACACAATGAGAATAAAACAGCCTTAAATTCAGATTCCTTTGAACACATTTCGAGTGTTTCTTGACTGAAATTATCCAAAGCTTTAATCATATTTGCTCTCATTCCCGTTGGCGGTTCGTTTGTGATTTTAATGGCTGATTCAAGTATTCCTTGCGGGATAATGTGATACTCTATGATAGGAACATTTGAAAATTAGCATTAAGATACTTAATTTGTATAGTTTGGTACAAACCTGCAAGTTCTGCTGGCTCGGCACTCATGAAAAGTCGATAACTTGGATGAGAACTTTCTGCAGCTGCTTCCATTTTCTTCTCCAGACTTGAAAGCCATTTAGCAACCAAATGAATGTTCTGTGAAGATAATAACAATTAGTAAGGCACTTTATCAAACACAAAAAAAGCAACGAACCTGTAAAATAACCCAATGACCATCTTTTGCAGCTATGTCGATGGCATCTTCAGCTACTTTTTCCTGACCTTGACCAAGCGATACATTGTGGAAGTTTCCACGATCAGACGAGAATTTCAAAAAGTTTCCAACTTTCTCAACGTCCTTCAATGGATCGACACCGGGTGACAATATGAAAAATATTGGAATGTTGTTGCTGCTTTCTTCGTATGACCTTGCAAATTCAATAGTTCGTGTTTCGACATATTTTGAGCCTAATTTCTCTCTTATGAACTCTCTCATGGCATAACTCTGGAAATAAAGTTCAGCTATAACTTACATCACGTAAAAATCTTCTCAAACTTACCATTCTATCGGGTCTTATACACCTCATAATACATAAACGCTGTAATGCAGTCTTTTGCTTCCATTCTCCAGGAAATTTGCCATTTTCAGGCGCTTCAGCATCAATAAATTTCCTCCAACGATTTGGCGATCCTTCAATGTCTTTATCAAGAGTTGCAAACTCATTAATATTGCTCAATGTCACAATACCACCCCATGACACATTTGTAAGGAAATCAACAGGTGACTGCATGTTTGGCTGATATGGAAAACGAAGAAGGAAATCCAATTCAGCTGCTACAATTTCCTTTGACTGAATCAAAATTTGAATAATCATTTGTGACAAGAATGTTAATTTGTCACGTTCGAAAAGACCTCGTGATGTGTACATGAATACAGAGTATGAAATTGAATCAATCAAATTGTTGACACGAATGGAAATTTCTTCACTTGGAGGTGTCTTCATAATGGCATCCTTGAAGACAACTGTAAATGCTTTGAGTGAAAATTGATAAATTGGATTGATCTTATAAAGGTCATTTAATATGAAATAGAGAATTGATGCTCTTTCAGCCGCTGGTCTATAACTTTCACGAGTACTGTCAATTACAGCTGTTGTTTTCTTTGTCAATGTTCGTTTGGTTTCTATTTCTGCTGATGTCTTTTTCGTCTTTTCCAAGTTGTAGACAAGAGTTGGATCTTCAAGAACATTTTCACCCGCAGAACTCAAACGACTTAGCAAGTCATCTTCCAATTGCTTTAATAAGATTTTATATGAATTCTCCTCCTGTGTTAATGTTGCCTTTTGTTCTTCGAGATCAGGTCGTTCAGCTTTGACGACTTCAGCCAGCAATTGTTCTTCAAGACCATCACGTGTAACTGTAAAGTTTATCAATGTCGTCTGTGCTTGAATTTCTGGCTTGTAATGTGGATTTGCAAGTTTCGTATGCAAAATTAAACGGAAGCTTGGATTGTAGTCGATTTCGCGATCACCAATCTTGATGCATGTTCCTTTCTTAATTAAAACACGTCCCAAAAGAGGATCTAGTACAGCATCAATTGATTCCTCAATATTTTCAATCAATAAAGTCTCGCCATTTGTAATTGCACTTTCAATAGTGTCTAGATATCCTTTATGACTTAAACGAAGCACTCTTAATTTATCTCCATACTTTTGTTTAATCCATTTTATTGCCTGAAGTTGTGGATCAATCATTAATGGCCATCGATCAGAATTTGTTAATATTGTAGCATTTTCTGTTGACATTCTGTCAGCTGGAAGTCCTTCATTATTCCATTCAGCAACTTTTGCATCATCACAAATCAATGCAAGTGGATCATTGAATTCAGAAAAGGCTATGTCAGGCTTGATTCTCTTAAATGTTGGTATCCATTTAGTTTGTAGTAATTCTTGTCGATATCTTCGTGTAAAACATCCAACATAAGATATAAAGCATGAGAGTATTAAAATATCACCAGGAAGTGTAACAAGCTTAGCTTGGAAAGAACCAATCAAATCTCGCCATCGGACTTTCTCAGACTGCAAACCATTGACAAGACGATAAGCTAAATCAATTTGATTTGCTGTTTTATCAGCTTCGGTTTGGCATTTCTTCTTCTCTGCCTCTGCTTCATCTTGCTTAGCTTTAATCACCATCAAAGCTCTTTCTAATTCATCTACGCGTTCTTCCAACTCATCAACTTCAGTTTGAGCTTCAGCAAGAGCTTTTTCAGACTCGCGTACAGCTCGAATTTTAGGTTCAACCATTAGATATACAGCATTATATCCGACGATTCCAACGACCCATTTTGCCAAACCAGCTGCAGCGAGTGATCTCGTTTTGATTCTCTCTCCGTCAAATTCTGGATCGTCCATATAGATATTGACTTCTTTGATTACTTCTGGTGGGATGTTGTCTTTATCAAAGTTCACTAGACTATTCAAAAATTCATCAACTTTAGACATCATTAATTTGCATTGCTTCCAACTTCGATCTTTTGGAATCTTTCCCTTTGAATAGAGAACTAGCACAGCTGCACAAACCTTAACTACAATGTCTGGTGGCGCTCCAAATGATTTCAATTCAGTCAAATTAGTCTTGTTGAGTGTATTTAAAGCTTCTGCAGCTTTATCAAGTTCAGGCTTAGCTTTTCTCAGCTCTTCTTCATTTGCTCGCTTTTCTATTGTGATCTGTTCCTTCATAATGTTTACACTTCTCTGCTTATCTGTTGCGTTACCTTTACTAGTTTGTACTCGTTCACTTTCAGCATTAACAGCTTCAATAAGTTCATCAGCTGCCTCATTTTTGATATTTAATTCAACTTCTTGAACTGCTAAGTCTTTTTTTAACACATCGGCTTGTTCTGCACATTGATCTAATTTAATTAATCCATTTTTCAATCTTGACATTCGATCTTTGTATTCATAATTCTTTTGGACCAAAAGCTTTTCAAACAAAGAAATTAATTCCAAGAATGATTTTGGTGTTGTGTAGTTATAGCGTTTCTCATTCAGCATATACAATTGAGACATTTCATTAACACTCTTATGAACATGTGCCATAAATATTGAAACAGAATCGAGTATACTTGATGGAAGAACAGTTATTTCCGATAAGAATCTCTTGGACACAGATTCAAGTGCATTTTGAGGCCATTCATGGAACCAATCGATTGAACTGCAATTTATTATAGCTGGGAATTTTCTGGCACGAATTCGAAGTGTAGATCCAACAGGTGAGAAGCACAAAACAGTCTTAAGCATTCGACGAACTTTTTCGATGAAATATCTCCAGCAGTTCTCTTTTGTATCCATAATTGCTTGCTGTTTGAGCTCATTCCTAACTCCATTGCAAATATTATCAATTTCATCATCTGGGAATAGTTCTGGTATCTCACCAGATGCAAGCATGTCATTGATCAAGACTAAATATGATTCCTCTGCAACTTGTGAATCTGTCATTAGATGCAAACAGGGGAGATTCTTAATAGCAGCTTTAAGATAAAGTGCTGCCAAATCTGCTTTCATGTCAACTAGTGAGTATCCTTTCCTCAATTGAATTTGGAAGACTTCAAGGTTTGAAATAAAGGCAGCTAGTCTTGCTGCTAATTGCTTTCCTGAACCACCAACACCGATTAATAAAGCATTTCCACGAGGACTTTCAAGTATTCGGCTGATTCGACAAATATGAGCCATAGCATCTTCAAAGAACACTAAATTCATCGATCCAACAAGTTCATTGTAATTGGTTTGAGCATCTTCAAGGAGTCGATTTAATTTTGGCCATTCCTTGATTCGCATATATTTGGATTCTTGTAAACCTTCAGCAAAATGACAATAAATCATTGGCTTTACAAAAATCATATTGTCATCGATTCCTTCGAAATTCTTTTTGACAACATCACCGATAATTTTATGGAAAGCTTCAATGTCTTGTTGGTCAACTAGTTTATCACAATAAACACGACTAGCTTCATGTGTCCATAACTGAATCATTTGAGTTGAATCGCTGCATGTATCACCCGTACTGAACAACATTCCTTGAAAAATATTCGCCAAATCACGTAAATTGAAGATGTAATGAAACTTAATTGCCGTTGGCATGAACACTTGTGCCATACGAAAATGAAGATTTAATGCCGCATTGATAACTTGCTCGCATACACGCGAAATATTTGGTTGGAATTTATTTAACGGATTTGCTACATGTTGCGTTAATATCTGGTAATAAATGTCAAACATTTGATTGATTTGTGGATAATTGACGGAGAAAACACAAAAGTGTCGTTGTAAACGAGGATTTATTGTAAAGCTGCCACTTGTTGGATTCATGCTCGATACAAATTGTATATTTTTGATTTCCTTGAGACTCAATTTGCTTCGATCGTACCAATGACTATAGTCAAAGAATTGCCGAATTAGAGTGTGTGCTTGAACAGTTCCATAATTATCGACCATAGGCATATTCATGTCATCAATGAAATAAATCATTGTTTTATTTCCCGGTGGTCCGTAATTCTTTCCAGCTTTCTTTTCAAGTGGCTTTTCTAAAACTTTTTGGAGCATTTCACTCGTTGTATAGAAATTAAATGGGACATTTTGAACAGCAAAATTATCAGACATACTTTGCAATTTATCGGATACTATAACACTTTTGCCAGTTCCACTTCCACCGACTAACATCACTGGATGTCTTTTATCAATCAACATGTCCATAAAGTATCGAAGTCTTGTTGTGTCTGCTGTTGGAACCAAAGTTGCTTGTAATGGTATGTCTGGATCCATTTCGTATTTTTTTACTAAATTTGACCACGGACAAAACTCCTTTGTTTTTGGATCGATGTAATAATTAAAGACAGTAGCAGCTGGTGGAAATTTGACATCCTTAAATTCACCAGTCCACATTTTTGAGAATTCATTTCTCCAGTCAAGCAATTGATCTTGGAAGCATGCAGATCCAAAGCCCCAAATTGAGGCAAAACAAAAGTATTGTTCATATAAATCTCTTGACGATTCTGGTGGTACATTTTGAGGAGTAAGGAGACAATCAAGCAAGAAGCATGTCATTTGAATCATGGCTATTTCTGATATCGGAGTGATTTTCTTAAACTTTTGATGATTTTCAAGAAGAATCGGGAAGTATTTAGAGAAGAGCATTTCCAAATGCTTTCTTTCTTGTGGATCAGTTCTTTGATTTGTCCATGACGTGACAAATGGTGACCAGCCAAGATCCTGTGGATTGATGTAGAGGATTCCAGCACGAGAGACTGTCAAGTACATTTGAAAAAAATAATAATTATTATGATTGATTAATCATATAGAATGTTCATTACCTGTTGCTGGAGTTGCTGTTTTCAAATTAGAAATCTCAAAGAGAAGTCTCATTTCCTTCGTTAAAGCTATACGTTCATTACTAGCCAATGTCAAAACCTTATTATCATCCATAACAGTATTCAGTGATTCAATCCACATAGGATCGATGTCTCCGTCAAGAACAATCCATTTAGGTCTAAATAAATATGAAGTTTAAAGTCAAAAATGAGTAACATAGATCTTAGATGTATCTTACCCTGGATTAGAAATGTTTGCCTGCTCTCTCATGATATTTGAAAAAAGTCCATCCCTCCATTCACGAGTTGAAGGATTTATGACACCAAAAAGTTCATCATTAGTCACAGCTTTTGGATTTAAATCATGAAATATTGGTCGGCGCGCTTGATTCAAATAAGTTTTAAAGAGTGTCTTCCAGACTTGAGTTTTTCCTGTTCCAGCATTTCCAACAATAAAAACGGAATGTCGAACGGCAAATAATTCATCTAATTGCACAACTTTAAGAATGAATCCATCAGAATCTCCATATTGAAGGCTCAAATCATCGACTGATTTACGTATAACAGCTTCAAATTCAGGATTTGCCTTTCTCGGAACATCAAGTGCTGGGAATAAGTCACCGATCAAGCCCAAAAATATCTCCATGTCAGCAGTTACGATTTTCGGTACATTAAAGTCACGAAGTGCTCGCATTAACACTTGATCTTCTGGCCATTGTCGATCAGCTCTTTTTAATCCTCCAGCGACTACAAGTACGGATTTGATAGCACGCAATCCCCAATCATAATGATCCTGCTTCGATAGCAATTCTCGACATAAAGTGTAGAGTGTAATGAATTTTCTGGCAAGTAAACGAGCTTCTTGAAAGCCTGGAAAGTTAAAAAATTTGTAAATATTTAAGAACGATCTAGAATTTATAAAGTTTTAATTGACGAACCTTCAGCAACCAACATGATTTCACAAATCAACTCAAAGTCAGGAACAACCATAGCACAAGGTCTGAATAATGCTTTTAAATTTTCAGGAAGCTCTGCTCGACCAGCATAACCAGGATTCATAGTGATAAACAGACCAATTGTCGGCACTAAAGTAATAGTTTCGCCCATAAAATTGAAAGTTTTCTTTTTATTTTTGGCCTGAATAAAAAACAGTTGAAATTTTATTATTTTCTGAATAAATCTATAGACACGTGCAGCTTGCGTTCTATAAACTAATAAAACTATAATATCTACATATCTATTGTAAGCAGTTTTATGCCAATTAGTTTAGTCAAGCCTTTTTAAAGCTAAGGAATGATAAGCTCTGCATGCAGAAAATAAACAATGAGCTTTCAATTCCTATAGCAATAATCAGATTTACCTTCTGACAATCTAATGTAACAAACTTTTTTGTATCACCCTTAATGGATATAATTTAAGGAAATTCAAAAATTGGGGGGAAATGAAATTTTGCTTCAACATCAATTATTACACACAGAATCGTCTAAAGATTAAATTTAAACTGAGCATTAACATCTCTATCAAGTAAATTTAACCTTTTGCAACATTTTATAGTTATTTTATTAAAGGACTTCTTACCTTCATGGCATCTTGTATGGTTTTGACTTGAACGGCTATTACAGACAATACCTCAACTGAAATTCTGTTGAACTCATCAAAGCATCCCCATGCACCAGTTTGTGCTAAACCTTTGTAGATATTTCCACATGACTTGTAATCCATTTGCTCGCTACAGTTGAAGACGTAAACCATAATTCCAAGTGCTCTACCTAAATCCTTAGTCGTTTCAGTCTTTCCAGTTCCAGCGGGGCTGTGGAATATCAAATGTATTCAATGTAATTTTAATAAAAGTAAGATTGAGATTGTAACTTACCCAGCTGGAGCACCGCCCATAATTAAATGCAAGCTCTGAGTCAATGTAATGTAACATCGATCTGTGAGTGGAGTAATGACCAATCTTGGTGTATTTCCGAGATATTCATAATCATATCTGAATTGTGCATCACAAATGTTAGCAAAACAATCATCAAACTCTTTATCCCATCGATGTCTCAACTGACTTTGCCATTGGAATGCATTTGAGCTGTCAACTTTTTGTAAAATCATTTTCGCGACAACATCTCGCGAATGAACATCGATTGTACAAATTGTCATGATTTTTTGACGATCACCAGGCGTTAAATCTCCCAAAAGAAGTTCAATAAGTGAATTAAGTTGTATAATTTGCTTCTTTTGGTAATCTCGCATTGAATTCTCGTAGCCTTCTTCCAATTTAGTAAATGCTATGTTTACTTCCGTTGTCCACCAAATTTGTGTCGTACACAATGCAGTTTGTGCTGGCCAATCAAATACCCAAATCTCTCGTGTCTTCACTTCATAAGCAATTACTGATGATCGGAATAAAATGTGTAAAGTTTTACGCATCATGTCAGTGAGTCGATTTAGCCAAATTTCAACCTTTCCACTGCAATCACAAGGCTCATAAAATGGAACAGTTTCATCATTCTCTTTGGAAAACATTTCCACAGCAATTTTTGTTCCTTTTTTGAAAATTAACTTAGCAATTGAATCGTATAACTTTGTGAGATGCTTGGCAACTCTTTCAGGAATATTTCCGTTTGATAAAATGTCCAACAAATCAGCACTTGATACGAAATAGAATCGTGGATATGCCAAACGTTTTGTCTCTAAATAATCATTGAGTGCCTTTTCGCACAGCACTAATTGCTTAAGTAAAGCATCCAATTTGTCAAAAAGACCGTGCTTGTTTGTAGCATCAATGACAGTTAAGTTATCCATCATATTATTCAGAAGAGATTTAAATGTTTTATCAACATCCTCAAATCGTTTAGCTTCTTGTGGCAATTGACTTCTAATATCTTCAGATCCAATGAAAATACTCTCCAAATACATCCATTTTCTCTGAACTTCCAACCAACTTGATATAACTTGATCAGCATTTGACAATAATGTTTGCCATTTTGTGACTTCTTTAAGGAAGAAACCAACAAATTTAGAAGACAGCATGTTTTGTAATTGCACTTGATTCTCTTCTAAACTTTCAAGAGTTTCTTCTCGAACTCGAATGACTTTGATTTTTGTTCTGTCGTGTATATCCACTGAAAACTTCATTGTCTTCCATGTTGAATTAATCTCGTTCAATGTCTTTTCCATTGCCATCTCCTTGACAGATTTATCGACGATATTTTTGACTTCTTCCTCAAATCGATGCAGCTGAAGATCCAGCAACTGAGCCAAAGTCGTTTTGTCAGTCATTTCGAATCGAACCTTAATTTATAAGAAAAATTATCAATTGGTTTATGATTTGTGAACATTTGCAGACACACAACAAACTTTAGTAGATTTAACAACCTATTATTGTCAATCTGCCGCAGTTCTTACAAGTAAAACAAACCTAAAAGTGATCGAATTTAAATGTTAGAGGTGAGAAGAATAACACTTATTAGTAAATGAAACAAATTCGTTCTTTATATGCCAATTGTGGTAAAGTAAAAATCAAAATCAACACACAGAAAGAAAAAAATTGTGATTAGAATTGTATAAGAAGCCTCACCTCACTATTCTATATCGTTTAAAATTGCATACACATTGCATTATTAATTTTATTTACATAGCAAATGAAATTAAGAAGGAGGAAAAGAAAATAAATTAATTTCATCCAAAAATTGTTCATCTTTTTGAGGATATAAAGCAAGTTTCTTTTCGAAAGGAATCAACCGAATTTCTATGATGAATTGTTTAGTCATTAATGATTTTTAAAGCTGCAATATTGTTTCTAGAGATTAGATTGAACTAGCTGATTTTCTAAATTAGATTAGCTGACTTCCCAATCTTTAACTGTCTATCTTTCAAACTATTTAGATCATCTAGCATCTAATCTCGAAAACACTTAAACTCCAGCTTTTAACATATTTTCATTTAGTTTTCTGGCTATTAAATAACAAACCGGATATCCTTGGAGCTTGTAAAGCTGTACAGTAATCATTCAATGAAAATGAAAATCAATCAAAGATTTTTTTTTAAAATGTTAAATAATCCGAAGAGATGCAAATTGCTAGCTGACTTGTTAAGTCACATAATTAAACCAAGCTAAACTTTGCATCAATCCGGTGATATTTTATGATTAATGAGCTTTGATATAACATGATTATTCATGATAAATGAGATGGACGCAAAAGTTTAATCCATTAATTGATAAACATTAAAACATACCTTTGTAGAGTACATTAAGTCAATCCAATGACGTTCTCGAATTGCCGGATTTTGCAGCTCTATGATTGCTCTTAATGATGTCAATAAGTTCTTAATCATCGATTCAGTCTCAAGATAAGGCTTCAAAGTCTTAGTTTCTTTTTCGAATCCTCTCATTTCCTTTGAGAATCTTTTGCATTCATTTTCCATATCCTCAACATTAATCTTCTTCCATGGTGTTATTTTCCAATCATCAATACATGATGAAACAGCAAGCATAAAGTCCCAAATATTTTTGATCTGCTTTGCTAGCTTTCTGCATAGTAATAATTTTGTCTCATCTGGCAGTGCCAATTGGAAATGAATAGCAGATTCTCTCAGTGTTGCAAGTTGCTGCTCCATATCTGTTAAATCAGTGTTGACGACATCACAGAGCTCATAGATGTCTTGACTACATGGGACATTGAAGAACTGTAATATAGAAAATGTTAAATTATCGCTTAGTATTTGTATTTTGTGGCTTTAAAGTCAGAACATACCGGCAATCGCATGAATTTCTCATAATACAGCTTCGTCCGAAGATCAAACATCAAAATTCGTTTCTTGATCAAGTCAACTTGATAAGATCGAACAGCACCAATGCTCTGTTTCACTAAGACTCCAAGTTTCTTGAGCGTTATCCACTTCTCTGGCAATTCAGCAAATTGATCTCCAATACGATCGTCAAATTTGACATCGTATGTTTTGAGAAGGTCCACAACTTTCTTGAGTGGTTCAAACATTTCATCAGTTTTTCTTTCTCGTTCATTGATAAGACTTAAAGTCTTGAGAATCTTTAGGAGAAGTTCATAATCTTCATTTGATGGTTCCTGTTCTAATAATACTGTACTGTCTCTTATGAATTCTTCAAGCTCAATCAAATCATTTATGACTTTATTACGGAGATATTCTTTGAATAAATAACTCCATTTAGACACTGAATTCAATAGGCTGTACTTAAGTCCTTTTAAATTGACACGAAGCCACGAATTGACATTAAACAAATCGTCAATCTTTTCAATTTCATTGTACAATTGATCATAAAATTCAATTATATTTTTAAAGTCATTGAGTTGCGGTTGTTGTTGCTTAATTTCCAAATTTCCATTTTCAATTTCGTCCTGTTCCTCTTTCGTCAAATGTCTTCCGTACTTGAGGAATTCACTTAAATGTTTTTTCTTATCAATCAGCCACAGGAAACTATATTTGTCAAATTCAGTCAAAAAGTTTTGTGCATCTTTAATGCCATCGCGTGCCATTTGTATAATATCCAATTGTATATTATCAATTTCCTCAAACTCTTCGTTTGGAAATTCCTTGTTATTGAATAGTTCAAGATAGTATTCGAAAGTTGCGATTCCATTGAATTTAGGTGGTTGTGCAATCATCGGAATCATATCTGTCATGTTTAAAATGTTTGCTATCATTGATGTTAAAGTACTCATAAATCCCTTGGCTGCCTTTAAATTGCTATCCATGGCAGGAAAATAACATAAAAGCGGCTCCTGAAGCTCAAGTTTAACTTCAAAAAGTGGTGCATCAATTTTTTCCATTCGATTTTCCATTTCAATCTTCATGTACAATAAGCTGACATGCAAAGCATTTTGGATTTCCTTTAAAATCAATATGTCTAGATGTTCTTCGTAAGCTCGGTAAAGTCTTAATTGGTCTTCGGTTTTTATGATTTCATCATTGTCAAATGAGAGGGTTGATGATGTAATGGTGACTGGTTTTAAAGTTATCATTGATGATGTCGTCACTTGTGCTGATTTATCTAGTTCTGAGACATTTGTTTCACTTGGACGATCAATAGCTGATGATCTTTCTAAGTCAAGATTCTTGAGTGTCTCAAATGACTCCAAAAATGACTTTTTACTTCCACTTACACGCTTTTTAGTTGCTGGCTTCTTTAAAGGAAGATTAAAGAACAATCGGAAGTTCTCATCGACAATCTCATCAATTAACTGCTTAGTGCATATCACATCATGTTGTCGTTCAGAAATAAAGTCATCAAACTTATCTGGATACATTAATTCATGTGGATCACCATCCTGTCTCACATACATCGGACGATCACCCCAACTTTTTAAGCTTTTAATAATTTTATCGACATTTCCCTTTGCCTTCAACACCCGTTCGTTTAAGTTTTGAAGATCACCATGTAAATCTAAGATATAGACTTCCTCATAATCACTCCATTTTGCTGTTTCAAGTGCTATCAACAATTTGTTATTGATCAATTCAAATTCCTTTTTTATGATGTCAAATTCACATGGAACCACTTTCAATTTTACTTCATTATACCAATCCACAATTCTTGACAACATCACGCGAGCTCGCTATATATAGAGACGAAGATATGAAAACAAAATTTGTTTATGAACGAAAATATAAGTAATGGAATATGGCAACAATGTGTTGAATGAATGAATTACTTACCCACAATGAATCAGTATTTTCATGAAGTTCTATTGCTATATCGGGAATGTCAATTTTTCCAAGAGCTTTTAACATGCGGATTTCCTTTAATGCTGTTATAAGGGCAATATCAAAGTTCACTTTAAGCAGTCCGTCAGGTTCAAAGACGAGTAAATATTTTTCCATATTTACACTAATATCGATAGGAACTGTTCGTTTCCATTCCTCATATACTTTAATTTCAAGATTATCAAGCAACCCACACACAATACCCAAGTTATTGTTCAATTCAGTCATTTCAAATATGCTCTTTATTTCTATGTATGGCAGCTCTTCTATCGGTCTTGTTATTCTTCTTTTCAATCGCTTTATCCATGTCAATGTACCAGCAACAGGTGGAAATCCTTTATCGACTTGTAATTTATTTATTCCGTGTTTTTCAATCACTTCCAATCCATTGTCAAATATTTCCTTCACCAAATCTAAATCGTCTAAATAGTAAGTGACGAATCTATTCAGCTTCTCCTTAACTTCATTAAAAATTAATGGACGTAGAAGAAGAGTTCCACAAACTTGGATGAATTTTATAAAGGCTTCTAATGTGGGACATTCTTCGAATTCTTGGACAAGAACTGATGACAACTTTCTCTCAAGAACTTCTGATTCTCGTTCAAATTGCTTTCTTTCAATCTCAAACTCATTTGATGATGGCTCAAGTGGATCAAATTGAATTTGTGTCCATTTTACATAAACATTCTTAAAGTCAGTATTAATTTCCTGTATTGTTCTGCTTAGTCCACGGCCTCTAAGACCTCCAAGCTCTAGTTTCTCAATTTTATAGAACTCATTTGCTGTCTCGAATATTGCTTGAATTTTGTAAAGTCGTCTTAGATATTTGTCAAATCGATCGAATACATCTTTTGGCATGAACGTCCACATCGTTGTTATTTTGTCAGGCAGTGCGTATGATGGAAGTTTGTCACGATAAATGATGAAGCATGTCTTATGCTCCTCCAAAATGGCAATGACTTTATTGAGGACAGCTAGTGATTCATCAGGTTCACCTTGAAAAATAGATCCAGGATCGAGGAACTTCGAGGAACACTCGATCATCATGTTGTTGATCATTTTGAAAAGCACAATCATTCGATTATTTGATCCATAATATTTTGAATGAGCCCAGACAAGGCATATTACGTGATATAAAGGCTCAATCTTGTCAGTATTTTCAATAAATTCTTCACGTTCAAATCGTTCAAAATGTGGTTCCTGTTCATAAAATCAATGTCATTAAAAATTTAATATTAATAATAGAATTCTTACCAATGGCTTTAGCCACAAAGTCACATCGTCAGCTTCATGAAGTGCAGTCACCACATCCTTAAAAGTCGTGAAAAATGATGCAGTATAGACGGAATTAATCATCTCTAAAATATTCCCGATCGATTTGACTCGTGGGTCTGTCAATTGATCATAAATATTTGATATGTTGCTGCGTCGCTTATTCCAAAACCTCAGCTCCTCCGATGGTGTTGGATTTAAGTGCCTATTAAATAAATTTGCTGACGAGTCTTTGAGTATCTTGTCGATTTGTGCATGCCATTTTATGACAATTCCTTCCAATGAATTTTTCACCTTTATGTCAATTACGTCTATGTTGCTGTTTATGTAGGAATAAATTATGGATAAGTAATGGAAATTTCGAGCATTTTGATGTTTATGGTGCAGAAAAGAAGCGCAGATGAAATTTTTTTTTGCAAATTGGAAGTTACTTGTTGAGTACAGGGTGCTGGGTGGTTATGATAGGGATTGGGAATGCTGACCAAATAATAAGTGTGTATATTCTTGATGTATACCCAGTATCCATCTAACCAAGAACTAGACTACACAAGAAAACCGTTCTAAGAACTGCAAAGGCTATAAGTTAAGCAGTAAAGTGCTTTGCTGGTCGAATAGGTAAGGCGCTTGGCTCAAATTTGGTATGATAACTCGAAGGTCGTCGGTTCGAATCCAGCGATTTCCAAATTTGTTCTTTTTCAGAAGTTTAGATACTTCGACTGCTTAATGTACGAGATCAAGCCATAATTGGGCATTTTGGGCAACGTTGGATTAAGGAACGGATCAGAAACTTGAAGTGTAGCGGGAGAAATAGGAACGAGATCTACAAGATTACCTTATAATGGAATATTGTCAGAACGGACCTGAAATGTATCACATCACGCCCACAGAAGATTAAAACCAGAGTCTGAATTTAATCGAAACCTAGATTTGAAGATTAGAAGCTTGATTCTACGTCACCCATAGTGATATGAAATATATCACTAATCATTGTATAAAGGAAAACATGTATAAATACTAATTCTTCCGGACGGTAACGTCGACAAATAAATAATAATAATAATAATAAGTTCGACAAGAGACAGGACAGACATATTGAGTACCAAAACCTCAATTTCCAATTTGAAAAAAATAGCTCAATACTACATCACGTGAAGCTTCTCTTTTATATCCTCATACATATTAATTGGCATTTAAAATAGCACCATAAAATCAAAGTTTTTATTATCCTCTAATTTACATACCCAATGCTAACTTCATGTTCCAAATCAAAAATTCTTTCAATAGCTATTGGCATAGGTAGAATTGTTTGATTACTTATGCTGCCTTTCACCTAGATAAAAAAATATAGAAATATATTCATAAATGAATAAGTTATGGTATATCTTATGCTATAAATTTTATTTCATTAATTATTCAGCATAATGAAAAAGTGTTTATAATCCTCATTGAACTTATAAACCATTCATTGAAGGTATGCATTCTTTTTACATACTGAGAAAAGTGTTCTTGAAGTAGTGAAATAATTATCGATCCAACACTTTCAATCGTATTTCACTTAAATGGTAATTTGACGTGCATACACACTAAATTTTACTTTAGGCTAGATCATGCTATAATTTTTTCATTCATTCACGCTTTATTGTGCTTACCTCAGCGATTATATTGCGTAATTCCTGAACATGTGAATCAACATCTTTTTTAATGACTTCAGGCCATCCAACGGTGTTTACTGGATTGCTGAGGATTGGATAGACGATGTCATCTAATATTGCTGACAGGTCATTGATTGGTGTTGGTGATGTATCGCCATAGATTAATGACTGTGAGGGAATGTAAGGTTTATTTGTGAGTTTGATGTTTTGCCATTTTTTCAAGGAACTTAGACTCTGGAGTGAATAAGACTATGTGACTAATGATATCTGTTTAGAATCTTAATTCTTTATTTGAGGTAGGTGTTTAAGGAATTAGAGAAACTTTAGGAAGTAAACTGTTTTGGGAAATGAAAAGAGTAAGGATCCAATGAATCAATTCTGAAGGTTGGTTTTTAAGGACTACACAAACTTAAAATCAAAAATGGATGTTTCAATATAAAATTGAACGAGGCTACGGGAGGTACCTCGATTAAGTTTATAAACCTTTCTTAAATGGGAATACAACCTAAGTCGTCACAAAAGAGATGAATTTAAGGTCTGTTGCCTTAGCACTTGTCCGCAGCACCTTTACCATCAAACTGGTAGGTTCCACTCCGCTATTAACCAATTATCATGACTTTGAAACTGATTAAGAGACTATTGATCTTATTCAAGTCAGTTCCAATCATTCAAAATTCTCAAAATCAATTCCACCATACCTCTCTCATATTTTCTGGTGTCAGCACAATCGAATCCCTTCGTACGAAATAGCAAATTTTGCTTTTTGAAGTGCCTGGAAAGTTGACGAAAGGTAGGAGATTGCCAGACGGTGCAATCGTAAAACACAATCGCTCTCTTTTCGGATCATTGAGCCAATCGAACACAATATTCTAATGTATAAATGAAAATTTAAAGAAACAATAAAAATATGTACTTAGTGATATCTGTAGATCTCACGCTTTAAATACTTACATTTACCTGATAACTTAATATTTGTTTCTAAAGCTGCTCCCGACTGCTTGTTGGTATCCCGCGAAAACTGATCACGGTTTACCGATTCAAATTCAAATAAACCGTTGAATATTTCAACATATCTACATCTTTCCCCCTTTTAAAAGCTTAATGTGCCTTAAGGGGACCCCTTCCCCCTTTTTTTCCTTTTATATATATTCTTTATTCAACTATTTCAAATTATCCCAATCCATAAAATCTGTAAACTTAGAAGGCTTTTGAATTTTCCTTTTCGGCCTCACAACCTCCTCTATTACTGGATCACTCAAGTTCATAGATGCATCATCTGGAATCTGCTTAACATGCACTTTTTTTCGACGTTGCAAGGATCCTGTATCCTCATTTCTCAATATAATTGCAGCTCAACTGCTTTCACAAAATTCAAAATTTTCTAATAAAATGTTTCCATTCCTGTCCATTTTTATCCTTAATTCCTCAATGCAGCTCTACTGCTTATATTCTTAACAGCTCTACTGTTTTTAATCGTCTTGCAGCTCAACTGCCTTTGTTAATTGCAGCTCAACTGCGCTCTGTTCTCTGCAGCTCGACTGCGTTTTCAACTTGTATTTTTTCCAACTTTTCAATTCCTAAAATTCCTTCTTATTTGGTCATTTTCTTTACGCTATGCTATTCATTTGGTTTATCCTCGTCGCCAATATGTAGATCTCACGCTTTAAATACTTACATTTACCTGATAACTTAATATTTGTTTCTAAAGCTGCTCCCGACTGCTTGTTGGTATCCCGCGAAAACTGATCACGGTTTACCGATTCAAATTCAAATAAACCGTTGAATATTTCAACATATCTACAATATCCACGGGAACCGACATTAGAAACAAAATAATTATTTACCCTATCGTCAGAAGTCATCAATTTCTGCCATTTGTCTCCTTTTAATCGAAATGTTTTTTGGAGATAAATGTTGAGAAACTCCAATCGAGGATCATCCTTGTTCCTATCCTCCATTATAGCTCACAAGTATGAAAAAAATAATAATCTTTGCAGTTCCTTGCTTTTCAATTCAGGATATATATTTTGAAAAATAAACTTTTAACAGTGTTCACAGTTACGAGAACAAAACTCAACTGAAAAATAATTGAGCGCCTACCGAGTTTTTTCATTTGTGTATGAATGAAATTCTTAGGGAAACACTCAATATGCGTTTGTTATTCACACAAAAACAGAGAGAAATAAACGATTGATTCAACAATGTTACTACGGAGATACTCAACGCTTTGTGCTCTAGCACAGGATAATAGAGAAGTAGTAAGCGAAAATTAATTTGTGTAAAGTGTCGGTGAAAGTGTTGTTTTCACACAACATAAAAAAAGCATTTATTTACTCAGTTTTGGAGAAGTTTTATGCTCACGCATGGGAAGGTAAAAATTTGTGTCATTTACTTTAATGCAATTTATGAGACAACTTTAGTTAAGGAGCTTCATTGTTGATGATATTTGATTCGTTTATGTCACGCGGTTAAAACGTTTGAAAGTAAAAAGTTTTAAACAGCTTTTGAACAAGTGCCAAAAGGGGTTGAACTTTAAATGACATCTATAGAAGTTTAAGATTTATGAGTATGACTTCCAGAGTAGACTTCTATGCTGGTAAATCGTTATATCTTCTCTAGAAAGTCACATGTTGTCTAGACCTTCTCAGCACTTAATTGCTGCATGACTCATTAGTAAACAAATCTCAATTAATTTAAATTAATTCAAAACTTAACACCTGTTGATATATCTGACTCAGGCTATAAATACTCATAATTATTTATACACATGAGGTGCTGAATATTATCCGTTATACATTTCAAGCTATGCTTTTTTATTTAACAGGTATCATCAGGCAGTTTAGTGCTTAATGCATCATTAAACTACACATTTAATGATCTGTTTGAATAATTTCAATATGTGCAACAAAGCAGCACATGGCACAAAAAACTTCAACGGTTTTGAAAAATTTGAAAGTGGGTATTTTTCAACGAACAGAGTTGGGAAAAGAATTTCAATTTTGAGATCCTTTTAAAGGCATTTCTAATGACTTTTATATTTTATAAAATGAATATCTATTAATTAAAACATAATTTACTACCTAAAAGCATCAGCAGCATCACATAGGATTGCTTTAAAGACTGATATTTATATCACCAAAATTACATAGAAACCAACTATGACTTACATGTGCAAAATCAAAACAAACTGAATTATTTTCTTTAAATAAGGACTGAAAAGGTTTAATTATAGTAAAAATGCAGTGCTATTACGAGCTATTAGAAGTAGAAAGGAATTCAGACGATGACACAATCAAGAAGAATTATAGAAAGCTCGCATTAAGATTCCATCCAGACAAAAACATTGATAATGAAGATGAAGCTAAGAAAAAGTTTCAATTGATCCAGCAAGCTTATGAAGTGCTGTCTGATCCACAAGAGAGGGCATGGTAAGGTAGTTAAACTATGCTAATTATCAAATATTAATCATGTTATTATCCATTTAGGTACGATAAGCACAGAGATCAGATTTTGAAAGGAAGACAGTCAAATTACGAAGATGAGTCACTGGATGTTTATCAATATTTCAATTCATCATGCTATAAAGGTTTTAATGACAGTAAAGAAGGTTTCTATACTGTGTATAGAATAGTTTTCGAGAAAATTGCAGCTGAGGATTCTGAATATCATTTAGAAGAAGACGATTTTCTTAATATTCCAATGTTTGGAAATTCATCAAGTAGTTTTGATGATGTAATTAAATTCTATGGACACTGGGAGAGTTATTCTACAAAGAAATCATATTCATGGCTGTTTACACATGATGTCAATGAAATTCGTGATCGTCGTGTGCTGAAATTAATCGATAAGGAACATAAGAAAATCCAACAGAAAGCTAGAAAAGAAAGAAATGACGAAGTTAAATCATTAGTGTTGTTTGTAAAGAAACGTGATAAGAGAATGGCTGAATATAGAAAAATGCTGGAAGAAAAAGCTGCTCACAATCGTCTCAAAAGTCAACAGAATCGATTAGACCAAATTAGAAAGAGAACTGACGAAATCAGAGAGCAACAAAGGAACTCAAAAGTCCACAAAGATCAACAGGACCAGCTCAAAAAATTAGAAGAAGAATATTTGAATCAATTCTCAGACAGTGAATATTCTGACGACGAAAACGAGCAAGATTTAGATGATGTCGAGGGAATCGAAAATGATATCGATGAATGTCAGTTAAACTCTGATGAATTCGAGGAAGAATTTGACGAGGAACTATACTGTATAGCATGTAATAAAAGTTTTAAGAATGAAGGAGCCAAAAGCAATCATGACGCTTCAAAGAAGCATAAACAGAATGTTGAAAAGCTGAAAAAGGAAATGAATTCTGAGGAAGAAAGTTATCAAAAGGCTGTAAATGGAAATAAGGATTTAGAAGTTTCTGCTGATGAGTCAGAGGAAGCAGCAACAACATCAAAGTCCAAAATCAAAAAGTCGAAGAAAAAGAAGTCAAAGAAATTTCAAAATGTCGAGGAACCAGTTAAGTCAGAGAGTGAGCATGATGATATTCAGGTTGAAGCTGTACAGGAAAATCCAGAGCCTATAGAATTACTTAATAAGAGTGATAGCGACGATGATGACTGGTCTAGCAATAAAAAAAGCAAGAAAGTAAAGTCAAAAAGCAAGAAAGAGAAAAAGGAACCCAAAAAGGAAGTAAAAGAACTAGTCGTAGAGCCACAAAAGGATTTAAAGACTGATCCAATTGAACCTGAAGATATAATTTATCGCTGTGCAACCTGTAAGCAGGTATTTCAGTCCAAAAATAAATTATTTACTCATCTCAAGAGTACAGGACATAGTGTCCATTTAGGGGAAGTAAAGCATAAGCTAGCTGAAAAGGTTGGGTCGAAAAAGAAGAAATAATTTAAGTAAAATGTAAAAATAAATGAAATTAAACTTTATTAATGTAACGATTTTCATAAAATATTGCAGAATCTAGTTTCGTACTTCTTTTGAGAATAGTAAACCATTTCTTTTGCGTTACCGTTTTCGGTAGATTTGCAAGCTTTCTTACATGTATTTAAGGGCTGGTACAACATCAACGGATGATTTATGTCTTTCTTAGTCTCGTAGAATATGCGAAATAAGTATTCAAAAGTGTCATTATTGTAATATGACAAAATTTCTAAATCGTACGTACCAGGCACCATGTCATAACGAAAGACATATTCACGGCGATTATAATCATTAGGAATAGAGATTCTTTGAAAAGTTTGGTCATCTGGTGTAGTGATTTTAAGTCTAATACGACGATTTTTTTCGTTTCTATTTCTCCTGAGGGACATGACTGCCAGAACAACAGTGCAATATTCTTCATTATCATCTGTATCTGGATCAACAGCTGAAAATATATGATGAATCGCGCCATTCTTCTTCCAGACTTCCCGAAAAGATGTGAATTTCCATTGTCTTCCACTGTGAGGTTCTCGAGTCAGCAAGTCTGGTAGCAAATTGCAAATCTCTAAATAATCAAAATGAATCAGAAAGTCTTCGAATAACATCCAAAATTCTCCATCTCCTTTTGGATCCCATTTAATGCGTTGCTTCTCTTTAATCGAAATAATGTTCCATTTCATAGAAGAGTCACTCCAGTCGCCTGTATACTCCTTTTCATTACCCCAAGGGTTTCGGATTCTTATTAAATTTATGTGATTTCCATAAACGTCAGCAACGGGTGTAATATGTGTGATTGCATACGCATGACCTGCTGTTAAGCCAATGTTTCTTGATTCATTGTATTTTGCTGCTCCCATGAGCGTATTTCGTTTAAATGCTTTACAGATCATTTCGTAAAAGTATCCAGGACGATCTTTTAGATCATAAACTTCGGTAACGCCACCTGTCAAATCTGCAAGGCCTTCAGTTACATGTCCGCCTTCGAGTTTTTCATAGCCTCCATACAATTTGGCATACGCTTTTTCCAAAAGTGCTGGCCTGTTAATAGATTAAATTAGATTTGGATTATTGTTTTTAAAAATTAAGGTTTGGAGCAAAGCCAGAAACTTGAAATACTTATTGCAATTTTCCACCTAGAGAGTATTTTGGCTTACACCTACTACTGTAGCTACGCACAATAGCTACACAGTCGACACAAAAGTTCGAACAAAAAAGGCCTCTGCACAATGTTCTTACCAAAATTCATTCTCAGATTTTGATGTCACGAATACAAGTTTTTTATCTCTAGTTGGTAGACGATCATCAATGATTACATTAGTCCATGATCCAAAATACCAGAATCTTGAAATAATGTAAAGTTATCAAATAGTTATAGTCTGCGAAAAAAACCCCGACTGATTCATTTGTTTGTGCTCATAAAATAAACGTACCTGAAATGAAACAATCCACAGTATGCACCGTCGGTAAAACTGCTGTTTGTTTCACGAACAACTTCGTAAAAAAGCTGCTTATGGCGTGCTAAGCAGTCAATTGCTGCCATGAACCAGCAATTTCCTAAAGCACCTTGATTCACGTCGAAACGTGAAATTTCTTCAACAATTAACTGCGGGTTTTTGCAAATTTCACGTGGACGTAACCATTTAATTTTGGATCCTGGTGCATGTAGAGGAAATGAGTTATCCTCAAATAACTTGTTGGATCTTAAAAGATCATTGCGCAGTGCGAAGATTTCATGGTGAGTTTTCTGTAATTTAAATATTTAAAGGTCTTTTCCAAATCAAAGCCCCTCCCCAATTCGTTATGAAGTTTTCAAATACAAATGTTTCAAAATTTTCTTTATCTTCCTCTTCTATGTTTAATAACCAATTTCAATTATTATGAAATTCACGAAAAGTTTTAATAAAGACACATTATAATAGTCAATTGATTTAAGATCAATTTTACCATAACTTTGCTCTACTTTTCATAATAATGTTTAATCCATACCTCTTGAGATTTATCCATTTTTAATTCGTTCACTACAATCTTCAATTTAACAGCCGATCACCGAAAATAATTTTTTTAATCAACCGCTTGTCATCAGCACGTCTATACGTGAAATGCGAATGAACCAAATCTCTTTCTTTTTTAATTTTAAGTTCTAATTTTGTTTATGTAAAATTTTAAAGTTACTAATTCAAAAAATTTCTAGATGTGTCTATATAACTTTAGTTATTGAGAAAAATTGAGCTTCTTTCATCTACGACAAGATCTGTGAATGTGTGATAGGATCATTTTTGAATATATAAAAATGTTATTTATGTATATTCGTATAATATTTAAAGTTATAAATGTTGACCTACAAATTATATGATTTTTAATTTTGTAAAATTGGAACGAGAGCCGAAATGAACACTAGTTCTAAGATCTGAACAGTTTTTAATTGGCTGCTGGACCCACAACAGCTTTGTGAAGATTATGCGCTACACACTGAGCTACCGTACATAATATAGATTTAAGAATTATTAATAATAAGAATAAAATTAAAGCGCTTAAAGGTTTTAGGAAACATGACGCACAATTTAAGATGAATAAATTGAATTGAACTGCGCATTGCTAAGGAAAATACGTTAATTTTTATGTACTGATGTGAACAATGCAAAAATTGTGACCGTAAAAATGTGAAGAAATGAAAACAGAAATTTTATTGAAAAAATAATTTCTACATAATGTTACAGTTTTTAGTTCCGCTCTTTTTTTGAGCATAATAATTAATTCTGTTGACTTTCTTACCGTTTTTGGATGAATTATTGCATGAACTTAAGACACGAGAGTCAAACAGGATCGGATAAATTGTGTCTGTCTTCTTGGTCTCATAGAATATCCGAAATAAGTACTCAAAATTATTTTGAGTATCGAATGACAGAACTTCAAAATGGTACTGTCCAGGCATGATGTCAAATCGATAGACATTCTCACGACGAGCATAATCATCACGTTTTGTGACTTTTATAAACTTTTTGTCTTGTGGTGAAGTGATCTTCAGTCCAAGCCGATTAATATCCTTTCTGTTTCTACTGATGTACATGATAGCAACAACAATCGTGCAATAATCTTCATTATCATCTGGATCTGGATCAACAGCTGAAAATTCATGCTGATTCTTGCCATTCTTTGTCCAGACTTCTTGGAATGTTGTGACTTTCCATTGTCTTCCACTGTGTGGTTCTCGAGTCAGCATGTCTGGTGTCAAGTTGCATATATCTAAATAATCAAAATGAAACAGAAAGTCTTTGAAGGACATCCAAAATTCGCCATCTCCTTTTGCGTTCCATTTAATGCGTTGCTTCTCTTCTGTCGAAATATTCTTCCATTTTACAGAATAATCACTCCAATCGCCTGTGTACTCCTCTTCATTACCCCAAGGGTTTCGGATTCTTATTAAATTTGTGACATTTCCATAAATGTCAACAACGGGTGTAACATGTGTGATTGCATACGCATGCCCTCCTGGTAAGCCAATATTCTTAGATTCCTTATATTTTGAAGCTCCCATAAGCGTATTTCGTTTAAATGCTTTTAGGACCATACCATAAAAGTTTTGAGGTGGATCTTTCAAGTCATAAACTTCCGTTACGCCACCAGTCAAATTGGAAAATGCTTCTGTGATATGTCCACCTTTCAAAATTTCGTATCCACCATGAAGTTTAGCGTAAGCTTTTTCCAATAGTGCTGGCCTGTATTTTAAAAATTAAGATTAAGATAAAGTTAAGTAATTCTTATATATCATCTATTTTTTGAAAAGGATGTAGGGGGTTTGAGGCTTCATGTCAAGAAGTTCGAAGAACTGCATCTTACCAAAATTCATTTTGAGATTTTGACTGTACAAATACAAGCTTGCCATCTCGTGTTGGGAGTCGATCATCAATTATTATATTGGTCCATGATCCAAAATACCAGAATCTACAATGAGCATTAAGTTACCAATTATGTAAAGTATCAAAGTTACTTGTTCCTGTTTGATTTCATAAAATACACATATGTACCTAAAATGAAACAATCCACAGTAAGTACCATCGGTAAAACTGCTATTTGTATCACAAACAACTCGCTGGAAAAGCTGCTTATGTTGGGTTAAATTGTCAATTGCTGCCATGAACCAGCAATTCCCTAAAGCACCTTGATTCACGTCAAAACGTGAAACTCCCTCAACAATAAATTGCGGGTTGCTGCAAATTTCATGCGGACGTAACCATTTAATTCTGTGTTGTGGTGCTCGAAGAGTAAATGAGTCATCCTCAAATAGCTTCTTGGATCCTAAAAGATCGTCGCGAAGTTGAATGATTTGTTCATCGGTTATCTGGAATTTTAATGTTGATGATATGTTAGGGTTCAGAAACTAAAAGCTGGGGTTGTCATTTGTCTCAAAAATTTTAAAAATTGGTCATCATTTATGAACGACGCCTAAGTTATTAACTTAAAACTATCAGTAATTATTATGAATTTCACTAAATGTTTATTTTGAAGTTGTTTACAAAAAGGATCACATTACACAAAGAAAGTTATTCAATCTAGACTCAATAAGACGAAAATCTGTTCACTTATAATCCATTTTACATCAACTTTACTCAATCCATACCTTTTGAACTATATTCATTTTTAATTAATTCAATCCAATTTTTTAATAGCCAAAAACTGCCGATCACAGCAAATTAATTATTAAATCAAGCACTAGTCGCTTGCAGTTCTTCACTTGTTAAGCACAAAAATGCAAATGTGTCGCTCACAATTCTCTTGTGATTTATGCACTTAATTTGACTTAATCTGATGCTCGAAACATTAGACATGAACATTGTTTGTAAGAACATAAGCGAGAGAATTTGAATTCCTCTCATCGAAGGCATGAATGTATGCTCAATGATCAGTGAACAGTCTATAATGAATGTGTGGGGATAAGGGTTGCAGTTTGGTGAGATGATTTAAATTACGTAGGTTTAAATAATAAAGTTTCCAAAATCTCGAAAATTCTGCAATTTAAAGCATCAACTCGTTTAAAAGTCAGTTAAACAATGTGATTAACATCAATAAAACTTCCGAAACATCATAAACTAATCACCTTTTACCCTAAACAGCATAATCATATGTCAATACCCAAATAAATCGTGTCCTACAACAAATAATTTACATAAATTAATTCAAATTTGTACAATTTAAACCCGAGTGTCAACACAAAAGAAGAAAATAAAATAATTTTATAGTTTTGTTAAGTAAAGCCTCGCGTCGTCGTCAACTAATCCTAATTATCAAACCAAATCAGCTTAAATTATTCTAATTTATTTGCTTTCTTTCTTCGATATTCTTTTCAAATTAAGGTTATTCAACTGATTAGAATACTTTGTGTTACTCATTAAAATGTTGTCAATGACATCAAACTGTTTAAGGAAAAGAAGATCTTTTGTTTAACATAAATTATAGGTTTTAATGAACTTTAATTGCATGATTACAAATTAAGATCCAATGAACTTTGTTTTCAACGAATCTTTAATTCATAACTTGATCGTTAGCTAAGAAGTGGTCTCACTTACTAATCAGACTAAAGCAGAAGTGTTAAGCTTCGAGTTCTTGGTCGACTTCAAGTCATCATTCAGACTCATGTTGGCATTAGGCTTTCTAAAGCTAGACATTTAAATTTAAGAATAGGCTATGATCAGATTCAAATGAAGAGTCTGTTTGTGATATCTTAAAGCTGGAGCAAGGATTTTTGGTCACTCTGGACGAACTCAATGTTTATTCTTGCTTCTTCAAGTCTTCAAAGTCTTCTTCAAGCTGTTTGAAATCTGAATCATCTTCAATTATTGCAATTTTCATCACATCTTAGCTGTTATGGATTTAAGATTATTTCATTGAATTGAAAAATATTTCAAATTTTCGAGCATTTTCTAAACACAATATATTAAAGGTACACTTACAATGAACCCAAAAGCAGTTTATGCGTACGACACATATTTGTTTATATTTCGGTTCTTTAAACTTTTTATTAAAATTTCAATTTCCAATTCTAATTCTTCTAATTTTTTGATTTCTTTCACCTTTAATTAATTTCAAATGCATGAATTAATTCTCTAAAGTTTACGGCTTTAACATAAATTTTACTATAAAAGGGAATGCGTAAATGTTGAAGGTTCATATCGTTTTCGGTTATCCAGCCATCAAGTCATCAAGTAGTGAGGATTAGTTGTGAAGTGAAAAAGTACAGTCAGTGAAAAACTACTCTTGGAATAACGATATTATAGTGAATTTAAGGATATAAAAATCAGTTAAAGCAGTTTCATTAACATTTGGATAATGACATCAAGTGAAGTTAAGAGATCTTTATTAAGAGCAGCACCAGTCGATCCTGATGATGAAATCGTCATTTCGGGAATTTCTGGAAGATTCCCAAGTTCTGCTAATGTCGCTGAGTTTGCTCATAACCTTTATAATAAGATTGACATGGTTAATGATGCAGAAACGCGATGGAAGCACATTGACCCCGAAATCCCAACGAGATTAGGAAAAACTGTCAATTTGAATAAGTTTGATGCCTCGTTCTTCTCGGTTCATAATCGTCAGGCATCTTATATGGATCCACAATGTCGTTGCTTACTTGAACATGCTTATGAAGCTGTACTTGATGCTGGTATTAGTCCTAAAGCTATTAAAGGAAGCCGTACTGGAGTTTATGTTGGTTGCTGTTTTGCTGAATCTGAGGAATTTATGTTTTACGAGAAATCTGTTAAGGATGGTTTAGGTTTGACGGGATCTGCACGTGCTATGTTGGCTAATAGAATTTCTTTCGGAATGGATTTACAAGGACCTAGTTTTATGGTTGATACAGCTTGCAGCAGTGCTACTTATGGACTTGATGCTGCTTTTAATGCTATTCGTAGTGGTGAATGTGATGCAGCTCTTGTTGGTGGAACAAACTTGTTGCTTCATCCTCATATTACTCTTCAATTCGCTAGATTAGGTGTTTTATCAAAAGATGGCTTCTGTAGACCTTTAGACAAAGATGCTGCTGGATACACAAGAAGTGAGGCTATCAGTCTTATCTTTTTACAAAGAAAACGTGACGCCAAGCGAGTCTATGCTAATCTTGTTTACACTAAGACCAATAATGATGGATTCAAAAAGGAAGGAATCACTTATCCAAGTGGATTTACACAAATTCAATTGCTTGAAGAGTTTTACAAAGACATTAAATTAGATCCACGCACAGTTGATTATGTTGAGGGTCACAGTACAGGAACTAAGGTATAATTACATTAGAATTAATTGAAATAAAAGTAAATTAATTAAAATTCTGTAAAGGTCGGCGATCCTGAAGAATGCCACACGCTCGATACAATATTTTGTAAAGGACGTGAAGGGCCGCTATTGATTGGTGCTGTAAAATCAAACATGGGTCACAGGTGAGCTTAAAATTATTCATGAATTTTTATTCATTTCCTGACCAACTTTATGTATCCAAACAGTGAGGCAACATCGGGTATTTGTTCTATTGCCAAACTTATTTTAATGTTTGAACGCCAAGAAATTCCCGCAACAATTCATTACAAAGGTCCTCGTTCCGATTGTAAAGCATTAATTGAAGGACGTTTGAAAGTCATTGATGAGAATACAGAATTTAAGGGCAAATTGGTTAGCATGAACAGTTTTGGTTTTGGAGGTGGAAATGCTCATGCTTTGTTCAAAGCAGTTACGGGAGATAAGATTAATCATGGAATTCCAAATGATGATTTACCAAGACTTGTTACATGGTCTGGTCGTACAGAAGAAGCTGTTGAAACTGTTATGAATGCCATAATTGAAAGACCATTAGATGCTGAGTTTGTTGGATTACTCCATAATACTCAAATTGAAACAGTCTCATCAAATATTTATCGTGGTTTTGGTATTTTTGCTAAAAATGGTGAAGAAAATGCGACTTGCATCAACAAAAGTGTACAGAACTTCAGTGCTTCAAAGAGACCAATCGTTTGGGTGTACAGTGGAATGGGTTCACAATGGGCTGGTATGGGTGCTGATTTAATGAAGATTCCAATCTTTGCTAAAGCAATTGAGACATGCCACAATGCTTTACTTGACAAAGGAATTAACTTGATTGAAATTGTCACATCTGAAGATCCATCCACATTTGATAACATTTTGAATGCATTTGTTGGAATTTCTGCAATTCAAATGGGTTTGACAGATATTCTCAAAGCATTGGGAATAGTCCCAGATTACATTATTGGACATTCATTTGGTGAATTGGGATGCGCTTATGCTGATAATTGTTGTAGTCCTGAAGAGATGATTTTGAGTGCTTATTCACGTGGTATGGCAAGTTTAGAAACTAAAGTTCCATTTGGATCAATGGCTGCTGTTGGAATGGGATATAATCAATTGAAGGATATTACACCAGAAGGAATTGAAATCGCTTGCCATAATTCAGCTGACTCTTGTACAATTTCTGGACCTGCTGATGAGATTGCCAAGTTTGTTGCTAAATTAAAGAGTGACAACTTCTTCGCAAAGGAAGTAGCTTGTGCTAATATTCCTTATCACAGCAAATACATCGCAGATATGGGACCAAATCTCCTTAAACGCCTCAGAGAAGTTATTAAGAATCCAGTCAAGCGTTCAGAAAAATGGATCTGCTCAAGTGTTCCAGAATCAAACTGGAAGTCTATTGAAAGTGAATACTCATCAGCTGAATATCACACAAATAATCTTCTTAGTCCAGTTTTGTTCGAAGAAGCAACAACTCATCTTCCTAAAGATGCTATGACAATTGAAATTGCTCCATATGGCTTGTTGCAATCTATCTTGAAGAGATCATTGGGAGAAGGTCAGCATTTCAGCTTGACACAGCGTAATAATAAGGAAAATGCAATGTATCTCCTAAACTCTTTGGGAAAGTAAGTTGAACTTGTTATTAATTGATTTTCAGATTTAAAGAATTTATGTGATATTTTACAGACTCTTTGAGAATGGATTAGATTTTGATGTCAGTAAGTTATATCCACCAGTACAATTCCCAGTATCTCGTGGAACTCCAATGATTGCACCACTGATTAAATGGGATCATAAACAAGACTTATTTGTCTATAAATTTGATGAACGTATTGCCAGTGAAAAGAGTTTCACAGTCAATCTTCTAGATCAAGACTATGAGTTTATTTCTGGACATGAAATTGATGGTAAGTTCAACATTTTAAAATTAAAGAATACTGAAATAATTCCTTTATTCAATCACATAGGAAGAGTTTTATTCCCGGCGACTGGATACTTATATCTTACATGGGAAGCTATGGCATATCAACACAGATTCTCAATCCATGAATTTGACATTGAATTTGAGGATGTGAAATTCTTGCGTGCAACAACAGTATCAAAGACTCAAGAAGTTGAGCTTGTTGTGGTTATTCAAAAAGGTACAGGAAGATTTGAAATTCTTGATGGAACAACTGCTGTTTGTACTGGTCTTGTTCGAAGACCTGTAAATTCAAAATTGACTGTCATCAACACACCAGAAGATTCAAAACTTACAACCTTATACAACCGTGATTTCTATAAAGAATTAAGACTTCGTGGATACAACTACAAGAACTTATTCAGATCAGTTCATACTGCAAGATCTGATGGATTAAAAGGACGCGTTAAATGGCAAGACAATTGGGTTGCATTCCTTGATTGCCTTCTTCAATTACAAATTATTGCTTCCGATACTCGATCACTTATTCTTCCAACAGGACTTCGTAAGCTTGTTATTCATCCAAAAGAACATTTGGACATGCTCAATGCTATCGAAAGAAATGAGAAAATTATGGATGTTCACTGTTCAGATCACATTAAAGCTCTTCGATGTGGTGGAATTGAGATGCGTGGTTTAAATGCAAATTCAGTTGGACGACGTCAACCACCAGGTTTTCCAGTTCTTGAAACTTATCAATTTACTCCACACTTCCCTGCACCCGTCATGGACAAAACTGATATGGCAAGATTTTGTGTACAGTTAGCACTCGAAAATTTCCCATCAGCCAAATTCGTATGCACTGAAATTGATACAAACAATGGACTTGAACCAATTATTAATGCATTTGGAGAAGCTGTTGGTGATCTTCCTCTTATCACTTCAGATTTGACATATTTAACAGCAAAAACTGAACTTGAACTGCCAAGTGTTAAGCTTTCAGAATCTGACATTACATCATGTGCTAATAACAATTTCATTATTCGATCTGATTGTCTGGCTGATCAACAGTTCTTAGAATTAGCATCATCACAGTTTGCTGACAATGGATTCATTGTATCGCGTGAATCAAACGAGAAGCAACAAGCACCAACATTAAATATTCCGAATGGATATCAAGTTGTGGCTGTAGTTCCAATGGAATCCGAAATTATTGTTTTACTTCATTACACTAAAGCTACTCGGGAGAAAGCTACAAAAGTCATTAAAATTGATACTCATGACGATACTTATCCATGGATTGAAGAACTTCAACAAGCCGTAGCAGCAGGCCCAGTTATTGCATATGCTGAAAATGATAAACTCTCAGGAATTATTGGTCTAGTTAACTGTATTCGTAAGGAACCGAATGGAAATAACTTAAGATGTGTTTATGTTGATGACACAACTGCTCCACCATTTAATTTAGAGGATCCATTCTATGCAACAGTTTTAAATCAAGGACTTGCAATTAATGTCTACAGAAATGGTCAATGGGGCAGTTATAAGCACTTAATATTGAGACAAAATCTAGAACCAGCACGTTATACTTCTCACTGTTATGCTAATTCATTAATTCGTAGTGATTTGTCTTCAATTAAATGGTTTGAAGGTCCAATGGGCAATGCCAATGGAGATGATATTGTTAGAATTATGTACTCATCATTGAATTTCCGTGATGTTATGCTTGCAACTGGTAAATTAGCAATTGAAACATGTGCAAAGACAAGATTAGAGCAACAATGTGTTACTGGATTTGAATTTAGTGGAGTTAAAGGATATGGTAATTACAAGCGTGTAATGGGTATGGTAATTGGAGGTGCTTTAGGAACGCATGTACAAATGGATGCAGATTTATTGTGGAATGTACCAGATGATTGGCCATTATCAGAAGCTGCTTCATACCCTGTTGTCTATGGAACTGTTTATTCTTGCTTCTTCATTACAACACAGATCAAAAAAGGAAAATCAATTCTTATTCATGCTGGATCAGGTGGTGTTGGATTGGCAGCAATTCGTGTTGCTTTAGCTTATGGGCTTAATGTCTTTACAACTGTCAGTACAGAAGAAAAGAAGGACTTCTTGTTAAATGAATTCCCACAATTGAAACGAGAACATATTGGACATTCACGAGACACCTCATTTGAAGATCTTTTGATGACTTTAACCGAAGGAAAAGGTGTTGATTATGTTTTGAACTCACTAGCTGAAGAGAAATTACAATCGTCTATTAGATGTCTTGGTCAAGGTGGTATTTTCTTGGAAATTGGTAAATTTGACATGTCTAAAGACAGCAAAATCGGTTTGGGAGAGTTCTTACGTGAACTTTCATTCCATGCTGTACTTGTTGATAACTTATTGAGAGCACCACATGATGAAAAAATGGTAAGGCATAACTTTGTTATGTCTATGTAGATAAAATAATGTTTTTATTTTTTATATTCTATTAAAGGTTCTTAAACGACTTATGCAAAATGACTTGGATCGTGGAATCATTAAGCCACTCAAGACAACAATCTACAAAGCTCATGAAATTGAACAAGCTTATCGTTTCTTAGCCAGTGGAAAACATATGGGAAAAGTTATTGTTCAAATTCGTGAAAATGAAACTGATGAAATGACATTGCCCATAACTGTATTACCAAGACTTTATTGTAATCCTGAACATTCTTACATAATTCCTGGTGGACTTGGAGGATTTGGTCTTGAACTTGCTGATTGGTTGGTGCTTAGAGGTTGCAAAAAATTAGTTCTTAGCTCAAGTCGAGGCATTAGCAAGCAATATCAAGCTTATCGTATTAGGTAAGTTGTATTTAATTTAAACGATTGACATTCATGTTACCAACTTAATACATTTTGAATAGCATCTTTGAATCTTATGGCACAAAAGTTGTGGTTAATACATCAGACATTTCAACAAAATCAGGATGTGAAGATCTCATTTTAGAAGCAATGAAAATGGGTCCAATCGGTGGAATATTCAACTTAGCTGTACTCTTAAAAGATTCTATTTTTGAGAATCAAGATGCAACAAAGTTTGTTGAAAGTATGGCACCAAAGGCTTATGCTACTAAACATTTGGATGAAATTTCAAGAGTTTTATGTCCAGTTTTGAAATACTTTGTTGTATTCTCAAGTGTATCATGCGGACGTGGTAATGCTGGTCAAAGTAATTATGGTATGTCTAATTCAGTCATGGAAAGAATCATGGAACAACGTAAAAATGATGGATTACCAGCTAAAGCAATTCAATGGGGTGCAGTCGGTGAAGTTGGTTTAGTTGCTGATATGGCTGAAGATAAGTTGGATATGGAAATCGGTGGAACTTTGCAGCAGAGAATCTCATCTTGTCTACAAGAATTAGATGGATTGATCTTAAATGAACATCCAATTGTAGCAAGTATGGTTGTAGCTGAAAAACGCTACTCAAGTGAATCAACTGGAAATATTATCGATACAATCATGAATGTTATGTCGATTAAGGATCCAAAATCTGTTTCAATGGAAACAACACTTTCAGAATTGGGAATGGATTCTCTCATGACTGTCGAAATCCAACAAACATTGGAGCGTGAATACGATGTTGTCATTTCTCCACAGGAATTGCGCTCAATGACTTTGTCACAGTTACAAAAATGTGTAAATAACCGCGACTCAACAGATACTGATAAGAAGACTGTAATATCCAATGATAAAGTGCCAAAGGGAATCGCATTAATGTTAAGAAATTGCGGAGATGAAACTAATAGCAAAGAGACAATCTTGAAATTGCAAAGTCAATCAGATGAAGGTGTTAAAGCCCTCATTCTTCCTGGAATTGAAGGAATGGCTGGAAATGCTTGGTATGAAATTTCTAAAAACATGCGATATCCAACATATATCTTGCAAATTTTGGAGAAGGCATGGCAGAGCAGAGAATTAGATGAGATCTGCAAAAATGTTGAAAGTGTAAGTTTGTTTCTTATTTCTTTAAATTTTACAGATTCAAAACATTTTCTTAATTCCAGGACGTAGTTGAACTTTATCGTGACGACACAGAGTTCTTCTTTGTTGGCTACTCTTTTGGAGCATTGATGGCAATGAAACTTGCTAAAGTTTTGGAACAACATGGCAAAGTTGGTAGAATCGTACTCATTGATGGTGCACCAAAGCTTTTGAAGACATTAGCTGTTGATCAGTTGCCAGAAAATTGGACTGATGACATGGTTAGAAATATAATCCTTACAATGATCATAATTTCGTGCATCCCAGAAGATAATGGAACAATTATCAAAGAAATTCTTGCGATTCCAAGCTTTGATGCCAGAATTAAGAAACTGGCTACACGACAAACTATGTACAGTGAGGAATATGGCCTTAAAATTTGCAGTGCATTTGTCAATCGCTTAATATTGACAGCTAAAGTTGACCTGAATTCATTTGAAAAAGTAGATGCTAAATTTTCACTTATTCGCCCATCGGAACCATCAATTACTGAAATTGAGGAAGATTATGACTTGGGACAATATACAAATAAGCATGTTGCTGTTAAATATCTTGAAGGAAATCACGCTACATTGCTTGACAACCCCAACTTACCAGCTGAACTGAATAACATGTAATTTTTTAAACCTTGACATTCAAAATTATTATTATTATTACTTGTATTGATTTACTTTTTTAAAGTAGTACTGACTTAATGTGTGCAATGGAAATTGAATAAAAATAAATTAATTTAATCCAAAATTACGTTTTTAATTGAAGAATTTAACCAATATTAGATGGAAAATCGGAACCTAGTTGTATCTTTAATTGAGGATGTTTGTAAGATCATTCAACAATTGGGTTACCGACATTTGCCTACTGACACTTGCCCACTTTCAGGGAAATGTCATTTTACATATGTAGAGTGGACAAGTGTCTGCAAGCAAATGTTCTAAACCCAAACAATTAACTTAGTCTCTCAATTGGTTCGAAAGATTAATCGTTTGCAATTAGCAATAGCTATTATTGAGCTGACAAGGATACATACAAACCAGTCACGTCACAGCGACAATAAAGAAATTTTATTAGATATAACAGTTTTATCAATCCTATAATTATTGGACTAAACATGTGAGTTCTTGACCCTTTAAGTTTTAAATGCTAGTATTCACTTTTTTATTTAAATTAATTGAATATTTAAAGCCGAAATGAAAGGAATTGGAAACAAATTGCTTGATATGACATAAGAAGTCATTCACACACAATGTAAACACATTGATCATACGATAGTAATCCACTATGACGCACTATAATAAATAGAATCCTTATTATAGTTGTATGGAGTTGTCACGCGCACGATTAAGGAAATACTAGTCAAGTATTTTGGCACATTGTCGTGTGCATTCCTCAATTATTCACTTTTTCATTCATTTCTTTCAAATTAAGTCAATTAGAATCAATTTTGACGCGTCAATTTGACTTAATTATGCATACTATAAATATTGAATTATTAATCGCAAATTTTTCAGTATAAAAGCAAATGCAAGTCAATTTACTGTCCATACCCAGTTTTGGTGTACATTCTGTGTAATAAAAAAATTTCTTAGTGACAAAAAAATAATTATTTTAAAGACTATAAAGACAATAAAGTTATAGACAATTATTAAAAGGTGTTCTGGTGCTTATTTTTTGTGAATCGGTGTTTGGTGCATAAAAAAGTAAAATAAAAGAGACATAATGTCCTCAAAAGAAAATATAAGACCTAAAATTAAAGCATTTGATGATGAAGTGGTCATATCGGGAGTGTCTGGGAGATTTGCGAATTCACGAAATATCGCGGAACTGTCGCACAATTTATATAATAAAATTAATATGGTTGAGGAAAATGAAATTCGTTGGCGACGAACAAATCCAATGTTTCCAAGACATATAGGAACGATTTCGGATATTGACAAGTTTGATGCACAATTTTTTGGATATCAATCAAAGCATGCACAATCGATGGATCCGCAAGGAAGAATGTTGCTTGAACATGCTTATGAAGCAGTTCTTGATGCTGGCGTTAGTCCAAAATCTCTGAAAAACAGCAGAACCGGAGTGTTTATGGGTGTCTGCTTTTGTGAATCTGAGAAAACTTGGATGTACGAAAGAGACACGCCCGACGGGATTGGAATATCTGGAAACAGTCGTGCACTTTTGGCTAATAGGATATCCTTCATGCTTGGACTAGTTGGACCAAGTTTTTGTGTTGATACTGCTTGCAGTTCGTCAATGTATGCACTGGATCTGGCATATAAAGCAATTCAGAGTGGCGAATGTGATGCAGCATTTGTTGGTGGATCTAACTTGTTGCTTCATCCGTTGCCGAGTTTGCAGTTTGCAAGGTATTATCTGTGCTGAATAATGGTCTTTAACCAAAGTTCTTACTGATCTTTTTTGAAATTCACAGACTTGGAGTTCTGTCAATTGAAGGCTTCTGCTCACCATTCGATGCCAGTGCTAGCGGATATACAAGAGGTGAAACGGTAGCTGTGATATTCCTTCAGAGAAAAAGCATGGCTAAACGTAACTACGGTACTGTTGTGTACACGAAAAGTAACTGTGATGGATTCAAGTCTGAAGGAATTCATTATCCAAGTGGAGATGTCCAAAAAGCTTTGCTGGTTGAGTTTTACAATGACTTGAACATACCAGCATCTTCGGTAGACTATATTGAAGCTCACTGCACTGGAACTGTTGTTGGTATGTAAAATAGCTTGCACTTGACCTTAATTACTTGCTGCTTAATAAAAATTTCAATATTTAAATTCAAAGGCGACCCTGAAGAATGCAAAGCTATTGAACAAGTGTTTTGCAACGATAAAAATAAGGCACCGATTCCAATCGGATCTATAAAATCAAATCTTGGACATTCAGAAGCAGCTTCAGGTCTTTGTTCGATTTCTAAAGTGATTCTTACATTTGAAAATGGAAAAATTCCACCAAATATTAATTATCACATTCCAAGACCTGAAATTCCAGCATTAACGAATGGAAAATTAAAGGTCGTCGATGAAGTTCAAGATTTTAATGGATCACTGATCTGTGTCAACTCTTTCGGATTTGGCGGTGCTAATTCTCATGGATTATTCAAAATTAATCCAAAAGTTAAGAAGAATTTTGGAATTCCTGACGATAAAATTCCACGACTTGTTGTTTGGTCAGGCAGAACGGAAGCAGCTGTTAGTGAAATTTTAGATACTGTAACAAAAAGACCACTTGATGCTGAATATGTTGCACTTCTACACAATATACAAACAGAAACACTTCCAGCTAATATATTTAAGGGTTTTGGGCTTTATATGCAACCTGGTGATGGATCTAAGAACGCAAAATGTCTTATTCGCGATGTTCAGCATTATGGTGGACTTAAACGTCCGATGGTTTGGGTTTATAGTGGAATGGGATCACAATGGGCTGGTATGGGAGCTGATCTTATGAAAATTCCAATCTTTGAAAGTGCTATTGAGAGATGTCACAAAGTCATGTACGAAAGAGGACTCAATCTTAAGGAAATTTTGACTTCCAAAGATCCAGGAATGTTTGACAATATTTTACATTCGTTTGTTGGAATTGCAGCTATACAAATTGGACTTACAGATATATTAAAAGTACTTGGATTGGAACCAGATTATATTATTGGACATTCAGTTGGTGAATTGGGATGTGGATATGCTGACGATTGTTTAACAGCAGAGGAAATGATTCTTTGTGCTTATTCACGTGGAATGGCAAGTTTAGAAACGAAAGTTGTTCATGGCTCAATGGCAGCTGTTGGCATGGGCTATCAGAAGTTGAAGACAATAATTCCTGATGAGATTTGCATTGCTTGTCATAACTCCAACGAGTCTACGACAATTTCAGGACCGTCTGAAAATATTTCAATGTTTGTTAAGGAACTAAAGGAAAAAGGAATATTTGCAAGAGAAGTTGCATGCTCAAATATTCCTTATCACAGCAAATACATCGCTGACTTCGGACCAAATTTATTAAAACGATTGAATGAAGTCATAAAGGCTCCAAAGAAGCGCTCAAACAAATGGATCAGTTCAAGTTATCCAAAATCGACGTGGAATCTTGAAAAGACTCAATACTGTTCTGCTGACTATCATACGAACAATCTTCTCAGTTCTGTGCTATTTGAAGAAGCATCATCTCTTTTGCCTGAAAATGCAATTTGTGTAGAAATCGCGCCACATGGACTGTTGCAAGCCATCTTGAAAAGATCGATGACAACGGCAGTCAACATCCCATTGACTCAACGTGAACACAAGAGCAACGACCAAGTTTTGTTGAATGCTATTGGAAAGTAAGTTACAGTTTGAATTATTTTTGATCCAGTAAGTATTAATTTCTCAATTCCAGAATATACTGCAATGGCTTTGACATGGATGTTGCAAATTTGTATCCAAAAGTAGAGTTCCCTGTGTCGAGAGGAACTCCAATGATTTCATCCAACATAAAATGGGATCATTCTGAAAGTTGGTTCGTAACAAGTCACGCGCAGGTTGAAATCGGTAAATCAGCTGAAAGAATCATCAAGCTTAACATTGGATCGCCTGAATTTGAATTCATTATTGGACATTTGATTGATGGTATGTTCCTTATTGCTCTATATGTCTTTGCTTTACTAAATCAATCTTGTCCATATAGGTCGATGTCTATTTCCTGCGACTGGATACTTGTATTTAGCATGGGAAACTCTGGCAATGATTAAGAGTAAAAAATTGAACGAAACCATTGTAGAATTTGAGGATGTAAAGTTTTTGAGAGCAACAAACATGACAGAAACAAGTGTCGCTTTTGTGATTGTTGTTCAACCTGGAACTGGAAGATTTGAGATATCTGAAGGAAACACAGCATTAGTGACTGGTATCGTTCGATTACACGATCAAGTGGAACTAGCTAATATTAAGACTAATCGTGAGTCGAAGAAGATATTAGCAACAAGTGATTTTTACAAGGAATTAAGACTTCGTGGTTATCATTATAGCGGATTGTTCAAATCAGTCTTGGAAAGCAGTTATGATGGAACTTATGGTTGTGTAAAGTGGACTGATAATTGGATACCGTTCCTTGATTGTCTTCTGCAAATTCAAATTGTTGCTAAGGATACACGATCACTATTCATTCCAACTTCTATCCAGAGAATGGTTATTGATCCAACAAAACATTTCACTAGCGATACTAATCAGAAGGAAGAGTCGTTCTTTAATGTTCATGTATCTAGGAATATGAAGACTCTTCGAAGCGGTGGTGTTCAAATCACAAACTTACAAGCAAGTCCAATTCAAAGACGCAAAGCACAAAGCTTCCCTGTTTTGGAGTCTTATCAATTTATATCCAACGATCCATCTCCAAAACTGTCTTATTTTGATGCTGCACGAGTAATTACACAATTAGTGCTAGAAAACAATTCAGAATATACAGTTAAGGCAGTTGAAACATTCAATCCGAAACGATCAATGTTTTTGCCATTTATTCGAGATGCTTTATTGGACTTGCCACTGATCACACCTAATTTGACATATTTAGCATCATCTAAAGTTGCGAGCGAAGAAGAACAGATAACAGTTGAGAATACAAAACTATCAGCACACAAATGTTTGTTGTTGATCCTTTCGGAAGGAAGCAGTGAAATGTACTCTTTGGAGGAAGTGGCAAATAGCATAGCTGATGGTGGATTCCTTGTCGTTCGTGCAGAATTAAACTCAAGTGTTGCTGAAATGGTTTACTCCAATAACTTACCGTATACAGCAACAGTCTTAACAAACAATGAGAAGTTTGTCGTCTTTCATTCTGTTAAGCAGCAAAACTCTAAACCTTTATCATCTATTCACATATCCAACAAAGACAGCAACTTTGATTGGATTGAGGAAACAAAATCTGTGATGAAGAACGGACCACTCGTTCTTGTTGCTGAAAATGAACCAGATTCAGGTATTGTTGGATTGGTAAATTGCTTGAGGATGGAACCAGATGGAAATTTCATTCGATGCGTTTTTGTTGATGATCCAAAAGCACCTAAGTTTAGTCTCAGCGATCCATTCTATCAAAATCAATTGAAACTTGATCTTGCTATTAATGTCTATCGTAATGGTAAATGGGGAACTTACAGACACTTGCAGATCTCTGAAACTCACAATGAATCTCCAGTTCAAAGCCATTGCTATGTCAATTCCTTAGTCAAATCAGACTTATCATCGTTAAAATGGCTGGAAGGTCCATTAAATCACATGAAAGTACAAAACAACCTTGTTGATGTTCATTATGCTGCATTAAACTTTAGGGATGTCATGTTGGCTACTGGAAAATTAACAGGAGATGTATTTACTGAAAATCGATTCGAACATGAATGCTTGCTAGGAATGGAGTTTTCAGGAAGGACAAGAGATGGAAGACGTGTGATGGGCTTAGTTACTTCTGGTGCTTTAGCAACTAATGTAAAGGCTGATCCGATGCTTCTTTTTGATATTCCAAATAATTGGAGTCTTGCTGATGCTGCAACAGTTCCATGTGTTTACGGCACTGTCTATTCTGCATTCTTTGTGAGCACAAAAATTGAAAAAGGAAAATCAATTTTGATTCACGCTGGTACTGGTGGTGTTGGTCTTGCAGCTATTCGTGTGGCTTTTGCTTATGGATTGGAAGTTTACACTACAGTTAGCACTGCTGAAAAGAAGAACTTCTTGTTGAAAGAATTTCCACAGCTGAAAGCTGAAAATATTGGCAATTCACGTGATACAACATTTGAGAAGATGATTATTGATAGAACTGATGGTAAAGGAGTTGATTATGTCTTGAATTCATTGGCTGAAGAGAAGCTTCAAGCATCAATTCGTTGTCTTGGCTTTGGAGGAAAGTTCTTAGAAATCGGAAAGTTCGATATGGCTAATGACACCAAGATTGGAATGAACATTTTCCTTAAAGAACTCTCGTTCCATTCTGTGATGTTGGACAGGCTATTTGGTGAATCTAATGAGAAGAAGCTTGTAAGTATTGACTTAAATATGAAAATCAGTTTGATTAATTTTATTACAATATAAATTACAGCAATTAAAGCAGATCCTTGAACGAGACATCAAAGCAGGAATCGTTAAGCCTCTAAAGACAAATATCTTCTCAGCCAGTCAAGTAGAAAAGGCCTTCCGATTCCTAGCTAGTGGCAAGCACATGGGAAAAGTCCTCCTAAAGATTCGTCAGAATGAGAATGACTTAGTAACACTTCCCATATCTGTGTTACCAAGGATTTATTGCAATCCTGAACATTCTTACATAATTCCTGGTGGACTTGGAGGATTTGGACTCGAATTGGCTGATTGGTTGGTACTTAGAGGATGTAGAAATTTGGTTTTAAGTTCAAGTAGAGGAATATCAAAGCCTTATCAATCTTATCGAATTAGGATTTGGGAATCTTACGGTGTTAAAGTTACCGTAAATACATCGGACATTTCAACAAGAAATGGATGTGAAAATCTTATTAAGGAAGCGATAAAACTTGGTCCAGTTGGCGGAATCTTCAACCTTGCTGTACTTTTACGTGATGCTGTTTTTGAGAATCAAGATGCAGTTAAGTTTATTGAAAGTATGGCACCAAAGGCTTATGCTACTAAACATTTGGATGCAATTTCAAGGAAGTTGTGTCCAAAACTTCAATACTTTGTTATTTTCTCAAGTGTATCATGTGGACGTGGTAATGCTGGTCAAAGTAATTATGGCATGTCTAATTCAGTCATGGAAAGAATCATGGAACAACGTCAAAGGGATGGATTGCCAGCTAAAGCAATTCAATGGGGTGCAGTTGGTGAAGTTGGTCTAGTTGCTGACATGGCTGAAGATAAGTTGGACATGGAAATTGGTGGAACTTTGCAACAAAGGATCACATCATGTTTAGAGGTGCTTGATGACTTGATGTGCGAGAAACAACCAATTGTATCAAGTATGGTTGTGGCTGAAAAGAAATCATTTGGAATTTCTAAAGGCAACATCGTTGAGACTGTGATGAATATTATGGGTATTAGAGATATTAAATCAATTTCTTTGGAAACAACACTGAGTGAAATGGGAATGGATTCTTTAATGGCTGTTGAACTGAAGCAAATATTTGAACGTGAATTTGAAGTTGATCTTTCAATGCAGGAACTAAGAACTCTCAACTTCTTGAAAATAATGGAAATAGCCAAAAAACGAGAGAACCAAGAAAAGCCACTTGACGAGAAACCAGTAGATGAGAATATTTTAGCCTTCCTTATCAGACATACAGCAATTCGCCCACAAAATGAAAATATTTTAGAATTCTTCAAAATGGACCAAAAGCAAAGATCAAACTGTTTGGCGCTTATCATTCCCGGAATTGAAGGATGTGCTTCAGATACAATGCTTGAGATGTGTTCAAAATTGAACTTCCCATACTGTATTATTAATTATAATAGCTCGATTATATGTCAAATGAAGACTGCTCGCGATACTGTTGAGTTCATAAAGAATGTAAGTATCTTGGACAAAGCTTGATGTCAACTTGATTTGACTATAGTAAATTTAAATAGACTAAAGTCAACTTGGATTGACTAAAGTCAACTTGATTTTACTAAAGTCAACTTGAATAGAATATAGTCACCTTGAATTGACCAGAGTCATCTTGAATTGACTAAAATCAACTTGAATTGACTAGAGTCAACTTGGTTTGACTATAGTCAACTTGAATGGACTATAGTCAACTTGAATTGACTAAAGTCGAGAAGTTGTTTACAAATACGTTGATTAATGAATTATTTCATATTTTCAGGACTTAATGAAAGTACTTGACGGCTACGAAAGATTCCATCTAATTGCACATTCCTATGGTAACTTTTTGGCGATTATTTTAGGCACATTCCTTGAAAGTCGGGGCAAAAAAGGACACATTTCAAATATTGATGGATCTCCTGTAGTTTTAAATACCGTAACAAGAATACAATGCCAACGTAGAACCGAAGGAGAATTCAATGACTACATATTAACTTATATATCTTCACTAATTGACCAAAATATTGATAAAAATCTATTCAAAGTATTTGCAAATTATGAAACCTGGGATGAGAAGCTGGAAAAATTCTTGGAAATCACTTCGTATCAACATTTGTATACTAAAGATGTCTTCCGATCGGTTGTCAATGCATTCCGTAACAGAATCAATTCAGTTATTTATGAAATTGAAGACTTGGGATATCTTCAGAGCACAAAATGTACTTTATTCAAACCATCAGATGACTTCGCACCATTAGAAAGTGAAAATCTAGAACTAGAGAAATATTTCAAGCAAAGCATCGATGTATTCAAATTGGAAGGAAATCATCAAAGTATAATAGAGAATCCAAAATTAGTAACAATATTAAATGACATCCATAAAAAGATTTTATGATTTTAATAGTATAAACTTAGTATCTAACAAAACTTAGTTAAGGTGATATGTTTATGATTAATTTAATGTAGGATAGGACTTTACACAAAACCAGAACTTTGTCACACAAATAAAATTTATAGAAAATATTTTAAAATTAATTAAAGTTTGTTTTTGATTGGAAATCTTAATTCTGAGGTTGGTTTTAAAGGCTATTCAGAGATCTATTTTATAGAATCGAGCAAACGAGATCAATCAAAGAAGCACTAGTCAAACTGGTCTGGAAACTGAACGATCCGGTGCTGAATTAAGTTTAAATCTGATATGGAATTGACATTGAGCCAATAACATTGTACATTTTAAGTCAGTGTTGCATTCTGGCCATTTGTCTTAACCAGATAAATTCTGAGACAGAAATTTCTTCATAAAGATCGATTCTATATGAAGATAGAAAATCTAATCTACACAAAGATTATTTCTACATAAAGATTCGATGTAGATGTCTATAATTCTACATTCTTCTCTGATGTAGACCTGGAAAAAAATGTAGAATTGTAGACATCTACATCGAATCTTTATGTAGACAGAATCTTTATGTAGAAATAATCTTTGTGTAGATTAGATTTTCTATCTTCATATAGAATCGATCTTTATGAAGAAATTTCTGTCTCAGACAAAAACTATTGAAGAATCTAAATTCTTCATCTAGTGTAGACATCTACATTTGCAACACTGTTTTTAGTATTAAGGTGCAAAATTTGAATCTAGATAAGATGTAAGCTTAAAAAGTAATGTACATCCAGGATTGTTCTTAGACTTACTCACAAAATCCAATATGTGGTGAAAAACTACATGAAATGGTGAAATTGCTTTAAAACTCACCTCCATTGCCCAATAGATGGCATCACATGCACTCCTAAAATCTTGAGTAGCATGAGTAGCCATAAAACATCTCAAATAAACTTCCTCATCTCTTCTTTACATCCCATTTCCATGTAACATAATTTTATGAACAGTCAAAAGCAACATTTTCACTTTTAATTCCTTGCAAATTGACATGCACTGCCAGGACTAATTTACATATTTTGGAAGCATAATTATTAAGCATTTCTACAGCCCTCTTTCTATTTTCAGCATGTAGGCGTACCACAACATGTAAATCTGATTATGATGCCTCAAGTCTTTGTGGTTGAGACATGACATCAGTTAAATATAGAACAGGGAGGAAGATTCTACTGCCTGGCAAGGTTGGAAGCAAAAACTAAGAAGTAAGTGAATGAATGGAAAAAGTTTTTGTGTCATCTCATAAAAGCCTCTTATGATGCGGTGGAAATAGAACTCTTTTGAGCATTTTTTGGATGATGAAAGGAAGTTGATTGTGTGCAGTTTATTTATTTTATTTGGCATCGGTTTTGTGGTGTAATCTAGTCTCTTGGTCTAAGTTATAGGCCATTCTCATAGCTATTTCTTAGATTCATCCTGGTTAAGCTATAGAAGTTGGTCCAATGGTATTATTTTATCAATAAGATCCACACAAATGCGCCATAACAGCCCTTCATTTAAAGGTATCTGTCCTCTTCTATTATTTTCTTCTCTTCCTTCTTCATGGCAACATTTTTGAGGCGGCAATTATTTCATCAGTTGCAGACAGTGTTCAAGAGGAACAGTTTGTTGGATCTAAAACGAAAAACTTTTATCTCTTACAAATGTTTATTACAGATACATAGACGCAGTGATAACCATAATTATTTTATGGAAATTTCTTCCCATCTCTTATCGCATCCAAACTCATTTTATGCAACATAATGAAATGCAGAAAAAAAAACTTGAATTTTGTTGTTGCTTGTTAAGTTTTTTTTGTTCATTCCAAACGATTCTCATCAACGTAGATGCAAAATTTACATTCATTTTCACGCCCAATGCATTGAGTATCGTTGCAATGCAAAGTGGCTTTTTGCTGGTGCTAAATTAATATGTTAATGATGGTGGTTTTTGCGGTAAGGACATGGATAGGGAGAGACAAGTTTTGGAATTTATGAGAGATTTTTATGAAGTTCGTTAAGGAAGTTTACAGTTTTTTTTGGTATACAAACTTTGAAAACTGCTTTTTTTTTGGTGAATGAAGATTGTACAATTAATTGAATTAAACTGCTTCTAGGTCATGGAGATGGCTCTAATGTTGAGCCTTAAACATTGGACGTTCAGTCATTATATTTAAGTCATTTAGCATTAGGCCATTATCCTATTGATCAATCTCAGTTTCAAGCATCTTGAGGTACATCCATAAAAGATCAACTTGCATCTATCAATCCATCCATGTATCCATCCATCCATAAATTAATCACTAAACTTTAAAGCATAACTTTAATATCTCGTCAAATAATTTCCAAACACAAACTTTTCCTCATTCAAATCAAACAAGAAGCCACAGCAACTCCATCATTTACATTAGCATTGCACTAATGTAAATTGACTGCAAACATCAAGTTCTTTGAATGTGAAAATAGAGCAAAATTTCATTCTATTATTATTTCTACCAATAAAGTTCATTAAAATACTATCCACAGAAACATATCAGCAAACTACATTGATGAATAGTCATTAATGCATCATCCGTGTCTATGTGTCATGTTACTTCCACTATCATCAATTTCAATGACATCTAGCATAGAGAAAATATGAAAATATTGGAAAATTTATATTTTTGCATCGAAGCACTAAGGTTCATAAGAATCGGGGGTGTAATTAGGGTAGGGTAAGGGTCAGGGGCGTAGCCAGGGGGGGCCATAGGGGGCCCAGGCCCCCCTTTCCGAAAATCTGATAATTGTTTTATTAAGTATTTATAGAGAAGAACCAGTTAATGTAGAGGAAGTGATGAAAGAAATGTCAAAATCAGCACGAAAAATTAAATTTAATGTATGATTAAATATTTAAACTTATGACGAATGAATATAGATTTAAGGATACAAAATAACGGTTTTTTTAATTTCCGAAAATTGGCCCCCCCTTAAAAATTTTCTGGCTACGCCCTTACTAAGGGTCTAATAACTCAAATTCTCATGACAATCATAAGTGAAGCATAGCAGGTCCTAAGAGCTCCTCATCTTCTCCATTTCTAGAGCTCTAATGGAAGCTTGTCATTCATGCATTATTAGAATCAATGGCAAATATAACAATAATAGTACATCAAGAGCTACATCAACCTAGCTACATCCCTTGCCACAGCATATTTCAAATAAATGTCAATCATGTGCAAAACTTGATATAAAGAGCTCTCTCTATTTTTCCTAAACAAATAGAAAATTTTTATATTCACATATTTGTGTATTCAATTGAGAGCTTTATGAAAATCCTTTCTCCATTATATGACATTCTGCGGTCAATGCTGAATGGTTTTGTCGATTGTTTTTAGTGGTTTTAATGGCCTGAAGAGATTTGACAAAAAAAAAAGTTTCTCTCTCTAATGATGGCTATATACATTCTCATCTTTATCTAATCGCTTTTATATGTATGTCCCATAGACGATGGAGAATAAAATCATTACAATATGCCCGAGGTGAGGTTTTCAATTTTTTTTTCTTCTTCTTCTGTTGCTGGGGTTATAAAAAATTTTGTGGAAGAAATTTGATATTCATGCTGGAATGAGTTTGGATTGTAACCTCATTTTGATAAACAGTTTTTTTGGTATTTTTTCTGATTTAGAATCTTTTGTGAATTTAGAGTTGGGATTTTATAGATTTGTAGGATATTTGACAACGATATTGCTATTGTCAGCATTTGGGAACCGATGATTAGTCTTGATGTTAGCTGATTCTTTGACGACCATTAAAGCACGTTGCTTTCTATCCAATTTCTACAATTTAAAAGAAGTTTTGAAAATTTCATTCAAAGCTTTTCCTTTACATAACCTCATAAGAACTTCCCATTCATATTCATCCAAAAGTGGTAAACCAAAACATTCATACGATGAGAACTAAGGACAACACTGATTTTTCTTAAAGATAAAGTAGGATAAAGTTTTCTTCTTTAATTCTCAAAATTGTAAGGTATAGTCAGAGGATGCAAACATATTGTTATCTAAACACTGAATAAGAGATGAAAATATTTACATTCACAAAAAAAGAGTTCCAATGAACCCTCAATTTCATTTTCCTTCCTCATTCGGAAACTAAGAGTCGAAACTTTTACTTCCATTATTGTTTATTTAAATTCGAAAATTTTCATGTGTGATTCCTTTCCTTTTTTTTTTTGCTCTTCTTCCTTCTAATCTAGACATTTTATGTTGTGTGACATTAGTTTGGATTTTTCTTTTGTTTTAATGCAAACAAAAAGGAATTTGAGAATTTAAAGGACAGAATAGAAAACGGTTGTTGATTTTTGTAAGGTCGTGAGACTCTATGGATTCTATGAATCGATTTAGAGATTGACTTCTGATGTGAATCGTTCTCACAAAAGAGAATTTGTAGATTTTCAGTAAATCGCCTTGTTCATAGAATTCTAAATCTCCGACTACATTTCATAACCTCAATTCTCCTTTTTTAATTTGTAATCGTAATTTCAACAATCATTCATGTAACAAGTTAATTCAAACTTCAAATAAAACCTTTCAAGTCTTTCTCTACTTCATAATTAGCATCCTTCAATTCTTTGCTAGTCACACAATAAATATTGTTCTGAACAACTTCAAACTGCACCGCTTTATTAAAACAATTTCTTTCGCAACACAGTGAGTGCTATAAGTGGAAGAAGTGAAGAACGAATGTTTATTGTCAAAGCTACACTCGCGGGAAATGAAAAAAAAAAGCATTAATTCTGTTTGAAGTCCTTTGAAGCATGCATTGTTGAAAGTTTTTCATTTCTTTTTGATTTTACTCGAATGGTGTTCAGCTGGATAGAAAATGTTGTTTGTTTACTAAATGATTGTTAAACGAGATATAAAAGTTGAAAATGGAAGTATATTGATGTAAATATCGAGGTTAAATCTGATTGCTTTATACCTTAAACTTTAGGTTTTATTTGGGCTTTTGTTTTATTTTATTCAAAAATTAATTCAGATTTTTTTTTTATTCAAAGGCAATTTTCTTTTCTCCAATTTCTGCATCGATTTGTTCAGCTTGCCGTTTCCTCTTTAATGAATCGATGACAAAGAAGCAAAACTCAAATGCTGAAAGTATTGAAAATCCTAGAAATAGACCGATCAATCCACCAATGTCAGCAACAACTAGAAGAATTTAAAAGAATTTTTTAATTAAACGGTTTTTTGAGATTCAAATTTTGTAACGGTTGAAATAAATTAAAATTTTTGAATACCCATCACGTGTTTTAGGACTTTTAACCATTCGATGGGCCAATAAATCAATAATAAAATGAGTTTAAAATGTCTGAATATTTCGATAGCCTTACAATTTTGAAGCTCATATGATACAAATCTCTCCTGATGCTCTATCAAATGATTTGAAAAGCTCAATTCAAGAACTGTGTAAAGTATCCTAAAATATTAAAAACTATATTATTCACAAAAGAAGTGACAAAACGTAATTAACCGAATCATTACTCGTCAGTTTCCTTTGGATATGTAATAGCTTTTCCAGTTCCTTCATTTTGTATACTGTACTTAATATTACTGCATGGCGGATAACATTCACATGGAATCTTAAAATGTTTGTCACTCCTTTTAGGCCAATTCTGCATGGCATTATAATAGCACTTAATTTCATCGATATCACAAACTGGCGTATGTTTTTCACGCGGCATTGAGAACTTTACACATCCACATGCCTCCAAAGTGTGATTTGTCATACACTCAAAGTCACAATGAGCTTTTGTGTATGATTTGAAAAACTTCAATGTTCTTTCGCTTTCATAATAGCACTGACGCTTACGTGGCTTCAAATGACGTAAATCGTGTCTCGTTTTGAATGATTTAGCAGTTATCTCAACCTTTTTATCATCGTTAAATGCTATAAAATTCTTTTGATGCGATAATGTTGGCAGTTCATTTGGAAGATGAAGCATGAAAATCAATCCACCGCCTTTATTTCGACAAAATTCAGCTTCACCATAACGATTGTAAATAAGCATGTTGAATGACACAAAATGCTTTCTTTCAGCTCTAACTGGCCATACTTCTTCATTTTCTGTCGAGTATCCATTTTCTAATGTCCAAAAGTTCATGTCATTGCTGGACGAGCTTTTGTTTTTAGTTTTTTCATCCCAAACTGGAACTGGATATTCAAAAATGTCTGAATCTTCAAACACAGTTAAATCATTGCTGACAACTTCCTTATTAAATACAGTATTATGTCCTTGCCAGTTGTAAGTGTTGCAGACACCAAAGTCAGTAATTGTTTTTGTGAATAATAAATCACATGCTGTCAAAGTACCTTTAAAGTAGCAGAAGTAAAATTTCAATGGATTTTTCCAACCTGCCAGTAACTTTAGAACATCTTTTTCAGTTCTATTAGGCAGAAGATCTGTAAGAATATTGTCTGTAACCATCTCTGGACGACATGTATGATAAACCAATTGGAAATGATTCTGTACTTCTGGACTAAGTTTAGTAACGTTTTCTCCGTCATAAAAATCCTCAGCTACATATTGAACAGATGTTATGTGCTGTAATCGTTTATCAAACAGTGTACTGCAAATTGTAACTGCTGGAAATGGAATTTCACTTTCAGGTATTAGCACTGAACTTGTTGTAATGTCAGGTTCAATTCTCCATCTTACGAATGATTGAACAACGCAATACAAAAGTCCAATTGTAAGGATTATAATCCATAGGACTCTTATTATTTGGTTTTTTGAGCAGTCCAAGGACAGTTTCGACTTGAAATTCTTTTTCATTATTTATGAACGAAGTCTGAAAATTATGAATTGAAATATTTTTAAACGCGTGGATTTATGTGTCATTTTATTGTATTTGACCTAATTTTTCTTCCATTGCGTGATTTGCAAGTTAGATCATAGAGATTTGCAGTTTTAAGATAGCCACGATAAAACATAAAATTGGCATAAAATATCAGTTCCACTCAGTGTTGCATTCTGGCCATTTGTCTTGATCAGATAAATTCTGAGACAGAAATTTCTTCATAAAGATCGATTCTATATGAAGATAGAAAATCTAATCTACACAAAGATTATTTCTACATAAAGATTCTGTCTACATAAAGATTCTGTCTACATAAAGATTCGATGTAGATGTCTATAATTCTACATTCTTCTCTGATGTAGACCTTGAAAAAATGTAGAATTGTAGACATCTACATCGAATCTTTATGTAGACAGAATCTTTATGTACAGATAATATTTGTGTAGATTAGATTTTCTATCTTCATGTAGAATCGATCTTTATGAAGAAATTTCTGTCTCAGACAAAAACTATTGAAGAATCTACATTCTTCATCTAGTGTAGACATCTACATTTGCAACACTGGTTCCACTAGTCACAGTAAAAAAAATCTCCTCAAGAAGCACATTCAAAAGATATCATTAAGGAACACATTAAAAATGATCTAGAATTCAGATGATATTCAGTAAAATTATTCCTGAAGCGAGAAAACCTCTTACTCCTCAAGTGCTTTTTTCAAGACATCATTAGCGATTCTAATTAGATTTGATAAATTTGTTTCTTTTCATCACGAATGCGATACAGTCAACAGCAATTCTTGACAGTAGCAACAGAATTAACATTTATTATGGTACGCGATTGAAGTTTACAGCTTTAATTTCCATAGTAAAATTATATTCAATGACATTTGGCTTGAGTAAATAAAAGAAAGATATTTTAAGTGCTGTTGTACAGGAACGAGCAGCAACTTTGATTGGAAGGTACAAAATTTTACTCACCATCAATGTCTTGACATTTTTAAATCATCCGTAAAATAAAAATAAAAATAATTAAATCTACGTCCTTAATTCCATCATATTTCATTCGCCAACGCACTCACCTCCTTCAATGAAACTTAAGACCATTTTCAGTCTTCTCCTTTTCAACAATATTTTTTCACTGTCGATGGCATGAAATTACGCTTTTTTTATCATAAACATGATAAACACACAAAAGTATCACGTAGAAAGGATGACGTCGTTGACGGTGGTGATGATGATGGCATTAAGCACAACACAAAAGGAAAATTTCTTTATTGTACAGGTTTCTGTATTGTGTGAAAAAAGAAATCTTTTCAAGATATGATAAAATAAAAATAAGAAAGCATCCGCGAAAAATTAACAGTAATGATGATGATGGCGGTGATGTTGTTGCTTTATTATGGAAGATAAGAGGGAGCAAAATATTCTCTGTTGTGCTTTAATGGATAATTGTCATGAAAATTATTCGCATTAAGATTCAACAGATGAACGTGATAAGCCAAATGTTTGAGCATAAAGTAATTAAGGTTTTTTTTCAAGTTTTAAATGGTATTTCGGGGAATCTGATAGAATCTTTGAGGTTTACTCTTTTTTGTTTGAGTTGGATGAAGGAATTAAAAGAGGTTTTGAAAACTTTTGAATAGGATTTTTATTGTTTTTTTGGTTCAACATTTATGTGGACTTCCTACGCTTCTCATTTTAGAAGCATTTTCCAAAGAGAATGTGTCTACATCTCCAAACCACAAATTCTAGATGTGAATTTGATACTCAATAATTATGATCAAGCGGTTGCAAACATAAATCTAATTCTTTGCTTCCTAGAATCCATCCGCAAGTCAAATAGATAAGCTAATTAAATTATCCAGGTTATTACAACAAATATCGACACAAATCAGACATTAATCTTAATGTGAAGAAATAGAAGAATTCAACAATTGAAAGAACAGAAATGCCAGCAAAAAGTCCCAAAATTCCACCAACATATGATAGAAAGTCGACAATTTTGAACTGTTGATATCTAACTTGAGCATAATATTCATTGTCTTTCCATAATAATGATATTGTGGTATTTTGAACTCTATAACGAAAGATATTATTATGAAATAAAGGAATAAAAAGGAGAGAATTCACCAGTGGCAAAATATTTAAGTATTTCTTACTTTTTGTAAACTTTTGTGACCACTTCATATGAATACGATACATAATTGCACAAGGGAAGGCAATTGCAGATTCCTTTGGCTTTATAAATATCATCGTAGTTTTGAAAGTTTGAGAAACTTTCAAATTTTAAAGCACAATCATTAAAACGATAGTATTCGCAAACAGCTGTTGATGAATTTCTGATGTAGTTAAATGGAACGCATCCACAGTTTGAGTAGACTGGAAAGGTTTTTTTTTAAAAAAGAATTACAAAAGTCCTCGTGTTATTTATCGAGGGACTTCAGCACATTTTTGACGTAGCGATCAGTATCAATTCATTGTATTAAAAAAAAATTTACACATTAGGTACAACAAAATTTTTTTTGTCATTTAACGGTTTTTTGAGATTAAAATATTTTAACGATAGAAATAAATTTGAATATCTGAACATACCCTGAACAATTTTTAAAATGCTAGAAAAAAAAACAAATTTCTAAACGTACTCATCACGTGGTTTTGTTTATGAAATAAAAAATCATTAATTATAGCATAAGTACTGGGGGTCCTCGATTTGAGTAGATTCTATTTGAGTAGATTCGATTTGAACAGAAAATTTTTTACTCACCAAAATATTCGATTTGAGTAGATTTCTTCGATTTGAATTGTTTACAAAACAAATATTTTTGATAAAAACATTTCAGAAAATATTTTTAAAACATAAATTATTCTGCAATAAGCGTGAACTTATCATGTTGATCGAAAAATCAATACTAAAGTTACAAAATTAAAGTAAAAATTTAAAAAATTGATATAAAATTAACGGTTTTAAAAAGTTCAAATTCAAAAACCCTACAAATTGTTCGGTTAAATAACATTTGCAAGGCAGTTTTCTCCCAACCTCCGAATGAGGAGGTTGTGGAATTGTGCAATACTTCAAAATTAATTATTTACGCGTAGGAATAAGTCACAAACCTACGGAAACTGTCTTCAAAGTAACAAAGAACAAAGATACCAAGGAGAAAACTCAGCAAAGTCGCGATTTAATTAAATTTTGGATATAAATTGAAATTGGAAAAAAAATGTGCAAATTTTGCACATAACCTAGATAAAACGGAATTGATCATCATCGGAATACCAACGAACATTTAATTACATTGACAAATCACGATCGGCGGCAGTTGTGAAGAGAATCAATTGTTTCACGTGGGTTTTTTGTGTTTTACCAACAATCGTGGACAAGAAGGTTCTATCATAACCATAACCTAGACATATTGAATATAATTGGAATACAACGGATTATCGTCAATTGTGAGGAGAATTTGTCTCGCGATGGGTTTTGTGTGTTTCCCCATATATCGCGGGCAATTCTATCAATCAATTGGTGCTGACTGGATTTCAACAAATCAACATTGACAAACAGGAATCGATCATCTCGGAATACAGCAGATCATATTAATTAAATTGACAGATCACAATCGAGACATAAGATAAAATTGAATCTATTTGGCATATCACAAGTTAAATTACAGGGGCTGTCAAGGGATCTGGATCATCGACAACTGAAGATGGAATTTTTTGCCTAGCGATGGTTTTTTGTTGTTTTGACTTATCGCGGGCATGTTTTCTGTCAACCATTTGGAGTTGACTGGATTTTATTGATTGTTCTTTGTGTATATTTGTAAATTAAACTACCTGGAATTGTGAACGGTCTTTAAATAGCAATAAGCTGATGGACCATAATAAAGTTAATTAAGAAGAAAAAACATTTGCAAGGTTCTCATATTTTTGTTTTGTTTCAAAAACATATTTCTTGTGAATTTCTGTTTAAAAACAATATAAATATGCGTCGAAATAAATTAAGTTATCTAAAACACATAGGTAAAGTTAAGAAACGAGGTAAAATGTGCAAAAAATTATCATAATTTTCATTGTTTTGATACATTTTTTGGACTCTGGAACAAAACATGTGATTTTGTATGGATTCTTTGCCTCGATTTGAATAGATTCGATTTGAGTAGAAATTTTTTGGAACAAAACAACTACTCAAATCGAGGACCCCCAGTACATGATTTGAAGACTTTTAACCACGCGATGGGCTGATAAAGCGATAGTAACGGAGCTAACAAAACAAACCCGAGCTTTCTCCGATGTCTGGTTAAAAAGTTTTTCTGGAAACGAACGAACAAACGAACGAACAAAGTGAATTATTAAGCTGAAAAGATATAAGGTTAATGAGTATTGAAAAATTCTTACTAATCTCAGCCAAGCATTCCTGTTCACAATTTTTCTGTGTGTAGATTTTAAAATATTTCAACTTCCGTTCATCATCAAAATAGCATTTTCTAAGACTAATGTCAACATACTTTAGATCATCGTCAGTTTTAATTATTTCTGGTGTGATAAAAACATCACTAGTCACCAAATCTTCATGCCGTACTATTTGTGAATTAATTGGCAACTCATTAGGTGGATGAATGATGTAAGAGTCAAAATTATGACATCCTTGCCATAATTTATTTATTCTGAAAGTTAAATCTAGTCCAAAATTATACCCAGCTCTTGCTTTCCATGGAAATATTGTGCTATTATGGCCATCGTATGTGTAGAAAAAGTCTCTTGATGTTCTGAAATTGCAATGGATGTTAAGTGTCGGAATTGATCAACCTAAAACCTAGTTCCTTGAAACTTTACCTTTTTACATTGATCAGTCTTGTTTGTTCAACTAAATTGAAGGTATATCCAAATCCATAATGAGTCAAAATCTCAGCAAAAGGAGGATCAATATCTCGATTCCATTTAGCTTTTCTATAAATGAACCAAGGTCTTTCTCTGTGTGTTCTGCTCCGAAGCATGTCCACAAAATCTGATGTTGATGAAAAGTTGAATGGATCTTTTGAAAAGCCAACGCTGTTGAGTGTTCTACATATGACTGCAAACGCTTGATTTCTAAAAGATTAATATATTTGTAGTTAATTACAAAGATAATCTTATGACATACACTAGACAACATTTACTTACATAACAGAAAAGTTGTATTCATCATGATCATCTCGTTTCCATCGTGAATCATGCTTTTCAGTATTTTCAATCATTGGAATATACCTAAAACCATGACCGTCATTGATATCTGGGATTAATGTAAAAGCTGGAAAAGGAATCTGAAAATAAGAGACAAATGTTATGGAGCCTATAAATATCTTTGATTTTAGTTGTTGATTTGATGGTGAACTAAAAGAAATCGTACATTTTCTACACTTGTTGGCTTTCCATCTAAACTCATGTAGATTTCACTTTCCTTTAACTTCTCATATACCTTCTGGACCATCAGAAATGCAAGTATCATTGATAGGATAAAGAAAAGAAACCAAACTAGTCTGTGAACAAAGAAGAAATGTTATGAACTAGAAAACTAAAAAAAAGCCTTAAAATAAAACCTTTCGATGAACTTTTTCTGAATATCTCCAAAATACTTGAAGCTGTGAATTGAAGATTCCTCAAGATATATTAAAAGGTAGCTCACAATTGCATTCTTTGATTTTTCTGGTAATTCATCAAAAACTGGACGAATTTTCGATGATCTTCTGCTTTTAAGTGACGCTAAAGGATAAATAATAAAATGAAGGATGATCTCTCCAGCAGACAGAAATGAGAATCCAGCAAAAAGTCCTAGAAATCCACCAATCAATGAAAAAATGTCGACTGATGTAAAAACCTTTCGTTTTCTTGTTGCCAATATACTTTGTACTCCTAGTTCAATTTTCGCTTCTATTTCGTTATATGAACGTCCATCCATAATTGAAAAGAAAAATTTTCTTGTCCAATCGTAGCTATAGAATACAAAAAATTATTGTCCTTTGAATTTAAATATAAAGTTTAGGTCTTACGTCTTTTTAACTTCATATTTGACTGTCTCGCAAGGTTCATAACACATGCAGGTTAACTTTACATTGATAAACTCATCTTCGACATTTCTTAAGCAGTTTTCATCGACGGTTCCACAAATTCTTGTTCCCTGATCTCTAACCATGTAAAATTGAACACAACCACACGTTTTGAGAGTTAGAGTAGCCAAACATTCGTGCTCACAATTAATTCTGTTATAGACTTTGAAAAATCTCAGTTCAAGTTCATTTTCTAGATAACATTGCCGACTATAGCATGGCAAATAAACGAGATTATTATTAAGCCAACTTAAAACATTTCTTAAAAAGCTATCAACTTACTCTTCCAACTTAAAATCCATCATCGAATCATCAACTTTTAAAATTTTTGGAACTATTGTAATTTTTGAATAAGACGGTAAGCGAACTTGAAGATTAATAGAATCATGCGAAAGAACTTCAAATGCATCATGGAACCAAAGTTTAAGTCCATCGTAATCTTTGTTAGGAATCGAATCATTCAAATAATCTGAATAGACTTTATAAATCTGATATTTTTGCATTTCTGAAAATCCTAAATGCAAACCTTTCCCTGGATTTTGTGCCTTAATAGGATATGACATCTCAAGTTTATAATTTGATACACGTCTTCTTTCTGTTCCAAGCATTGTTACGTTCATGTAGTTAAAATCAGATGACGTGCTGCATTGAAATTTGAAAATAAAAACCATTTAAATTTGTTATCAAGCATGAATCTATTATGCAACTACTTTACCTGTTCAAATGAAACATTTGTGACGAGTTTGGGAAATTAAATGTGTAACAAAATCCAGTTTTCCAAAGAGTATTTGTAAAATTTACCGGATATTTATCAGTCCAATTAGCCATGAAGTAAGGACGAAATATTGTGCCATACAAAGGTTCACCAAAGAATGTACCAAAACTTCCTAGGATATCAATGAAATCATTTGTAGGGATCGATACATTTTGAAAGTTTGTTGACATATATTGATCTTTAGCCACTAGACTCGCAACTTGCATCATTTTTAATTCCTTTAAAGATAAGTTTTTAATATTCATTGTCTGATTCTTAAGCATTAACTTAATTTCGTGATATTCAAAAGGTTTTTCCATCGTCTTGAGTAGAATTCCAGGACAGAACGAAACTGATGGAAAGTTTATGTCCTGGACACTTATTGCATTCTGGTCTGTGTAAATGACAATTGGATTTGCTTGATTTTCGATCATAAATTTGTAAATCAAAATTCCAGTTTGAATAAATGATGCAAAAATAGCAATTGACCAGAAGATTCTTTCGATTTTGTGACGGGTTGACTGAGTGATGTAAATAAAGCCATGAAGACTTGTGTCACTGCAATAATTTCCAACCACTTTCAACATGTTTGATTTTGCTTTTGACTGAATTATTTTTACGGTAATAAAGTTTTTTACTTCCTTTACATTAAATATTTATACCTTAAATTAAACATGCAATGAAAGTCACATTGCAAATGTAATATTCACATGTGATCATTAAAAGCAATTTAAACCATGACTTAATTTTCTAAATTTCCAACAAATCTGTAGCTAATCTCAAAGTGAAAAAGTATAAAAATTCAACAACTGAAAGTGCAGAAATGCCAGCAAAGAGTCCTAAAATTCCACCAACATAAGCAAGAAAATCCACGATTGTAAATTGTTGATATCTGATTAATGCATAATATTCAGCATCCTTCCACATCAAAGCTATTGTTGTATTCTGAATGCTGAGAAAGGAGTTCAATAATTTCATTTAATTGAATTCAACAGTTAACTTACGTAGCGTATCCTCTTGTAAATATATCGTATGAATATGAAACGTAATTACACAGTGGCAAACACTTGCAAACACCTCGAGTCGGATACAAATAATCGTATTTCTTAAAATTCGAAAATGCATCGTATTTTTCGACACATTCCACAAATCGTTTAAAGTCACAGATTGTTGTCGATGAGTTTCTGATTGCATAGAAAGGAACACATCCGCAATCTGAATAAACTGAGTGAGAAATCATCAGAATTGAAAATTATAAATGCATTCTTATACTTACTAATCTCTGTGAAGCACTCCTGCTCACAGTTCCTTTGAGTGTAAACTTTGAAATACTTCAACTTCCGTTCATCATCAAAATAACATTTTCTGACATTAACATTGAGACGTTTAAGTGCATCATCAGTTTTGATAATTTCAGGAGTTATGACAACATCAGTTGTGACTAAGTCTTCAAATCTAATTATATCTGAACATATTGGTAGCTCGTTCGATGGATGAATAATAAATGAATCATAATCGTGACAACCTTCATATAGTTTGTTCATCTTAAAGTTTATTTCAAGACCAAAATCGACACCTGCTTTTGTTGACCATGGATAATTGATTGAGTCATTTGTATCGTAGCTGTAGCCAAAATCCTTTGAAATCCTTATAAATATAGAAGATTACAAGCAGAAGTTTACCTAAAAATCCAAAAACTTACGTATTCTCATGAAGCAACTCTGATAGATCCATCAAATTAAAAGTATATCCAAAGCCATTTTGTGTTAAAATTTCTGCAAATGCTGGTTCAACAACTTTGTTCCATTTTGCATTTTTATGAATAAACCAAGGTCTATCAAAACTAGTGAATAACTTTAGTAAGTCAACAAAGTCGGATGTAGAATTAAAATCGAGTGAATGATGAATACCGTAAAAGGAAGCTCCTACTTTACGACACAACATGTACATTATCTGATCGCTAAATGTAGTACAAAAAAATAAATAAAAATTAAATTTTGAATTTTAATGGATATATAGAAATTGTTAATAAGTGTTCAACTTAGTTACGCAAGCAAGATCTGGTAATCATCTGAATTTCTCTTCCATCGGAAATGCTTTCCAACTTTATCATTTTCCTTCATTTCTCTATAATTTGATTCCGAATCGTCGTCATTGACATCAGCAATTAAAGTAAATGCAGGAAATGGAATCTACAAACAAAATTTATGTATTATTTGATTATAACAGATCAACTCACTTACATCATCGACTTTTGTTACTTGACCTTCCAAACTCATATAAATCTGATTCGTTTGAAGCTTATTGAATGCTTCTTGAACCATAAAGAATGACATGATCATTGAAATGATGAAAAGAAGTGACCATACCAATCTGAATTATCAATAGATTTAAACATAAAAGATCAATCAGTTTAACTTATTTTTTTTACCTTTCCAACTTCTTCTTTTCATTGTTTCCAATATGACTGAAGCTGTGGATTGAAGAACTTTCTAAGAAATTCGTGATAACTCCAAAAAGGTGACTCAAAACCTGGTTTTTAACTGTTGGTTGAGCTTTGATATGAATGGCGTGGACTTTTTTTGATCTTCTGCTAGCGATCATACTCAGAGGATTTATAACAAAATGAAGGATGATCTCTCCAGCAGATAGAAATGAGAATCCAGCAAAAAGTCCCAAAAACCCACCAATCAGTGACAAAATGTCAACAGTTGTCAATGTCTTTCGTCTTTTGACTGCAAAAATTTCCATCATTCCGAACATGATTTCTAATTCTATATCTAGATATCCTACCCTTGACAGTGCGTACCAATCCTTCTTTCGAAAATCATAGCTAAAATGAACAGCTTGACAAAACTAATATAATTAAATATTTATTATCTTACATCATTTTGACTTCATATTTCACTGTCTCGCATGGTTCATAGCACATGCAGGTTGATTTAATATTTTTATACTCATTCTCGACATTTCTAAAGCAGTATTCATCGACGGTTCCACAAATTCTCGTTGCCTGATCTCTTACCATATAAAATTGAACACAACCACAAGTTTGAAGTGTCAAATCAGCCAAACATTCATGCTCACAATTTATTCTGTTATAGGCTTTGAAAAATCTCAATTCACGTTCATTTTCCAAGTAGCATTGCCGCCTGAAAAAAACAATTAATAAATAACTTGGTACGAAGCAATATAACTCACTGTTCCAAGTCAAAATCCATTATTGAGTCATCAATTCTTGATATCTTTGGTGTTATTAATATTTTTTGGTAGCATCGTTTTTGCGTATGAAGCTTTATAGCATCATCATAAAGCAACTCAAATGCGTCATGAAACCACAATCGTAGACCATAGTAAGATTTCTCTGGAATGACATCCAACATAAAATGTTGTTTTTTTGGCAACATTGTAAATGTAGATTCGGTATATCCAATGTACAAACTCTTTTTTAAATTCTCAGGCTTAACAGGATAATTTAGCTTCAGTTTATATTCTGGTTTTGTTTGCCATTGAGTGCCATGTGTAGAGACTTTGGTAAAGTTAAAGTCCTGCGAAATTCTGAGCGAGATCAATTTTAATATTTTAAAACTTGTTCAATTAAAAGCACAAAATACCTTTCCATATGAAACATTTGAGAAGAGTTCGGAAAGTTGAACGTATGACAAAATCCAGTGTGCCATAAGGTACGAGTAAGGTTCATTGGATACTTATTTGACCAGTTTCCTCTGAAGAAAAAGTATGGTGTCTGCATATAGTTACGTATAGGGTCACCAACAAAACTCCCAAAAGTATTCATTATATCCATAAAATCTTCAGTCGTGATTGATAAATTTGGGTAGTTTCCAGACATGAATCGATCATTGGCAACCAGACTTACAATTTGCATCATTTTAAGCTCATCTAATGTTAAGTTGCTCAATTCCATACTTCCATTTTCAAGCATTTCCTTCATTTCTAGATACTGGAATGGTTTTTCCATAGAATCGAGTATAATTCCAGGACAGAATGAAAGAGATGGAAAATTTATATCCTGTGCACTAATAGCATTCTGATCTGTGTAAATGACAATTGGATTCACTTGACTTTCGACCAAAAACTTGTAAATTAAAATTCCAGTGATTGTAAAAGACACAAAAGTTGAAAAAGTCCAGAAAATTCTTTCAATTCTATGACGTGAAGGCTGTCCGATGTAAATAAAGCCGTGAAGGTTTGTGTCACTGCAAAATTTTTGAATCACTTTAAACATTATGAACTATTTTAAAACATTTCTACTAGATCGTCCAGAATAGAAATAAAAGCTTTTAAAATATTAGATTGACTTTCATTTTGATTCAGTCAACTGATATTTTGAAATTAGGGCATTAATGTATTTTATTGACATTTATTTGAAGCTATTGCATGTTAAATTTACATCAAATTTGATGTGAGCACATGCAACTCGTTTATTTAGCATAATATCTCAACAAATCAGTAGCTAATCTCAAAGTGAAAAAGTATAAAAATTCAACAACAGAAAGTGCAGAAATGCCAGCAAAAAGTCCTAAAATTCCGCCAACATAAGCAAGAAAATCCACGATTGTAAATTGTTGATATCTGATTAATGCATAATATTCAGCATCTTTCCACATCAAAGCTATAGTTGAGTTTTGATACCTGAGAAGATTTTCAATAATTTCATGTTATTTGGATTAAATAGCCAACTTACGTAGCAAATCCTCTTGTAAATATTTCATAAGAGTATGAAACATAGTTGCACAGCGGCAAGCACTTACAAACACCTCGAGACTCATACAGATAGTCATACTTCTTGAAATCTGAATATTCTTCATATTTAACAGCACATTGAACATAGCGTCGAAAACTACAAAGATCTGTCGATGAATTTCTGATTGCATAGAAAGGAACACATCTGCAATCTGAATAAACTGAAAAAAGAAATGATCAGAATTGAAATTTATCAGACAAATTATGACTTACTAATCTCTGTCAAGCACTCCTGCTCACAGTTCCTTTGAGTGTAAACTTTGAAATACTTCAGTTTCCGTTCATCATCAAAATAACATTTTCTGACATTTGCATCTAATCGTTTTAAATCGTCATCAGTTTTGATAATTTCAGGAGTTATAACAACATCAGTTGTGACTAAGTCTTCAAATCTAATTATATCTGAATATATTGGTAGCTCGTTCGGTGGATGAACAATGAAAGAGTCATAATCGAAACAGCCTTCACTTAATTTGTTCATCTTAAATGTTATTCGTAGACCAAAGTCGACTCCTGCTTTTGTTGACCATGGATAGCTAATTGTGTCATTCGTATCGTATGTGTAGTCAAAATCCTTTGACAGCCTGAATTAATCGAACATTCATTTAATATTATAATTTTCATCAAATTGCTGTTCTCACCTGTTATCAAAAAATAACTCTGATTGATTCATCAAATTGAATGTATATCCAACTCCATTTTGTGTCAAAATTTCTGCAAACGCTGGTTCTATAACTTTGTTCCATTTTGCATTTTTGTAAATAAACCAAGGTATGTCTGAACTAGTGTAATTTCGAAGCAAGAACACGAAATCTGATGCTGATGTGTAATTGAACAAAGTACGAAATCCGTCATTGTAAGATCCCAATTTACGACAAAGCATAAAGTCTATCTGAAGGCTAAATGTATAAAAAAGTATTAGATGTTCTAGCTAGCATTTCTTTTCAATGTATTTACCCTAACAAGCTTTCATAGCTTGCAAGTCTTTTTAATCGAAAATGTTTATAGAATTTTTCATTTTCCTTCATTTCTACATAATTATCTTCATAACCATCATTATAATCAGCAATCAAAGTGAATGCAGGAAATGGAAGCTGAAATTTAAAATCAATATTTCGATCGATGAATTGTAAATTGGATTTCCTTACATCTTCCACATTTGTGAGTTGACCTTCTAAACTCATGTAAATCAGATTAGTTTTGAGCTTGTCAAGTGCCTCTCGAACCATTAAAAATGACAGAACCATTGAAGTGATGAACAAGAGGAACCAGATCAATCTAGAGTGTTAAAAGATAAGGGGTCGTTCACTTATGACGTCCGAAATTAACGGTCATTTTTCAAAAAAGGACAATGGATTTCCAGGAATTACTATTGTTCTTTTTTTGCTGACACCCCCCCCCCCCCCCCCCCCCCCTCCTGGACGTCATAAGTGAACGTTTGAATTCTAATGAAATATTAAATATTTGTTTACAGGGACACACAGCTACGATATAGCAATACTATTTGAATTCAGAAAATCTATTACAAAACCTACCTCTGCAATAATATTTTCTTGTTGTTTCCAATATGACTGAAGCTGTGAATTGAAGAATTCTCTAGAAAGTCGACTACATAATTCCAAATTTTTAATTCCAATTTTGGTTTTGTATTGTTAAGAATAGCGTGAACTCTTCTTGACTTTCTTTTTACAAGCATATCTAGAGGATTAATGACAAAATGAAGGATGATCTCTCCACCAGAAAGGAATGAGAATCCAGCAAATAGTCCCAAAAAGCCTCCAATTAATGACAAAATATCAATATTCGTTACTGTCTTTCTTTTCTTGACTGCAAAAATTTCGCTAATTCCAAACTGGATTTCAAACTCGATATTGACGTAGCCTGATCTTGATATTGCATGCAAATCCTTCTTTCTAAAATTGTAGCTACACAGAAATTGTTAATAATATCAACATAAATTAATAATTTTGATCTTACATCATTTTGACTTCATATTTAACAGTCTCGCATGGCTCATAACACATACAGTTTGATTTTACATTATTGAAATCATTCTCGACTTTTCTGAAGCAGTTTTCATCGACGATTCCACAAATTCTTGTTGTTTGATTTCTGACCATATGAAATTGGACACAACCACAAATTTGAAGTGTCAAATCAGCCAAACATTCATGCTCACAATTTACTTTGTTGTACACTTTGAGAAATTTTAATTCTCGCTCAACTTCCAAGTAACATTTGCGTCTGAAAAATGAGATCTAAGAAGAAGTCAGATAAAGTTAAAGTCACTCACTGTTCCAAGTCAAAATCCATGATTGATGAGTCGATCCTCAATACTTTTGGTGTTACTAATATTTTTAAATAGCACTTTTTTCGTGTATGAAGAGTGATTGCATCATCAAAAATCATCTCGAAAGCATCATGAAACATTAATTTTATACCATCAAAGTTTTTTTCAGGAATAACATCTGATAAACCCTTTACTTGATAACGTTTTTGATCTAATACATATACAGATTCGCTATATCCAATGTATAAACATTTTTTCGGATTCACAGGCTTCACTGGATATTCCAATGTTAGATTATATTCGGGTGCTAGTTGCCATGCAGTTCCATGTTTGGAAATATTAGTAAATTTAAAGTCCTGTGAAATGCTGAAGACAAGACAATAACAATTAGCTTAGCGTTTAGATTAATAATGTCATTCATACCTTTCCATTCGGAACATTTGAGAAGAGTTGGGGAAATTGAAAGTATGACAAAATCCAGTGCGGCCTATGGTTCGAGTAAGGTTCATTGGATACTTATTTGACCAGTTTCCATTAAAGAAGTAATATGTTGGAAGTACATTAGACTTAACTGATTCTCCAATGAAACTTCCAAAAGTATTTAATACATCCATAAAATCCTCTGTCGTAATTGATAAATTTGGGTAGTTTCCAGACATGAATCGATCATTGGCAACCAGACTTACAATTTGCATCATTTTAAGCTCATCTAATGTTAAATTGCTCAATTCTATTGTCTGATTTTCAAGCATTTCCTTAATTTCTGTATATTTAAAAGGATTTTTCATTGTTTCAAATATAATTCCAGGACAGAATGAAAGCGACGGAAAATTTATGTCCTGGACACTGATAGCATTTTGATCTGTAAAGATGACGATTGGATTCGCTTGACTTTCAATAATAAACTTGTATATCAAGATTCCAGTTAATGTAAAAGACACAAATATTGAAATTGCCCAAAATATTCTCTCAATTCTGTGACTTGATACCTGACCGATGTACATAAAGCCATGAATATTTGTGTCGCCGCAGAAATTTTGAATTACTTTTAACATTTTTTTAAAATTTATATTCAAGGTTTGATGACTGTAAAAGTTTTTAAACAAATGTGGAGTCAGCTGAGAGTCACTTGATATTTTATTGACTTTAATAGCGTGCAGAATTAAGTTTTCGTGACTGATTAAAGCAAATATGATTACGTATGACCTTTTTAAATTATTAAACAATCTGAAGGTACAAGATAGCATATTTCAGATTAGGTTTTTCTAGGGACTGGATTTAAAGCTTCTCGGGCCACCCTATAGTAGGATGGAAGAATATTGAAAGTCAAATTGATGCCAATCTGGAACAAAAATAGATTTATCTGCGATTAAGAATAGAAACCTAGTTCTTAGTTTAATATTAGAGATCAGGATGTTCAAAACAATTCCATCTCCTCTCCCTCCTCCCTAAAAAGGCTTAAAACCTCCTCCTTTACCAAATTTCCATCTCCACATCGCCCACCTGTAAGAATAAACTCCCACCTGCTCCATTCAATCCAAAATCTCACATAAAATGATTAAAAAATTGTACAAGACTTGTTGCACACAGATCCGATGACATTTTAGTAATTTAATTTTCTAGGAAAATGGCATCAGTGAGTGAAATAATTTTCAACAAGCAGAATGAGCACGGCGACATGGCAAGTGAATAAAAAAAAATCCAATTTGCGAGTTACAAAGAATCGAACCGTGAAAATTGATGGCACAGATTACATTGAAATTAAATAAGCTTCAACAATATACTCGAAATTTAAATGTAAGAATTTAAGGAGGTGGATATAGTTGGCAACACAAGAAAAAAAAATTCATTTCATCGAATAATGAATAAAACGGAAAATTGAGCTCAAATATTTGCGGTAAAATTGTTTTGATGCGAACCTTTTCCTCTTTTGCACGTCCCTTTCTTACTTTTTCTCACTCCATTCCAGTTCCTTTTCATTCATTCAATACCTACCTTAAGTATATACACTTTTTTTTTCGGCAGTGCCACCACACAATTCTTGATCATAATGATGATTTTGTGAAAATGTTGAGTAAGAGAGAGAGAAAATGTTCTTGTTGAGTGCGTGCGACGGAAGTGGCACCTTTTGAATTTTATTTACCAAATGAATGCTTTTTGAGGATAACCGAAAGATGAGGACGGATGGTATGAGGACCCTCGAGGCTTTTCTGTGATTTAGAATTTTTTGTTGAAGAAGGCCACAATTGTGAGATTGCTTTTAAAGTGAAGCTGAGTAGATTTAAATTTTAAATTTTGACATTTTTTCGGTGTTGAACTGGATGTCTTTTTTATTTGACCTGGGAGGTTTGATAATCATGTAGGGGCGTAGTTCAGTTTAATCTTATTCCCTTGAATATCTTAAAATCCTTTATTTCAAACATGACCTTAATTAGAACATAAAATTCCTCAAAATGTACATCTAGATGCTGACATTTTTAATAATAAAAAAGGACGAAAAGTTCCATCTGCCTTAATGTTCAATATCTGCAATAAAGTTCCACCTGAAATTCACCATCGTGATCTAATTTTGACTAAAAATTGCTTGACTACCTTTTAAATCAAAAATGAGGATTTCAAATGCCAACATCTTTCATTTCCTTAATATCATCAGTATGAAAAAGAAGAAATGTCAAAAGACCCCTTCAATTTTATCATCACTGCCACACATCCTTCTATAATTTCATAAGAAAATATTAAGGAAGAAATGAAATTGAAGGCAAAAAAGAATGTCCTTCAAATTAATTTAATATACGATGTCAGAAACCTTTTGATACGAGCCCTTTGCCTTATCCATCTTCTTGCTAACCTTTTTCTTACTCTTGATGCCCTGCTCCCTCCATTTCTATTTTTTTTTCTCTCCCTCCTGTTATTCAATTTCTAGTCTTGAGACAGACACAATTTATTATACCACATGTAACATTTCCTCCTTCATCTCTTACTTTTTATATATTTTATTAGATTTTGTAGAATCGTCTCCGAACCTTCAAATCATATTTCCTTTCATTCCATCGCTACGTTCCATATCAAGTGACATGAAATGAAATAATAATAATGTTATTAATACAAAAAAAATATGAAATCTTACTTTAAAGTAGTAATTCCATTGTTTATGACAGAATGAGACAAAAAATATTATGAGTTTTGCGAGGATGTGTGTGTGTATGTGTGGTATTGTCAGAGATATGATACTTATGTCCATATTTATAAGACATCATAAATCTCCTTTCTATGTGAGCTACATGTGAGCATGGTTTGGTGAATGAATTGGATCAGTTTGTGTCATGTGGACTCAATTTGAGTGATTTTTGGTTTTTTTTTAAAGTTTTGGTGCTGATTGTGTAGGTACGAAGCCAAGATGATGCTGGCTTCATGTCAAATTCAGGCTTCACTGAGGTCAGTTTATAGGATTTCTTGTGGTTTTAGTCACAACTTTTATTTTGAACATTTGGTTTACATTTTACAGCAAAAGCACCTAGGGTTCGTTCACTTATTACGTAACGCACTAGGGGGGGAGGGGGGGTCTAAGATTTTGTTACGGTTTGTTACAGGGGGAGGGGGGGGTCTAAATTTTGTTACGTAACTTTTCAAAAATTATATTTTTTTATAATTTTTTCTATATTAATTTTAAATTTTTTAACTTTAATTTAAATGAAAAAAATTATTGTTACGTTATGGGGGGGGGGGGGTCTAAGATTTTGTTACGCTTTGTTACAGGGGGGGGAGGGGGGTCTAAAAACTCGTTTTTTTGCGTTACGTAATAAGTGAACGAGCCCCTAGGGAAGTGCTCGAATACAGCTCCTGGTGACACACTAGTTCACACTAGTGGTACTCGACTTTAAGCTTTCCAAATGAATTTAGTTTTGTCTAAATTTTTAAGTTTTAATCAAATCTCAGCTTTATGACAATACCATCAAAATTTTTAAGATTCTGAGATATAGCCGAGCATTTTCAAGTGAGGTTCCGGGTCCGATTTTCACAGAGGAATTTTTCAATACCAATTCCAATTTAGAATGGAAACCAGAAACCTCATAAACCTCATATCCCTGATTACGCTTATGTCTAGCCCCTTTTTATAAAAAATCGTTACTTTTTTACGATTTTTTTTTAATAATCTGCTAATTTTATCCACAATTCATCACTAGCTCCCCACCAAAGCGCCATCAAAACTCCATTCCGTAAATGACTATCCATACAACTTGTTTTATTCATACATATAATATGAAATGAAGTAGAGACGAGAAGAAAAATAAGAAAATCATAAGAAAGAAAAATGAAAATCACATTTTCGTAACAATTTTTCTTTTTTTTTTTCTTTATTCCTTTAAAAAAGATCCATCAATGTCTAAAAGGAAAATGTGGAGTCATAATCTCAACATTTGTTGCGAGAACACTCGCCTTAAAAGCAGCACAACTGAAAATGTTCACATTCACAAGGGTGTAGATGATGATAATGATGGTGGGCGAAAGATCCATAAGGTGGTGTGAGAATGAATCCAAAAAAATGTATAGTAGTAAAAAATCTCATTTTCACTTGCAGCAGTCAAACAAAAAGGCGAAAAAAGGGAAAATTATGAGGCAATGAAAATTTATTATCATCCCAATTTGATTGTTCGTTCGCTGACAAAAATGGTCATGAAAATGCAATGGATTGTTATTTCTTACAATTTCTCTCCAACGGCGATGCTTTAAATATATTTTCGTTTAAAAACAATAAGCAAATTTTATGACTTTATCCTTTTATGGCATGGAAATTGACCGGATACTGTGTAAACAAATTCATGAATTTAAAATCATTTACATCGTTTTTTAACTGCGCGATGGATTTCGTTTTTTTCGAAAATTGGATGCTTTTTAATGGGATTTAAGCATGAAACTTAAATGATGTGTGAAGATAGCTAGTCGTTTTGGTCGTTTGTTAACTTGTGGTCATCAAAAGATAACTTGAATTTTGAGTTATTCTTGCACTTCTTTAATAAATTGCAGAGCTCGAAGTCGATGAAATTTTGTATGGAGTCGAGTTGACTTCAAACTCTGATAAATTGTGAAGATGTCATTAAAAACATAACGAAAATCAGATTCCAGTTGAACATTAAATAGTGGTCAGATTACTAATTGTCGAATCAACCACATTTCTGAGGTTAACATCTAATGATAGCGGTTGAATGAACATGAAAATTATGTTGAGATTAAATTTTAGTAGTTTTTGGATGTGCAATTGAAATTCTTAAGAAATTTGAGGTTTTTCAGAAGCTATAAGTAGACTGTTAAGTGGTTTACATTTTAAAGCATTTAGATCTTTGACAATTTAAATGATCGATTTCCAATCATCACTTCTATTCAACTCAGACTATGAAAAATCTGGCATGCGTTTCTCCATCCGAATAGCTGAATTTTCAACTTATATTCATCCTTTTTCCCCCTCACTTCCGTCATTTCAATTTCATTTTCTTTTGCCAAACCCCACAATCTGGCCAGATTAAATTAAGTTGTAAAGCATTCAATTTCTGGGTCTACATTTCTTCATTTTGTTTCATTTCTCTTTCTCTTTTTATTTCATCATCGTCATGCCATAAAATTTTTCATTCTGTTCCTTTTCTTCTGTTCAAATAAAACACAATTCGAGTTACTTCACACTTCGCTCACTCTCTTCCTCTTATTCCCAAATCTATTCAAAAAACAATCAATGTTTGTTTTACTTTTATTGGAAGGTCGGTGTTCGCCTTTTGCCTTTCTTCTTATGGCACATCATCATTGTAGCAGCAACGGAAGAAGAATGGTTGGAGATGATGATGAGAAAATATTTTGGAAAGAGATCGGGGTAATCTTTATATAGCTGTTTAAAACAATTTATGTTTTTTTGGCTATAACAAAAGAAAAAGAAATTACTTTTATGACTGCCTTTGCTCACGAGAGAGTGGGGGATGTTTGACTCGACACAATTTATTTTGCTTTTTCTTGTTTTGCTTAAATGTTTTGTGGATGAGACAGTTCTAAATCGAAACATTTAAGTCAT